GGTCATTACCCTATAATACTCGTAAACACACACACACAGAAACATCCCAACTGCTCAGAGACTTAAACTGGAACACCAGGCCGGATCAATATGAGCTTTAGTGTGTTTTATCAGATACTCATTTTGTGACTTCTGTTTGTTTATATGACATCATTGATGATTGGAAGTTACAAGCCAGGAAACAAGGAAAATGCATTGTGTATATTTCCTGTATTTTTAAAGTTGTCTTTGTCTTTTATCAAAAGATTTGTACGTGTGTATGTCGAAAGCATCAGAACAAATAACTGTTTCAGGCAAGTCCACTGTATAGTAGAATTCTGAATGTGCCTACAGCCTAATATCTTTTGTTAGTGACCACTTTTATTCAGATCAATTCCTTTCTTATTACTGGGACCAACTTGGGGTTGCTTATGGATGTTTTTAAAGAGTAAATCTATATTTCTTATATTCTGATAAATGCTGTTTAGAGTATGATTTTTTTTTTTTAATAGTTCTTTTATGCATTGATGATTGTGATCAAATCCTTGTATCTGTTCCAATAAATTATTCTCTAAGTCTGCAAACGAGAAATGTGATGTTTGGTCCAGCAATTTCTGGAAAATGCTTTAATTTTGAGGTTCTTTATAGCCATCAAAAGTCCTACAGCTATAGTGTTGTTTTTTAGGACTTAACAGATTTAGTGATGGATGAGGGAAGAAAAAACAAACGCAAGGTTTAAAGTTTGAAACGGATGAAAGTTTGTGTGATTGAATTAGTCTTCGATACCCATCCTCACTAAAGTTTGACAGGTTTTAGCAGGAAAACTGTACAAAACATCCGGTTTTAGTCCCACACAAACTTAAGCAGAGGCTTTTCTCGACTCAAGACCGAATATCTGACGGTTGCCTTCCTTTCTTCGGCTACAGTCAGACTGAATCATCATCCCAGCTGTTCCACGCTGACATGCGGCAGCTTGGTCTTTGGTCGGAGGCTTGCTGGCAGCAGCAAGCGCCTTTCACTTCTCTGCTAATGCATGTTTGTCTGATAACAGATAATAGGACACCAACTGCCCTCCTTTGGCTTTACCACCAATCGGTGGCAAATGTTTTGTGTATTTGAGTTTTAAGTTTAGAATTATTGGTATTTGACAATTGATATGCTGAAAGGTGTGACTAGCTTTCTTTTAACCAATGCCAAGTTAATGTCTACGAGAAGGTTCATTTCCAAACAGTACTTCTGGCTGCCATCTGCTGGCCGAGACTACAATGACATAGAATGTCCTGAAATGTACCATTCAGGCAATTTATATCAGTGCCACAAAATACTGTTTTGACTTTTATAATTTATCTGACATTAATTGTCGGATAAAGGCTTTGCTTCAAACGATTGTTTAATTACACACCTATTTTGCCGATGTGCACCACAGGGTCAATGATTATCGATCCGTGTTTCCTTTGCTTTAGGGTCTGTGTTTGGTAGTTAATTGTCAAATATACATCCATCATTTATATAAACAAATGAAAAAACAAAAGCTGGCTTCTGCTTTTGTTTTTGCCGCTGCGCTGTTTTGACCCTCGCGAGTCGCCGTCGTCCGGCCGACACACGTGATCCAGTCAGTTGACAAGGCAAAACACGGCAGTAGATCGGAAAGACAGGCGACATGGACCACCATCGGGTTGACAGGGTGGGCCTTCTGTCCCCCCTGGAGGAGTCCAGCGCAGAGATAAGTCGCGACAGCGGCATCGTCTCGCAAAGCGCCAGCAGTTTGTCCATGGTGAGCGACATCCTCAGCAGCGGCACCGTGTCGCAGAGCCCCAGCTTCGGCGCTGCGGTTAACGCCATTTCTCACAGCCCGAGCCTCGACGAGGCAGCGGAGCACGGGACACCCGGCCGGCAGAACCCGGAGCAGGACGACGAAGTCCTGAGGCACACCGCCCTCAGCTACGCTTCCTACATCAGGGCGACGGCTGGAGACGAGGTGACTTGGCCGACGCTATACGTGCTCGTCGCGTTAACTTCCGCGGCTAGCTAAAGCCGCGGTGGCGGCTATGTTGACGTTAGCTCTTTGTTTATGAAGTGACGTCAATGTAGCACGCATGTTGCTGCAGTGTTGGTACTTGGCTCATTTGCGTTGCTTCAGGGTCACTAAGTTAGCTAAGGATGCAGTTACGGACCAGCGACTAAAAGTGAAGTGTTTGCTAAGCGACAAAGGTGACATGAAGTGGTTACTGGACAGAGATCGGAAAGAGTACGTGTGTAACATAAGTAAACAACTGAAGATCCAAGTTCTACGTTTGTGTGGCTTGACTCTTAAATTCAATGGGGAATTTAAGCAGTAACACAGTGGGGGAAAAAACATTCACTGATATATAAAAGAACAACCCAGATGATGTCATCGTGATGAGATGTGTTAGAATGTTTTCCTCCTTTTAACACTGTGGGATCGGGTATAAGTTATATTATATGATTGTTCAGGAAGATGCAGATTTAATACCCTTAAAAATATATATATATTGGAAAAGAATGTACAAGTCAAAGGTCTGAAGTCACGAGAAATAGGAGTCATGACTCAAGGCAGTGTCATGTGACTTCATTAAACTAATTAGTTTGTCCATTGATGTACATCCTAACAGTCACTTGATAACAATGTCCACGTCAAAAAAGAAATCGTCTTCAGTTTAAGGAGACTTGTCTTTTTTTGTAGACTGACCAAATTGCTGTCTCTCCTGAGTTGTCCGTAACTGGAAATGCGTGATACCGGGCAACTTGGCAGCTGGCTGGTTTATAGGAAGATAAATGCCCCTGTGTTTTGGCCGTGTGGTCCATGCACATTCATTTTAAAGGCATTTTATTAAATTTCAACTGCAGCTGGTGTCTCGAATTGGTATTATAGTGCACAAAAGAGTCACACAAGTCCACAGCAGGCTCAGTTCATTCAGTGTTTTTTTCACTAGCTATGGATTCTATATAGTTTGTGTGCGCAGTTTCACTTATTTTTTTCTTTTTGATTTCTCTTTTTAGATACTGTGCTTGGACAAGAGCTTGGAAGAAATGCTGACAAGAGTAGATGAGTTTGTTGGAATGCTGGATATGGTGAGCCAAGTCAGGCTATGACACTAAATATTATGAATGCCCTCTATCTCATATTTATTCAATAATGTACATATTTCTCTCACATCCGTTTGGGTTTTTCCTTCTAGATACGTAATGACACCTCCCAAATTGTGAATGAAAACCTACCTCAAATCCAGCAGAAGTCAGATGAAATGAGACAAATATACAGAAGAATTGATAAGTTAGAGGTAAGTAATCCTCTTTATTTTTCTAGAATGAATACAAGGTCAATGATGCTGCTTGAATAATACTACCAAAATATTTCGTTTGGTGCTTTTGTTATGCACAATAGAGCAAGGAATGAACCATGACACCTGTGATGTAAACAGAATTTGTGTGCAGTGTTTTAGTAATAATTGACTAAGCAAAATAATACGTCTCACAAGAGAAAACAGAAGTAGTGTGAACAAGATAAGTTTCTGATGACTTGAACATTTCTATTTCCAACAATGGAAGTGTAGCATGTAACTAATGAGAAAACAACTCAAAACATAATAACAGTAAGTTATGAAAGCTACGGCTAACTTTTCCATTCATTACCTAAACGAAATGGTCACAAAAGTATTCCTACAATGTTGTATTTGTTGTAGGATGCGCTCACTCTCCTTTTGATCCGTTTTTTAAATATATTATAATTATTGTGGTGTGACACCAGGCCTTTGTGAAGATGGTTGGGGCCAACGTCAACGCAATGGAGGAGCAGGTCACGCAGGCAGAGGGAGAACTAGGAACACTTCCGGGTGCTTTCAAGAAGATCCTCCGGACAATGAGTGTACCAGGATTCTTAAACGTGAGCGTGCCTTTGTGTACTTGAAATAACCAGTAATTGTACCACTGACTTTAACCGAATCGAGAACCTTTTCCAATCAACATTTAAAACAAAAGTTGTGGTAATTGGCTTTTGAATAATCTGGATTTGTGTCTCTTCGCTCGCAGAAACCGACCAGCCCAAGAAGACCAGCACCACATCAGCGCCAAGAGATCCCCACCGTGTTCAAGACAGACGACTATTTCACATCCAAGCCAGAGCCGTGACGCGCTGAAACAATTTAACACCTCACTTGGTTCTAACCTCAAAGGCCTCTTGGGTGAAACTTTTACTGCCATCCATTGCAAGAGGATGTATTGGTGCAGCGGCCTCAACAAAGCAATAGTAGCCTTTCTGAACAAGTCACAGGCAAGACTCCATTTTTGAGCGTCATTTTTATGGCAGTAAAAACACTGAACTGTAGCAAAATGATTTTAAAAGTGCCTGAATGGTTCTTATCTCCGTCAGTTTTGTTTTCACTATTTGTGCGGGAAACAATGTTGGATTTGTGACAAGTCAGGAGGACAAAGTCCTCCCACATGAACAAGTTACAATAGGCGGAGCTGTGAAGATTACTTAAAGAGTTAACCCAGCTTCTTTATTATTTATTTTAATAAATTACATTCCTGTTATTGGTGTTTGTTAAAAAAATGCACGCTGTTATGAATTCATCTGTATTTCTCATCACTCAGCAATATGGATTTCCTCCAGTTAAGCATATAATGTCTTCCACTTAAAAATATTTGCTTTATTGCTGGCTTTAGTGACTGGCTGTGGATGACAGCTTATCATTTATATGGGGCTACATATTTGATTGCACTTTTCCAATAAAAGCACACTATAGTTGAGTAGTTAGTTTCTAGTTCATTAAGAAACTGGGCTCAGGGCTGGAGCAGTGATTGAGTTTTGTAACAATTACCTGCTTTGATTTGGTTCTTTATTTGCCAAAATATTTAGGAATAAAGATGTTACATTTACAGCTTTAATTTGGTAAATGTTCTTTTTAATGACCGTTACAGACTAGTTTAAACGTGTTAAAACGTTAGACTTTTTGCCCCTTGTTTTGCCTTTAGTTCAGTTTGTCAGGCAGATTTGCCGTAGGTCTGCAAACAAATCCCGCCTCCTCTTCTGGGATTGACGGCCCTAACATCCAATCAGTCTGCGGGTGTTGAGCCCGTTAGAGGTGGACCAATCCATAAGCGAAGAGCTCCTTACAAATGAACTCAGGGCGGATATTGAGATCGTTCTTGGCCCGTCATTGGTCAGACGGAATTGACGTCATAGGTTCGTCATACCTCGAGGAAGCGGGAACTCCAGCGGCCTCGTTTGGATCTTTTCATGTCGGCACGGATTGAGAAAGTACGCTAAAACTTACCGACACGGTAAAAAAAAAACTGTTTAAGTGAAACACTCCGACAAGTTGTGATAACATGTTTCTGTTAATACGAGAGTGTTGGAAATGATGTGTGTTAACTTACGTTAACCGTAGTTGCGCGCTGTGGCTCGCCGTGCCAGCAGACACGTTTTAAGTCGTTTTTATTGTGACAGTCACTGTAGAAGAGAACTCTAAAACCCCAAGATGTCTTTGCAATGCATTTATTTTTGACGCATCTTTAGTCGGTTTCTAATATTCCATCAATAGCCTGTTTATACTGTGATGTGACTTTGCACAAATGTTTACGTTACAATTCAAATCCGTTTTTCACCTGATGTTTATTGGCCGTTACGCCAATCTGGTTATGAGCGTGGTCACGTGACAGGGTTTATCACCAGCTCCCTTTCTTAAAATGACTCTTACCAACTGTGTTGCTCCTAATCTGGGTTCCCTGATGTTGTGCATCAACATGGCTTCAGTGACCAGTCTGCCGCCTGATGCAACTCTTGACGCCACTCTTCTCCTCTGCAGATCCAAAGCTTCACCGATGGCCGCCGAGAAAGAAATATGGCAGAAGATTGGCGAGGGCTTTGTCCAGGAATATTATAACCAGTTTGACAACACCAACAGGACAACTCTGGGTGACCTATACGTGAGTTGTTTCTCTGCCCGTATGACTAACCAACCAAATTTCATCACACTTGACACCCATGTTGAAGTTGCTGTTTTTTCAACAATAACTTTGTATGCATTTCATGTAATTGAAGGAGAGCAGCATTCCACATATTCTGATATATTGGGAGCTACAGTGTATAGACCTTTTTTTTTTTTTTTAATTGTATATCTACATTACTGTTTTCTTTTTGGTCACATTCTTTTTGGGGGGATGTGAGCTTCCACTCTATATTGATTTTTCCTTTACTCGTTGTTTCTTAGAGTGCCGATGCCTGTTTGACGTGGGAAGGTTCCAGTTTTCCTGGGAAAGCAGCCATTGCTGGCAAATTAGCTGTAAGTATCTCTTAATGCTCTTTTTGTAAATATCACGCAAGTACTACAGGTTAGTGATAACAGAAAAAAGTGTGTTTATTATAAATGTATAATATATTAATAAATGCTGTTGTTTCCTCTCCACAGAGTTTGCCATTTAAGTCGATAAAGCACATTATCACAGAACAAGACTTTCAACCCACGGTGGATAGTTGTATCTTCATCATGGTGTTTGGACAGTTGAAGGTAAGCCGGATCATATTTAGCACAAAGCGAGTTCTACTCGGTCGCTCTCTCTTCGTGTTACTGAGCCCAACATTAACGTGGTTGACTGGTTAGAAACTGGCTCTTAAAGTTTGCGGTTGTCCAAGTCAGTGGACTCGTGTGGAAGAGGTGGTATTGTAGATTGCAGGCCACATCGTCAGAAACATTAAGCGCTGCTCGTGACATGTGAAATTTATACAAGGACGTGAATAAAATAAAGTCAAAATAAGAGCAATCATTTCTATATATTAAAGGTAAGGATAGAAATATTATGTATAGTAATCTTAAACAATACACATAGTCTTTTTTTATCCTGATTATGAATAAACGTTCTGATGCACATTAACCGTTTCCAATGCCATGTCTTGTTTGCCTGCTTATCTTGGTTAGTGTTACCGGCTCGAGGTCCACAGAACATGCATTACATTTACCGCTCTTCATTTTGAGAACCTGCTGTGGTCTTTTTTTTCTCTTTTTTTCTTAAATTCCTATTTTTCCTCATGCCCCTCTTTTGTTTAAACGTGCATCTGCTCCATCTAATTGTCTCGAGTTTTTTCTTATGATTCAAGCCACTGCCTCCATTGACATCTGTTTTTTGAATATTTTCGTTTTGAATAAACCCTCCGATGAATGCATTGTACTCTTCTGCTTTAGCTCACACCATGATTTAGGTTATCGCTGTACTAACGGCTGCTGTTTCTGCAACAGGTAGATGATGATCCACCGATGGCTTTTCACCAGGTGTTTATGCTGAAGCATCATGCGTGCTCATGGGTCTGCACAAACGATGTGTTCCGGTTGGGGATACACAACATACCAGCGTAGCGATAGCATTTTATCGGCTAATAAATACCATTCTGTGGTTAAACTGTCATTAAAAAAAACAAACAAGGGATTGTATGCAGTAGTTCTTTCAGGTTTACATGACATCAATAAGCAGGTTAGTTGTAATATATTTATGTCAAATTGCATTCCTGTCCAATAAAAAGACTTTCAGTCTTAACTCCTGGCTGTATTTTGTTGTTCGGCACGATAAAGTCTGCGGTGTGATGAGTGAGTGAAGCTTTCCGCACAGGGGGAGAGATGACGTCGGGTTTTGTAACGTAGCACCGGTCGCCTCTGACCACTAGAGGCGCTGCACCTTCTCGCAGAGTGCGTGCTGGTTTAAAGGGTTTCACCCACACATCTGCAGCTGCGTTCACACATGACATGAGGCGGACTAGAAGCTGGAAGAAACACTTTCTCTCAACCGAATGACACCGACGGGGAATAAGACTTCACCTCGGGGAATGGATGTGGTGACTTTGGATCTGCAATGCAATAACCTTCAGGAGTCGGTACGCTAACGTTACTGCGAATTGTGTCTTAAGTTAACGTTACGTTAAAATAACCAGCCCTCGCGTGGAGGCGAGCGCCTGATCTCATTCGAGTTACATGTCTTTAAATTGTTACGGATTTATGACAAACATTTGAACGGTTTCTTCTTGGCCTTGTCCGCTCTTGTAACGTTAAACTAGCTACAGCGTTAGCTTAGCTAGCTGTCATGTAACGTTCGTTGAGAATATCAGGTTCAATTTGGTTGGGCGGTTGATTAGAAAGTGACGAAATAAAATAATGTGAAGAATTGTGATTTGCTCTGTAAAGAAACACTACTGAGCCTATTTTCGGCATGTCCTTTGTTTTGTGGATTATAAAAGAGTTAGTGCGCAAGCGCAGCGGCAGCTAATTGTTGTCGTTTCCACATCCGTGATGCCGTCGACGTCAGGTGAAAATGGGTGTAACGTCACTTTCGGTTATGGCTCTTTGCAGAATGGCTTCAAAGACAAAGATCCAGACTGCCGGGATGGTTCAGAGAAAGAGGAGGAACCTCTGCTCCGAGAGAACCCCAGACGGTTCGTCGTCTTCCCCATCCAGTACCCCGACATCTGGAAGATGTACAAGCAGGCACAAGCCTCGTTCTGGACGGTGGAGGAGGTGGGTTCCACTTTATTTACTGTTCACCCAGTTGGTTTAAGTGAAAGAGAAATATACCTAAAACACTTTTTTTCTTCTAAAGAAGCAACCCTGTTTCATTCACCCTGGCCTGTTATCGCTGGTAGAACGTGCACCATCTTTGGGACAGAGAGGTGAACTGCTGCTGTTGTCTTTCAGGTGGATCTGTCCAAAGACCTGCCACACTGGGACCGCATGAAGCTTGAGGAGAAACACTTCATCTCCCACATCCTAGCCTTCTTCGCTGCAAGTGATGGCATCGTCAATGAGAACCTGGTGAGGGGTTTACCCTCAGCTGTAGCAGATGTTTTGTAGATTCTACGTAATAAATGAGATGGACAGTTTCTTAATAAACTCACCCGTAGGCCCTAATGGATTAAAATCAGGGGATAGTTTGATGGATTAGTGTGCCGGGTATGAGGTTTTATTTTTTGTGTTTCTGTCTCACCTTGCAGGTGCAGAGGTTCTGCCAGGAGGTTCAGATCCCTGAAGCTCGCTCTTTCTACAGCTTTCAGATCCTCATAGAGACCGTTCATTCCGAGATGTACAGCATGCTCATCAATACTTATATCAGGGATCTGAAAGAGAGGTACGTTTTTCTTCTCTCGTTGCTCAATTCCTACCCGTTGATGCTCAGAGGAAATGATTAGATGGTAGAGATGATGCATAACCAAAACAAAAAAGGCAAGAGCCATTACTTTTCCTAGTTAGTCAACTATATTTGTTGGTGCTTATTTATAGTTTTGTGTTGGTGTGTGTGTTTCAGGGACTACTTATTTAACGCCATTCAGACGATGCCTTGTGTGAGACGAAAAGCAAACTGGGCCCTCAAGTGGATAAACGACAGTAAATCCACATTTGGTGAGCAAGATATTAGTAACTACTGAAAATGAAACACCTTTCTTATGTAGGTGCTTAACTATGTGGAACGTTCAAATGAGCCATACCAAGTCCAGATGTGCTTCGTGTTGTTTTTCTAAAGAAATAACAAGCACATTACAAGTAACTGTACTGGAATAACAAGGAGATCAGTGCCTTGCTCAACCCTCCTGTCTTCATACCGCCATCAAAGTCAACATTTTAATAAAAAAGAAACCAAACCCCTTTGCCAATAACCCAAAGAAATAGTAAACAAAAGAACGTGTACAGAAATATGACAAAGAACATTTTAAATCATATTCTAATGAGACTCTCCCTGAGTAGTCTTCCATTAGCTGTTCTTAATTGCAGTTTTGACACTTCTTGCCCTCAGCGGAGCGGATTGTGGCCTTTGCGGCGGTGGAGGGAATCTTCTTCTCTGGCTCTTTCGCTTCCATCTATTGGCTCAAGAAGAGAGGGTTGATGCCCGGCCTTACCTACTCCAACGAGCTGATTAGCAGAGACGAGGTGAGATGAATTCACACAAAAAACACACGCACACTTTAATCTGTCAAAAGGACCAACAATTCAGACTGCAAACCGAGGATGAGGACTCGGGGCGCTTAAGTTATCCATGGTGCTACATGGTCAGTTTGGGTAGCAAATATTGGTCACAGTTTGCAAATCAACACAGCGCAGTCACTGAATGATCTCCTCTGTTTTCATATTGACTCCGACACGTGTTGATGTGGTTCTCAGGGCCTGCACTGTAACTTTGCCTGCCTGCTGTACAGCCACCTGGTGAATAAACCATCGGAGGACCGGGTAAAGGACATCATCACTAAAGCTGTTAGCATTGAGCAGGTAAGCTAACTTTGGAGGGATATGCTTAACTACGCATTTCTAAATCGGCATATTGCTGCTTAGTTATTTTGCGCCCATTGCAATACCAGAATCTCTAAATAACCCATAGCAGTTCTGTTCATAACAATGTTGTTTGTTATTGCAGGAGTTTCTGACAGAGGCCTTGCCAGTGGATCTCATAGGAATTAACTGTTGTCTGATGAAGCAGTACATTGAGTTTGTGGCTGACCGGCTGTTCGCTGACCTCGGAATAGCAAAGGTTATTAACTTATTATGACACAATAAATAATGAAAGCCAAACACTTACTCATTTAAGCCCTTTACACTGCAGTATCTGTCATCTTAAAACAGAAATACCAACTCGAGAGGAACCAGAGTCCTACTATAAAATGGAGACCTTTGCGAAAATTAGCACTATGACAAATGCTGTACACAATTTGACAAAATAAATCAAATTGAAGAACAAGCTGTGTTATAGAATTGTATTTGTCTTTTCTGCTGTAATTTAAGTAATCTTTTTTTCTCTTCTTTTAAACAAAGGTATACCAAGCTGAGAACCCATTTGACTTCATGGAGTCCATTTCACTGGAGGGGAAAACCAACTTCTTCGAGAAACGGGTGGCAGAGTATCAGAGATTCGGGGTGATGTCAAGCACGAAGGACTGTGAATTCACTCTCGATGCAGACTTCTGAAATGGAGAGAAACTGCTGTTCACGCAATATTTATCTAAGCAAAGCATCATTGCAATATTATATTTGACGGGTTAAAGCTTTTAAAAAGGGATTGAGAATGAAGCCTCAAGTAAATTAGCAGCAAATAGTTTGTAATATGAAACGGTTGGTTTATTGTTCTTCCCATGGCTTGAGATGTGTAAATTACATAAATATTCATTTTTATTTAAAGATGTCTCATACACTAGTGGTGGTGGACAACTTCTGTTCTAAATATACACACACGAAATGGAAAAATAGAAACATTTAATACAAATTTGTATTCTACCAAAGCTAAAACCTCCAGGATTGCTACTCTAATACCATACGTTTAGTCTACAGTTTTTTCCACCTTTTTATGTACATTAAAATGTTTTATCGTTATTAAATCGTCTTTGTTGTGAATCATCTGATCAGGCAGCAAAACTAAATTCACCGTTGCTATCAAATGTCTGCGTGACTTTGGTCAGTTAGAGGTGATTTGATTACACGATTCGGGTCTGGTTTACTGGGAGTCCGGACGAGTCGGTGGTTTGTGGTTTTGTTGGGATTCTCCCATCAATCGGATGCGTTTAGCCACTCCTCCGCTCGCCGCCGTCGATGACAGCTAACGGGTAGCTAACAGTTAGCTAACAGTTAGCTGGCGTTATCGCGATCCAGAGCAAGATGACTCGGGACCTGCGAGGCGCCGCGCTGGAAAAAGCCGAGCTGCTTTCCGGCCATTTGAAGGAGCTCGTGTCGACGGGTCAACAGTATGTCCGCGATCGGTTCGGGGTGGATTTGGGTCTGAACCCTGACGTGTACCCGACGTGGGTCATCCTGTCCACGGCCACGGTGGGTCTGCTCCTGCTGCTCCGTCTGTCCTGGGCCGCCGCCTGCGGCGGTCGGTTCGCCGGGAAGAAGCGGGGCTCGCCGGACCCCCGAGGTGCCGGGGAGCCCGGCAAGGCCCAAACGCCCAAACCGGAGGAACAAAAGAAGAGGAACAAAAAGAAACCGCTCGATAAGGTAACATAAAGCGGCGTTTAACGAGTTGCTGAATCACGACCAATCAAAACAAGTGCGGTCTGCTCATCTGGGCTCTAATGCTTAGCTGACGTGTTGTGTTCAGGTACCATCAAGCGAGTGGCATGCATGCTGTTTACCATCGTTTACCATCGCTATCGAAAAGTTTCATTTAATGTCAGGTGGCCAACTTTGCAGCCTCACACACACCGTTAGCTCGACGTTAGCATTAAGCGTTGCAGACCACTTTTCTGCTGAACCGGCGAGAAGCTCGTCCCATCTGTGGTCATGTGACCTAACAAAAATAAACGAGTTAACTTTAAAGGGCGAAACGTACACAATGATTCGTGGCTTCGCGCTCAAAATCAACTAGGTGCTATCGGGATAATTGTCACGTTAAACGAATGACGAGTCATTAGCTGGTGACGGTTTAAGCTAGCGGGTTGAAACGTCATCATTAGGCCCACACCTGAAGAATGGCGTCTGACGCGTGAACTGTGACGTGGCGAACACGCCTCCTGTCAGGTGTGTTCAGTGTACCGTCTACTAACAACTTTAGTGGGTTTAATAAAAGGCTACACTGTAAATTAAGAATTCAGACAGATTGTCGTTGAAATTAACATTGATTTAGTTTCAAATTAAAGTAAATTCAATCGATCATCCACATGTTTCTCCCCCCCCAGAACACTCAATCCAATGGACAGCCGGTGGCTGCAGCTCAAGATGCAGTTAAAGTTAAAGCGACCGTCGTGGTTCCCAAGCCAGCCCCCCAGGTCAAAACCCAGAAGGTGTGTGTGTGTGTGTGTGAGCAGATGCTGACAATAAGTGGAGACAAATGTATTTAGCGCACGTTCTTTTGTGACCCCCCCCCCATACCTACTTTTCAATATAACAAAATAACAGGTGCCTGAGGTGCAGGCCGCGGTGCAGGTGATGAAGAACAAGAAGAAAACCAAGACGATTGTGAAACCAGCTGTGAAACCAGCCCAGCTCGTTTCAACAAATGACGGGAAGGAAACCGACGATGGTGAGATTCAACTGTTAGAAGGGAAGTTACTTAACTGTTTTACCAAATACACAGCTCTCCTGTTTAAAGTAATTGCAGTCTTCTTGACTTGTGCAGTAGTGGTTTCGCCTCTTGCCACAGTTAACGTTCAGTTGTCCTGTCGTAGCCGGCGTCTCAGCTAAATACTCAACCAAAATCCGTCCACAATGACTTAAAAGACTTTCTCTAACAGTCTTGCGCACATGGCGGACTCACTTAACAATTTTATGTTGTTGTTTTTCTCTCTAGCGGGCAATTGGGAGACCAAAGTCAGTAACCGAGAGAAGAAGCAGCAGCGCAGGAAGGACCGGGGCCCTGAGGACTCTGGGAGCCCAGGAGGGCTGCAGGCTCCCAAGGGCAATGTAGAGACACCTGCGGCCACAGCGCGCGTCAACACCAAGAAGAACCGAGGAAACACCGGTATTCATCAACGGCATGAACATCTGGCTCGCATACAGTGTTGCCAGGCTTCACCAAGAATAATCGTGTAATGAACTCAAGCATATTATTGTCCCCCGCTTGTTTTCAGAGCCCTTGCAGTCGAGAACCGCTGGGAAGAGTGAGACTACTAGGAGAGCTGGTAAAGACAAACACAAGCCATCATTTTCTGTGACTGAGATGGAGACACAATTTAACTGCTTCCTATTTTCTTTATTTTGTTTTCTATATTTTTCTGAGTAAAACCTTTTCTAATATTAAGATGAGATGTCAGAAGCTGTGTTTCTGATTCCTGGGTTTTAAAATGACTTTTATTCTTATTTCTTTCTAAAGAAAGCTTCCAAGTTTAACTCCCGAACTTTGTGTACCTGCACAGTGTCGTCCGCCCGGAGAGAGGAGCCGTCAGTCAACGGGGGCGGTTGGACCGATGCGTCACGCCAGACGGGCTCTGGCGTCCCCGCTGCTACACATTACAGGGCCGCTCCGAGGCCTCAGACCTGGGGACAGGAGACACCAGGTACTACCTCGGGCCAGAATCAACCTGTAACACAGAGAAATAGAAGAATTGAGAGTGCAGTGTAACACGACAGAGTCCACACATCGCCCCCCCCCCCAGGGGGACTATTTAAATAGTGGACACGTGTTACAAAATCGATGAAACGCTTAATAAAAAATAAAGCTATCCGCACTAAAATAGGCAGCAAAGCTTTGCAGCCAGCTGTCACATGAAAGCATAGTGGAAACAGAACAGACACCAGTTGGATGAATATTCTTTATAAATCTGAGCCCCATTGGTTTTCTAATCGGTATGTGTGTTTCTGCCTGTCCCCCCCCCTCCCAGCAGCGTGGAGTGGCATCGATGGCCGAAAAAAGGCCGACATCAACCCTGTGACCTTCTCCATGCTGGGACCAAACGCCACAGGTCGGTATTGTGATTAACAGCTTTAACACCCTGTCACACACCAGACTACTTCCAGGATGTAGAATCTGAAGATACACCTTTCGCTGAGCAATGACTCTCTTTCCCATTAGCTGTCTCCTTAGAAACCATATCAAATTCAATGGAGTGGGCGAAGCCCCCCGATGTTGATAATGAATGGTCCGGATACAGTGAGTATTTTAGCCCAACGCATCTTTCTACATAACAGCAGATCATAAAAGTAAAACGTTTTTGATCTTGAAATGAAATGCACGTGCTGAAGTGTCAATCAAGCGTTTGAATCTGTGAATGATACTAGATGGGAAGGCAGCCGCGGACCACAGCTGTGACTGGAACGCCCCAGAAGAGCACTGGGGCAACTACGAAGAGCCACCTGTGTTGGTGACACCAGCGCCTCCGCTAAAGGAACCGCCGGTTCCCAACAAGGTACCACTGACACTCACCCACGTTCTCTCATCACATCCAGTGGACTTCTCTAAATCAAACATTTCCAAGGCCAAAAAGTGCCTGTAACATTAAACGAGGCTTCTTAGATTCTGGAAATGATGGCCTTGCTTCCCAGTTTTGCCACATGCAACAAAGCGAACGACGGAATGGCTTCGATCCGCTTCAGGGATTCTTGCATTCTTGTTGTTTAAATCTCACAGCGGTCCGCTTCTTTCTACCACGTGCACCACCGTTGCCAGAACGTGTCCGCTTTGTCGCGACAGGTATCGGAGGATGAGAAGGACGCCGAGGACCCTTCCGGCGGAGGAGACAAGTCCAAGAAGAAGCGGAAAAAGAAGCAGAAAACCGAAGAGGAGGCCGCGTCTGAGGCTCAGGCAAGTAAACGATTGTAAACTGTATTTAAATGAAACATAGGCATTATTTGTATTTTTGTAATGCCGTTGCATTTCGTTGATTGCAGACGGTGAGCACGGTGCCTCTGGTCAATGCAAAGGCCAAACCTCAGGAGCCGAATGCCAGCGCGAGTACGTAGCTCAGACGCTGAGTTCATATCCTCTCGGAGGACGGTACAGCAGTGACACGATGGTTGTAAATAAAAGTCTTTGTTTTTTCTTTTTTTGTCTCTCCTTGCAGAGAAGTGCGAGCAGGCTGCGGAGCCTCCGAAACCCTCCCAGAAGAAAAAAGTCCGACGGGAAACCTGAAGTCACAGAGATCCATACGAAGCATATGCAAATGATTGTAAGACGTGTCACATGCAATAATTACCAGGTACAGAGTTCCTTTCTGAGATCCATTAACAGTTATTTAGTTACCGAAACAAAAATAATCACGGCAAAGGATTATTACCTGCTTGGCTAAATATAGTGATGAATGGTGGTCCTGTGGACTCAAATCTTAACTAATTTGCACTATTTTGATCGGAGTTCCTGGGGGAGGTCAGACCTGCAGTCAAAGTACATGTTTGTGTAATTAATGTGTCCTGCATCAAATGTTTCTTTTTTTGTGTTTTTTTTCCCGTCCACAAGTGTACATTTATAGTTGTTTGCCCAAAAGTACAAAGCAGGTTTTTTTAAATCACAATTTACAAGAGAAGAAAAAAAGTCTTGTTCCCCAAAATGATGCACTTTCTTTTGTTTGCTTTGCATCTGCGCCGCTTTCAATATACCTGAAAAGTCTGGGCGCGAGCTGCATGTGAAGGGCCGGTCTCAGATCAGCATACGCTCTGGTACGTTTTTAAAGTCTATGAAAACCGGCGCCCATGTGTTCATTGGGAGAGTTGAGGGCCTCCCTTTTTGCTCAGGCCATGAGCTAACAAAACCCCCATAGAGAAAATACAATGTAGAAATTAAGGGTTTTTTAAACAAAGTAATGGCCTTTTAGAAAACTAAATGTTGTCTCTGTGTTTTCCCCAATTCCAATAGCTTTGCTGATATGACAAAACCCTGACTATGAACCTTCATGTGACTCCCGGGACAAAGTTTTAATTAGCTGAATCTGCTGACTGCTGTATTGCTTTTGTTTAGAAGTTGTTGTTTTTTTATACCTTTTTATATTCAACGTGTTCCCACGAGTAGTCCGCACGGACACGAGAAGTGACCTAGAACTCACTCGCCTCAAACTTCACGTGAGTGGTAAAATCGGTTTGCCTTTGAAGTAATACCTCAACTAAATATATCCTTGCAGTACAAACACTCACTTCATGAAGAATGGCAGCTGTTATCAGGTACCTGGCCACCGAAACCGAACTCCACCTCCCTGCAACGTAATCCACCTCTTCAGCCTCCATCCGTGTGTTTTTTTCTGTTCAAAATGTTCAATGTTTCGACACAATATGGCTAAATACGCCCCTGTCTGAGCTTCAGAGCAGAGAGTCACAGCAACACACTACACCGAAGAATTGAGAAGGATTTTCCTGAAACTCAGCTGAAAAGTAACTAATTCATCAGTTATGGATCTGATATTGTCTTCAAAGACGACGCTTCATCCGGAATTTGGATTGACGCTGAGGACTGTTGAGCACAGTGGCTGATAGGAACCACCGGGAGGCGCTGTGGTGTGACGGAAAGGACCAGGCGGGATTATCACAGCAGTATTGCCCCCTGACTAGTGTCTGTCTCTATCTGGCCAGACTATGTTGGTCTTAACAGTCCCTTCTGCACACATTTTATTTTTTTCTTCCAGTTATTTGCTAGATAAAGCCATATGTACAGACTGAGGGCTTTTCTTTGTGATTGCACTGTGCTAAAGGCTGTACGGAGTTCCTTTTGATGTCGATTACTGTTTTTGACTAACTTTTTGCAGAATGTGAAAGTCAGGATTCATTAATAGACATCTAAGTTGGTTTTAAACAACAAATTAATAATAAATATTAAAGGAATTTAATTCCGTTGCCTTAACCTAATGTTTGCATTGGCATCCTTTTTTCAATTTTTTATGTTCCAACAAATTGCAAGTTTTGATGTCAGTTATTTTCTTTCTTGCATGACTTTGATATTCGTACTTGTGTACAAAACATGAAAGATCTCCTGCTTTTAACCGTTTATACAAGGTTCTGGAGAACCACTCCGTGTATTGTTTGATTTTTTTTTTTTTTTTTTTAATAAGACCAAATGCAGCTTTTCTCTTGGCACCCTATTGAGTGGACATTATCCTGAGTCTGTGTTGGAGGTCACAGAGCTTTGGTGCATCGCGGTGTTGCTGCTGGTGACGCGCAGCTGATGGAACAAAATTATACGTCGCTGCGGCTTCGGGTGCGCTTTTCTGTTTTAATTTCTACTGATGTTTCAAATTGATTCAATGTATTTATATACTTGTGACACGTAGGACACGGGGCTCGGAATAATTCTGTTCATTGAGATACAAAGGATATTTCTGCTTGTTTGGTAAAAAAATAAATGAGAATTGCTTGATATCCATTTGTTTTGTCCATTTAGTTTGAAGCTTAAAAGGAGGGAGGGTTAAAAAATGTTTTAGGTTTTCTTCCAAATAAAGGAATGGATTTTGGGCATATTTTAGCAGCGGCATCTCGGACAGGCCATACTGATATAAATGTTCTCCCGCTGCTCTTTGGCATCTTGTTTTCATGTCCTCTCAAAACTAATCTGTGATTTATACAATGAGGTCAGATCTGAGTAGCGGTCCTGCCCGGTCACCGTGACCCTCCTGAGGAGAAACCGCTCAATGAGGGGAGGCGGTCGCATGGTACGCTCGCACAGCCTGACCTCCTCCGTCTCATCCCTCCCTCCCTCTCTTATCGGCCCGTTCATTTCGGATTTACCCGTTTTTTAAAAATCTGGCTCAATCTCTGGCTCACTGTGCATCCACCTTCACTTCAGAGAGATATCATGCTGTTGTCGTTTTATTGGTCTTCCCAGAGGATTGTTGCATTTGTTCGTGTTTGTGTGCGTGTGTCTGTGCCTGATGCCCCCCGTGTTCATCGCGAAGGTCACTTTGTAACGTGACCCTTCCCCGTGTGTGAAACCCGAGGGCCTCACATGCAGTTGTGTCCCGAAACGAGTCAGTAGAAAGTGGGGACGTTATAGAGTCGAACCAATCAATCAATCAACACTGGCTTGTATCCATCTGCAGGTTTGAGAAGAAGGATTATGAGGCTTTGTATTTCCTGTCATTGTCGGAGCTCTCTTTAAGCGGCTATAAATACATTTCAAACACTGTCTAAAGTTGGCTAAATGGAAAATGTGAAAGCTGGAAGAATTGACCATCAGTCTGCCGCGTGGTCGTCAGATTGCATTCCAGCGTTTTAAAGAGGTGGCAGACCGGTCAGTATTAAGTCATGGCAGGAGAGGAAAATCCCCTTACGTGACGATGATGCCGTCCACCCACCAGAGCTTAGAGCTGTTGTCGCCGGCCCATCTGTCAGGCCGGATCCAGAACGTTCGCTCAGACGCACACAAACGGACATGTTTCTCGTTTCAACAGTGCAGTGAAACTCCTCAATCGTTAAGTCATTGTATTTATACTTAGTTCCTCAAACAGAGAAGAGAAATGCTAACGTGGTGACATCTGAGTAGGTCTCAATGTGAACCGAGAATAGATGAAGCATAATTAACGTGACACTAATTGGGCCACTTTTATTTCAGGAGGATGTCAAGTGCTTCATGCAAAGAGTAACTGCTGCATTGGAGCACAGCAGCTTTAACAGGCCGGGGGTCTTGGGGATAAATTGAGCTTTATTTCACTTGGTCGTGGTGATGCAGGGCTTCTACAGGCTTCTTCTTCCTCTGGCTAAATTAGGAGCTGTTTAAGTTCCATTGTTAACATAATATGCCTTTTAAACCTATATTCCATTACCAATCGCAATGGCAGGTCATGTTTTCAGGGCATTATTATGGCGACGAATGCTAAAGATTTTTCTTTATGTGTGCACTTATTATTCTTATGCTGTAGTTTGAAACAAACCTGTCAGACTTCAAAATGTAACTAAAGGATTTAAAGATCATCACAACGCACCACTTCCACCAGATCTATTGAAACAATGCTGATCTATTGAAATGACGCTGACTCGAATTTGAATGTACATAATTCACCCTCCCACCATCAAACTACCGATGGTGTAAAAGTGTCGATGGACGTTTTAAGGATCACTGGAAGTCTCCCAGTTAAAAATCCAACACTGACGAAAAAGACCCGGAGCTTTGAAAGAAAGCAGGAGCTGCTGAGATACGTTGTGTGATTATAAAGCATTTGGCATCCCTCCATCCCTCGGATCCCCCTCCTCCTAATCCTCCTCCTCCTCCTCCTCCTCCTCCTCCTCCTCCCCCTCCCTCCCCCCTGCAGGGGCAGATTAAGGGCTCTCCGTGGATCGGAGTCCACTCGGTGAACATCGTCTCTGACACTCGCTGCATGCGGCGCTCTCGCATCTTCCTCGTGGCGTAGCAGCGTGGAATAGTTCCTCCACTCGGTCGTCGGGGAGGAAGAGGAGGAGGAGGAAGCGGAGGAGGAGGCGGTGGAGGAGGAGGAAGAAGAGGAGGCTCTGCGGGCTGTGCATTGATGAAATAACGCGAGCTCCGGAGCAGGGTTCAGGATGATTTCTCCGTGGGACCGGTGGTACTCGACGAGCTGCTGCCTCTGCTGCCACGTCCGGACGGGCACCATCATCCTGGGGATCTGGTACATGGTGAGCGAGGGTCTCCCTCCGCGTCCACGACAAGAGACAAATGCGCTTTTAGTTTGTGTCAAAGTATCAGTTGTAACAGCGGAGGACGTTTCCGCTGGAGGTTGTTTTTTGTTTTTTGTTTTTTTCGTTACTCTTTCGTGATTTGCCATTTTGCAGGCTTGTCCTCTGGTCCTCGGCGGATGTAACGTGGCGGACGTTACATCACGTGACTAACGTTACATCACGTGACTGGCGTTACATGCCTACCTTTACCCCGATCTTGGCTTCGATTGGGGGGTGTAGATGTATTTTAATCAAATACAGACGTGACACATAACAAAATCTGCATATTTATTTATTTATTATGTATAATAACTTGACTGTGGATTTGTTTGTTGTAGGTGGTTTCAATATTAATATAGAGTTGGCTTGTTTTTAACCAGGGGATAACCCCACGTGTCAACCCAAGTATAGTTGTTAGATCCCTGACCTCTGACCTTTCCCTCTCTGTGACCCTACTTCTATTCAAGGAAAAGGACTAATCATTGCTGTTTTTGACCACTTTTAATCAAGAAAGGGACCAATGGAGTACTTAATAACAAGAACAATAACGGGTTGAGTTGCTTCATCGGGAGCTCTGTCCAATAGATCACATCGAGCAGACTGTATCACTTCACGAAGAGGAACTCATTCAAAAACCTCTTCATCTTAGCTCCTTTCATCACCTCAACAAAAAGCCCATCTGGCGCTTTCTTTTCCGAACGGTGGACCCAGGATCGTAAAATGTGAAACGATGTGAAATGTAATGTTAACATACACGACAAATTGTAGCACTTAAATTGTACTTATAACGCCATCTATAGCAAATTGTAAATTGGCTTATTTGAGGAAATTGCACTTTCTTGTTTCTTGTTCTTCTGAGTTTGTTCCCTATGGTTGAATGCACTTATTGTACGTCGCTTTGGATAAAAGCGTCAGCTAAATGACATGTGATGTAACATTGATCTTCATCTTCCCGTAGCTCATCAACGCGGTGGTCCTACTCATCCTGTTGTCGGCTCTCAACGACCCAGTTCAATACCGCTACCACCTTACCAGCTCTGAGCTGGGAACCGACATCGATGTCATGGACGATGCGAGTGAGTGCAGCGAAACCAGCCCGCGTGTTCCATACCTGACGAGCCGTGTCTCGCCTTGGACGTCCTCAATGAGGCGCGCTCGTTTTTCTACGTGAGAAGTAAAAAGATGCAAATGATTGGAGGGAAGGAATAAGGAGAAATTGACCTTCTTGTCAAAATTCTTCTACAAAGAAATTGAATTACCCTGTATGGTAAATAATGCACTATTTCTGGGATGTTTAAATGATATGTTAAATAACGGCACCGTTGTGAAGCACACAGTTTGAGTCGTCTAAAGATTACGCTCTAAGAACGTGAATACAAATCCAAGCCACATCCTAATAGCAACAGTAACAACATCGAATGCCCCGGCCTTGTTATTTGTGTTTATCTCCTGGTGTTTCTGCTGCTCTACACTCTCCTCTCCCTTCTGCCCACCACTTCTTTTCCCCCGGCGCTGCTCTCAGCACAGACGTAGCTGAGTCGGCTCCACGCAGAACGCATCAGTGTGCACGCGCGTGTTTTCGGTATTCCCCCTCCGGCCGCTATCAAACTCATCGGACACTCTATCGGACGCCGCCATGACCGATTGCGTCGTTGCACGGACGACGTGTTTGTGGGCGCGCGCTTCTCTTTTGCACGTATTGTTTATATATTTTGCGTGGGGAGGGGGGAATAAGATGGAAGAGCATCATCATTTCCCTGAGTCTCAGTGCTCAAGTTCTTCTCAGTTCTTTGTGAAAAATGGTTATATTTTTTTATGCCAACAACGCTGACACAAGAGAAAAATAACCGCTGCACTGTGAATTCGGATCCCTTTCACCAAAGCGAACACAAGCAGATATCCGGTTGTAACTGGATGTCCGTAGATCGGTGACATCGACGGGCCTCTCGTCCATCAGATGTCACGTGGATGCCAGCGGGCTCTCACGTCAGGTCAAATTCAGCACATCTTGCTGATCTTTTTTCTTTCTTCCGAACAGACTGCGTGCTAAAAATAGCAAGGTTACTTAAGGTGCTTAGTTTGATTACCTTTTGGATTAGGTCATCAGGCCCAAGGGTTCAAGAGAAATATTACAGCGGCTTTTCACCGGTAAAGTAGATTATCTGTTCTCACATTGTTCTGTTTTGTGTTCTGCTTCTACAGATATCTGCATTGCCACTGCGATATCCCTGCTCATGATTCTCATATGTGGCATGGCAACGTACGGCGCTTACAAGGTGAATGAACAAGCAAATAGATTTAAACTGACCTCTGACTTTAATGAAACTTGTACTGACTTTCTTCATCTCTTCTGGATGTCTCCTACTCAGCAACATGCTGCCTGGATCATTCCGTTCTTCTGCTACCAGATCTTTGACTTTGCCCTCAACACACTGGTAGCCATAAGTGTGGTTGTTTATCCCAACACGGTGCAGGATTACCTGCAGCAGCTGGTGAGGACTCTTTCCCTTCAAACAGCTGCTTTTATTAACTTTTAGTTACTACTACTACAGTTACATACTTCTGCTACAATTTCAATTTGACTACGTATGATTTGTAAAAGGACGTTTCCTGACTTTCTTTTAATCTTCGGACATTTATTAACTTGATTTCTCTCCCTTCCAGCCGGGGACATTCCCTTACAAAGAGGACATCATGTCCACCAACAACGTGTGCCTAATTTTTGCTGTCCTCCTCTTCATTGGATGCATCCTCTCCTTCAAGGTGAGCCCACGGAGTCTCTTCAACACGTCAGATTGGGCCGATCTTTGGCCGTTTTCTGGGCTGTCGTTAATGTCTGTAATAGATAAATAGAATACTTTGAAGGGGCATTAATGATGCTACACATTACATCCACCCACTGAGCTTTTTTAAATAGATGTACTCGTCCTATTGCAACGTGATTAAAGCAATTAGGTCTCACACTGTGCACATCTCATGCGGGATGAACCATATGGCGTGTGTGATGAATCTGCCAGTGTGAACAATCCAATTTCTGATGTTTTTCATGAGATTATCACACAGTCAGAGAGCAGCGGGTCAGAGACAACAGGGAACAGGCTCCTGTCGAGCCAGCTCCCCCTTAATGCATGGATGGCTCTCTAGGCGTAGCCGTGCTGCGGCGCTCCGGGACGAGATGGGACAGGAAGCTCCAGTCATCTGTACAATCAAATCAGGTTGTTTTTCCTGCAAGCTCAGATCAACAGGCAGACATCCAAAGGCAGAGCCGGGCTTTTATAATAGCAAGCAGCCACTGGAACTTACACTGCTGGACTTACAGAGAGGACAGTTTGTGTCTCATGGGTTAGCTGAACTATTTTTAAGAGAAAATGGAAATGTCATCTTGAAGTTTGCCAAGCTAAATGAATAGAATCCCATGCTGCAAATACATGCAAACGCTACTGTGGTGATCAGTTTCCCTGGAAAAGGGCCAGAGAAGAAACCTCAGCACAGAGGCAACACCTGCTGACGTTTCCTGTCCTCCACTCGACTGCACTCAGCATAAATGACGGAGAGAGGCAGGCAGGCAGGAAGGAAGAAGGAGAACTGGAGGGAGAAAAGAGGGATGCGGCAGATAGAGAAATGTACACACAGATGGTTGGACGGATACAGAAATAGGAATTCTATGGGCAAGACAGTCGGACTCAGGCCTTTTGCCCAGAGAGTCGGTATCGCACTGAAAGGGTCGGGGACGACTAAAAGACAAAAACAAACTGTCATGTAGCCCTGGTCTGCCTTGTTGCAACGGTAGGTCAATTATCCCAGTGGATACGATGCGTGTCTGACGTCAGAATCCCTGACGATGAGGAGTGGAACTGATGAGGGTGAAGGTCACGGTGTGGTCTTTGTTTTTATCTATCCATGGACAGGCCTACCTGATTGGCTGCGTGTGGAACTGCTACAGATACGTGAGCGGCCGGGGCACCACGGAAGTCCTGGTTTATGTCACCACCAATGACACCGCGGTGAGTAATCGCAACCCCCCCCCCCCTCCGACCCCCCGACCCCCCAGGTCTCCGCCTCAAGGACAAACTGAAAACCACCCTCTCTCGTGTGCGGCATCGATTTATTTTGGTGGCTTAGAAGCTTCCGGGTCATTTCGTAAGGGGATTATTATTTCGATAAAGGTTTTTAAATTCAAGGTATTTGCCCCGTTAACTAAATCAAGGGGGCAAAATAAATGTGCGGTTGTGTATGTAAAGGCCTCCAGGTATCAAATATAGCCCAAAATGGCCCCACTTGTCACAATAAAGGGATTAAAGTCAGATTATATGTTCAGCTGTGAACCAATTTGCTTTTGTACCTGCAGCTCAATGAGTTGATACCTCTAAATGTACAAGGTAAGGATTGTAGGCATTATGGTTATGTAGCGTGAATTGTGCTTAGAGCAGCAATTTAGAGCCAGAGATCTGAGATTTAACTATTAAATGCAAATTCGCAAACAACCTCGCTGACCTCAACCTCATATTTGAGAAGTTAAATGAATCTGTGTAACGCGGAAGGAAAAGAATGATTTTTCTGTTCGATGTGGAAAATATTTTCATGATTTCCATAATAAAAAATGATGATTTTATCATCTGCATCATTTAATTACATTCTATTTATTAAAAAAACCATTTTATTTAAATGTCTAATATTGTTGCAAACAAGACATTTTTAAAATCAAATCACTTTCCATGAGGTTCAGTTTAGCGAGGCCCAGCCATAAAATCCCCATCAATGATAGAATATCTGTCCATTCACAGACCCTACATACATACGTGAAGATGCTATGTGTAGTATTACAACCATTCATTAGTAATTAGAAAAAAACACCAGAATTACCCAGCCTGCAGTCGGTAATGTATTTATATCTATTAACTTTGGAAGAAATTAAGACAAAAACAAGAAAATATTTGCGTCATAATAAAACCCTACACATATCACTTCAGTATTGCAAACTACAGCAGTAGAAGTGGGGAGGTGAGACACAGCGTGTTACTTGGTGTGTGTAGCGGCGCTGTAGGCGCCGTAGGTCGTGCTGAGGTGTGATTGGCTGGCGGTGGGGAGCTTTTACGTCGTCCATCACCGCTTCGTCCCCTGTCGGTGGTGACTCACGGGGTTTCAGAGAGGCTTAAGCGTGGTCACGTTTTTTTCCATTGGTCCGCCCGCCTGTAATCCTCCACGCTGACACACGAGGTGTTAATCTGTTCCCCTCCAGCTTTCGTCTCCTCCGTGTCTCCCTTCGTCGTCGCTTCACACAAAAAACAAGTAGACTCTCCTGTTGTGTATCATGGGGCGAAATATGGGTTACGTGTCAATCAGGAATCTTATGAACCTAATATTTTAGCAAATGTGTTTTGGGCTAAATCACAGTAATTACAACTGAGGAAACTAGGTCAAAGGGAAGGCCACAGCACAAGCTGAATTTTAACTAGAGAAGTATTTAAATGCAACAAATGGCATGAATAGTGACAACATGACTTCCTTTGGAGAGCCAAATGAATATGGAGCGCTGCATCTATTTTTACTGTTGGCGAGCCAGCAGTGTGTCTAAATGGCTGCTTATCTGCCGTGCTTTTATATAAACGCCATTCAAATTCAAAAGGGTCACCCCCACCCCACCCCCCCCCCTCTCTCTGCCGCCGATGCCCCCCGGCCCCCTTCTCGCTGTATATGTCTCTGTCCATCCTCTTCTCCTCTTTTGGACATGTTACATAATTGTCTGCTTGTCCGCCTCATTTCAAATCCTCCCAGTGATGTGTTTCGGCCGGGCCTCCCTGGCCGCCTCACAAATCCGTCCCCTCGGAGCATATTCTCTCTCTCTCTCTCTCTCACTCTCTCTCTCTCGCTCTCACTCACTGAATTGGCGGCAGTGCTGATTTTATGACACCATTCGCAGAGATAAATCTCTGACGGCAATCTGCCCTCTAAGGGCGTGTGTGGAGGTTACCCTTGCAGCTGGAAAGGCCCCGTGTGGGGACGGAGTGAAGAGTATGAAGAAGAAGTAACGTTTACCATGTCTGAAATCACTTCCTGTTCTCAATAAGCTGCCATTTTTATTTTAGTGCCTTGTAATAAATATATATATATATATATATATATATATTTGATGGATGCTTTGAAACTGAAAGACTCCCTCCTGGTTATCCGTTGTATTTCAGGTTCTGCTGCCCCCGTACGAGGAGGCCCTTGCTGTACCACCGAAGGATCCCCCTCCCCAGTATATGGAGGCGTGAGAGACGTCCCCTACACCCCAAACTCCGACCACGTCTCCCTCCTCCTCCGACAGTAGGACCCCAGCGCTGACCGGGACCAGCTGAAAACCAGACAAAGGTCTCCGAGGCTCGAATTCCTGTCAACCTCTAATTAGATTAGCCTGTAGCCCCCCCCGCCCCGCTCGCCCGCATTCTGGCCGCTGTGACGTATTTTCCTCGTCTCCTCTGTCCTCCTCAAGGACAGTATCGCATCCATCTCAACCCTCTGAACCCCCCCTGAACATTTTGTCCCAACTTAATTTGCAGTTTTCTTTGAGCGAAACGTGCACCGGTTTGGCCACCAACTGTTAATCCCCCGATACTGTGACTCTCCCTCGTGGTCTTTGTCTAGAAGCAAACCCCCCCGAAGACAGAAAAGTGACGGAGAGAGAGAGAGAGAGAAAAGGGAAGCGACGTAAACCATCAGTCATGCAAGAGCACTTTTTTTCCAGAAATTGACAATTCCCTTAGTCGAATGTAATGACGAGGTATTTTTGTATGACGTTTTTGTATAACGGTATAAATTGAGGGGGGGGGCAGTGAAAGGCTTTCCTCTTGTGATGTCATACGCTGTGGCTCGTCTTTCCCCCCCCGACCGGTGTCCTTTGTAACCGCCGTCTGGTGACCTGCGACCCACCGGCGGCCCGCAAGGCGACGCCTCGTTCGCCCGCACGTCTCCATCCCGATATTCCAGTTTGCCTTCCTCTCTGTTCCGACGTCTCAGAAAGGCCCAGAAGGACGTCCGCGTCATTTGAAGCGCACCAACGTAGACGTGTCTCACAATGCGGACGCCTCGCGCCCGAAAAAGTAATACGCGTAACGGCAAAATGTGAAAAGTGTGTGAAAAGTGATTCTGTGTCGTGTTCTCGTCGAGCTGCAGCTTCAGCGGCATCGTTAGTGTCTTTGTTTCTTCTTTTGAACGGATCACGGTGAATAATCTGATCTTTTTAGGGCATTTTTTCTATGAAGGCGGCGCAAACGTGCAGCTGTACACGCAGAGGCCGCTCGTGTGTTAGTGTGTGCGCGCGCTTGCCTGAGCGCGATGTGTGACGTCACTCCTGGTTCCTTTTACACGTGGTAACGTTTCCTTTGCACGTGCAGTGACGTCGTGTTATATTTCCTGTGCTGGTGACCTTTTAATGAAATTAACGATGGCCGGGAATTTAAAGCACTGATTTCGCTTAGCGTAGTAGCACAAAGTCGATACACAGTAGATAGAGCTAGATGTTTGTCTTTTGTCTAGAACTAATCAGAGAATATGAGGAATACTAATGGAATAAACAATAATAGATAAACTTAACCCCATTCTTCCCTATAATTGCTAAGTAATATATTTGTGCATTCAACAACTGATACTAATACTGTATTTAATAATGTAGCCAGACATTTGTTGGCCCCTTTGTCATTTTTTCCGTGTGTGAATTATGACCATTGCTGTTGCGAATCCAACATAGCGAAACATTAAATTGCACTTTAAAGTCAGCGTGAGCTCGTGTCTGAAGTGATGATGAAATGTATTCACGTTCTCGGCGGTCTGCCGTAGCTGAGTGTTTTTAAACACGATCAGCCGCCCTCCTCTGGACGGCAGAACCTTCTATAACACCACATCAATCTGTCAGGCTGCACAATTTAAAGCGACTGAAGGAGGATTTCAGCTGCAGGGTTCAGAGGAACGGCTTGTACAGTGTCTGGACCAGTGGATGCATGGACGCTGTCTCATTTTATTAGAATCACTTCCACGACTGTTCTCCACTGCTTTCCATTCAAACACATCCTATTGTTGGATCTGCACGAGCTCATGTCTTAAATACTCAAAAATAAAAAGCAAAACCCGCCTGTGTCTGATTCTGGATTGGTTCATTGAGTCAACAGTTTGTTTATTGAAAAGGACAAATACAAATGAAAACACATTAAGTTAAAAATGTTTCATTTAATTTAACCGGTGTGGGGAAGGGGGATGTTCTCCATCCTTTAGTTTCAAACCAAATTAAGGGGCACTCTTGTCCATGTTGAAGATTAGTTCTCTTTATTTAGATGTTGCTGCAGACACAGGTGTCTCTAATAACGCTAACGATGGCTCCAGCGTGCACGATGCCAAACTTTTTATGTAATGTGCTGTCAGTTATGACAGTCATGTTTCTGATTAATCATTTTGTATGAGTATACAAAGCAATGAACACCCTGTAAATGTTCACTGGGGTCACATGCCATTCAGTTAGTTTATGTATACTATATTAATCCCCATTTAATGTTACCATGGTAAGAAATGTTCAATATTAACAGTTTCCTTGTATGATTGAATTTTACTCAAATGATTTTGTGCTACATGAACTAGAAATATAGATTTCAGATCAGTTAAAATGATCAACAAAAACGGAAGACAAACAATTGTTGGAGGATGCTGTAGTTCTATTTATGGTGCAGATTATTGCTTGATAATTCAAATCTTCCTCACCGGCCTCTCATCCGGCGCAGGGCATCTGTCGCACGCGAAACAGATCATCCAGGATGATTTCATTCGATTTAATTGGGAATCAAGAAAACCGCTTAGAGAAGCAGTGAGTGGAAAAACTGGGCCAAACCACTGGATGGATGATGGACGGCTTATATCTCTGGGATGATTCATCAGTTTCCAATTTAGGCCAATGGCACGGACATCTGGTCCCAATAAAAGTAAAATGTCCAGTAAAATGTCAAATCACAGACTGCTGTTCCTGGTAAACAAACATTATCTAGCGTTTTTCACTGGTTACATTTGATAAATGCTCAGATTCATCTAGAATGTATACGCTTAATGACTTATTTACCGCCAACATTCCTTCCATCCCACTCGCGGTGTGAGAACGGCTTCTTTCGCCACCAACAAATGTCCAACATACTTTTGTATTAATGAAGTGGTCATTTTGTGTTAGTGGATTTCATAAGTCTTATTTTAGCTCATATGTCCAACAAACCGTATGTTCAGTCAAACACTGAAGGTCGGCATCTTTAAAGTAGTTCCCAATTTGGATTTTTGACTTTCTTTGCTCCGTGGCTGAAAAAAAAAGAAATAAATTAAAGCAGCATAACATTTTGTGCTCCGCTTCTAGTATTTTTCAATACATTCTCACTGAAGCCACAGGACTTCAACGGCGTGTGTGACGGAGGCAGAGGCTAAAGCCTTTAATACCTCCGGAAGGACAGCACATTCTCACAGTCAACAGGACGCAGCTAATACAGCTCAACGGGATACAGCTAGCAAAGACATATCCTAAAACATTAGCAGACTCCCAAGACTAACCGTTTAGAATCTGATGTCCAGAAAAATGTCACCTAGTTTTCTGCTTATAAATCCCATATTGTTAACAGTCCAACAGAAACCAGAGGAAATCCTCCTACAGACATCGAAACAGTAAACACAATAACCCCATCTGAAAAGGTCTAGAGGACACTGATGCTCTCTGGTGGCTACTTGCGTCATTGACCGTATCCCAGCAGTGGAGTGATGCAACTTGAAATTGTAAAGAAATACAACAGCGTGTATTGTTAACACCGACTTTATTTATAACAACGGGGTGGGGGAACAGCTCTACTGGGGTGGCTGCTGCTGGTCTGGCATGCTCCTGATGATGTCAGAATCGCCTGAAGAGCAAAGAAAAGTCAGATCAAAAACATGTACAATGGAAAGACAATCAACAAGATCCTCTGCATAAAATAGCTCATTTTCCATAATATCATACTAATACATGTTAACACTGACCGTTAAAAGTAAATAATTTACTGAGCATCTATGAAAGGTCGGCAGAACAGCAGCAGTTCAACTTGCCACTGATCTTAAAATTGGACCACATTCATGAATATGTCCAACGGTGCCAAATGGACCAAAGAGATCATAAAGACATAGCGTTTTATCAAACATCAGCTAACCCAAAACATTCGTACGGTTGATGGAGTATTTTGCTGCGTTATTTGTTGCCCTGAATTAAGATTATTTGTAAATACATTGACAAATTGGTTGCACCCACAGAATTGATATTGTCTCTATTAATAGATCACAGATCTGGCTACTACCCTTATCAATGGTCAAACACAAGAAATCCTGCAATCAAATAGTTCCACATTAAAAGATACTAAAACACATAAATACATGATAAACAGATTAAAATAATCTGACCTCCCTGTATCTTGAATAGATTTACTGAGTGCCAGTGCATATAGGTCAACGTGAAATGCAGTGTTGTGGTTAAAAACTGGTGTTTGATGGGCCAGTATGTAAGTTTAGTCAAACCGACTTGCTCAGAGGCCATTAAACCTGCGTGTTAAGAGTAGGTACTCACCAGGGTCAATGATGGCCAGTGTGCACACCCTGAAGTATTTGCCGCAGGCTGTGCCGAGCTCAATGTTGTTTCCACTGTAGTGATGGACACCAGTCTTGGCCAGCATGGCATAGTACTCAACCTCAGATTTCCTGAACAGGACATACACAGAAGAAAAATGTGAGTCAAAGCAGATATAATACCTATATACATTCAGAACATTCAGAAATCATTGGCACAATGATCGGTTTTAACATGTAGTGCAACTTTACACCCACACGTGAATGCAGTGTGGTAATAAATCGTTGATGCCAGATGCGTTTTCAACCATATGGAACCATTGGTCACATAACACCAGTGTTACTACCTAACAGCCAACAGATACATTTGTTTACCTTAATATAACACATATAACGTATTGATCAGTCGTTTACCTGAGGGCTGGGCAGTTGTTAGCCAGGATGACTAGCTTGGCTTTTCCCTGACGGATCATCTTCTGGGACTGTTTGTAGCCCAGGACGTATTTTCCACTCTTCATCACCAGCTGGAGACGGGAGTTAATGGACTCCAAGGACTTTTTCTGAACAGACAATGCACAAACCTCAAGTTAGTGACAGCTCTATGGCCAACTTACGTATCAAGCATGAACCGTTTGATTCAGGGCGGTGTTCACCCACAACCGAACAGTGCGAATACTACAAGCACCATTTAACTAACGATCACACGGAGGTCAGCGTGTGTGATGCGTATTTGACGTACAATTTGCAGGAAATGTTGACAACAAAATGACGAAATCGTTAGCCTAAACGTTAGCAGGCTAGCATTAGCTACACTGCCGAGCTGATAACCTTTCAGTATTACGGCGACAGGCGTTCATCGACGGAGAGATGGGTCGACGGGTTGACTATCGACACATGCTTTCATACATTTACAGTCGAATTCAACAAAAAATACACGCACATCGGGTCTCAGCAATGCGTTAACATGGAAGCTACAATGCTAGCTAGCGGGCCCTGACAGAAACACGTCTCCACGTGAAGGCTGCCGCTAGCACAGCGCGTGCACCGCGGAACGGGCCGACGCCACTCACCGTTTTCTTTGCGGCCACCATTTTTGCGGGTTAGTCCTGACCGGCCAACCTGCGGTCGAGAGGGGAGAAGGAGAATACTTTCGTTAATGTCTGGATGCTAGAAAGATGTTAAATTGAACAAATCGCGGGTCATTTTAATCAGAAAACCCAGAGCTCTTCTTACAGTGAGTTAACTCCAATATGGCCTCGGAGAGAAAGGAAGTCCCATGGTGCATTGCGCTGCTATCTGTCCGTGGGCCTGCGCAGACGAGTACTGCGCACGTGCGCAGTCTACTCGCTGCAGATGGTTTACACAACTTGAAGTATTTGACAATAACGAATCAACACATATTCACATACAAATGTATAATTATGCTTTATATACACCCCTTTATTCAATGCATCAATTTTACACACAAAATATATGGCTACTCACACAATATACATTGCCCTGCTGATTAGAATACAAGTACACGTATAGGCTTAAACTAGTTTACAACATTCAAATGCTGTGGTCATGCATCAAAACCAAACCAACCACACAATAACACACTATAACGGGGCAATTCTGATGCCAATGCTTGTTGTATTGCAACAGTTCGGATCATCTCAATATTTTCCCAGTAGATTAACTCAGCATTAAGCTTTTTCCGAAAAGTACACATGGAGCCTAATTAATAGCTGTTGCGAGGCCAGAGGTTCCCTTTCCCCGCCCCAAGAGGTGGCGGCTAAACGCGGACTGAATAATGTATTTTTGTCCCTGCGCCAGCCTCCTAGAAACAGCCTAAGTTACAGTACACAACGGAAAGCCACACTTCACCTGCGTGCACAACTGTTTAGTTACTTGTTGCCACAAAACAAATAGCTGCACGCTATTTCTCGGAGGAAGACTCGTGATGCGCAATTCCTGAAGGAATTTAACTACCATTGTGCATTTTTGTTCCCCATCCAGGGGACCATCTACAGGTATAGCGTGAAGGTTTATCTCCATTAACAGTGACGATATCTGTGCACGACGTCATCAGCGCAGCTGCAAACCTCTCCTCAACCCCGCAACTCCCGAGTCAACCATTGCTGTGTGTGCAGGGAGCAGGATGGGATGCTCCGGCAGCTCCCAAACTTCAGCGGTGGATACGACCCGACCCGGTGCGAAGCCCGAGGAGAGCAACGGAGCCAGCACAACAGGTGATCTACACGCACGCAGTGTGTGTCTGTGAGACGCGAGGGGACGCATGTAGGTGTTACATACTCAGCTACAGGAAGCGTGTTTTAAGCGTCCCAACACAGAATATTACATTAATAACTGAACCCCTGCTCTCAAAATAATACTGTGTTGTCAGGGGCTTCACTTTTGAGATGTTAGTGGTGTTACATATCTCTAAATAGCTATTTTGTATTATGAAAGAACTTCAATTGTGCATGGATTATTATTGAACTAAAATGTGTTAATACGAGCCCTTTACTTTAATTTCCATTGATGATCAAATATAGTCTTGCAAAATGTAATAGGTTATAATGGCGTCATCAGTTTATCGGCATTTCCAACTAGGGTAATATCATTTAGAACTTTATAAGAATTTCCAGTAATCTGCCTTTTTGTACATAGTGTTTATTAACTTAACTATGTTGTTTTTAGCCATATTTAAAATATGTGTTTGTCAAACTGCATTGTGTCTGTGCTGTTTGTGTCACTTGTGTGAACTGTGCTACTGCCTCTTGGCCAGGTCATCATTGTAAATGAGAATTGGTTCTCAATAGATTTTACCTGGTTAAATAAAGGTCAAATAAATAAAAATAGACTAATACAGCAGTGAACACTTCTGATAAGGAGTTCAAGTCTACATGCAAACAATCACCAATCTATCTCTAAGGGCACTGTATCTAATGTCTGTATTTTTGGAGAACAAGAGCTCCACAGTGACAGGAGGGGAAAGTGTATTGTCATTATTTAACAGTGGCTTCTGGCTCTGTCCTCCCTGAGAGACACAGTGGCATGGAAGCAGATTTGGTGACTGTCTACGGTTTCAATGGTAAAAGGAGAATCCACCTGGGACACTTTGTTGTAGTGGCTGGTTGTACACATTTCACGATAAAACAGCAACACTGGATCCTGTGTTGGCATTCGGCAGTGTGAAGGGAGACTACGATCTTAATTTACATTCCAAGGCTGTCAAATGTGTATATTGGCTAAATCTGTGTTGTTTGCAGTTCCGCCCGCTTAGCCGTCATTTGACAGAACTCCAAGACAAAGAAAGTGAAAAACTGGTAAAAGATTCACTAAGTTGCATCACCTCTGAGCAAGTGCCTTTTGCGCTCGTTCTCTCTTTCTATTCCTTAAAAAAGCTATTACATTCCAATATGATGAAAGTATGGAGACACATGCGTGCATGCTCATATAACCGAGTATCTTGAAATACTTCATGTATGACAGTGCTATTTGGAAATATTTTATATAGCAAAAATAAAATACCCTACCTAAGTGTATCTAGCCTAATTTCCTGCAGCTGGCCCTGACCTCTGACCTCCCTGAAAGAGAGTGTCCGAGTTACTCTCAATAAAGTGTATATGTAAAATGTCATCATCACTGTTAACTGATAATGGCGGTTTTACTTGCAGGTTCCTTTTCCAGGTTTATCACCTGAGGTATGTTGAAAAGTGATGTATTAATCGTCTTAGAGGTCAGAGGGAAATCTATCAGGGTGCCGTCTTGTTTTTGCATGAGGCTCATTTCCTTCACCTAATGCTACTTTTCATACCCAAAAGACATAGATGACGTCTATTAATCAAAGGTTGATTTATTTAAACATTTATAGAACACAATCTCCTTTTAAGGAAAGTATTGTGACAGATGTCATGAGAAATGGAAAAGGAAAGGGTATCTTACTTATACCAACATAGACGATAGACAGCCCAGACTTCTATGATCCATGCAAATATACTCCCAATGCAAATCCATTAAACAAAAAGATGCTTGCACAGTATCAAGCACATAGCAACCTGTCCACATAGCTGTGAACTGCCCAGTGTGAGGCTGACTGTGTTAATTAACAACAATCCATGTAATGATTAACCCTTTTTGCACCAGTGGAGGTCGATTTATTCCATATTTACTTCCTTCCCAATGGCCTGTGGCATGGTGCCAAAACATAATTTATTATTTACCCAGTAAATAAAAGGGGGGAGGAGTTGACCGTGTAGAATTATGTTTCTCGAATAAGTGTACACACTGTGGTTTTGGTTTGGTGGGAGCTTTGCATGGTCAACAGCCAGTGATTGGAGTTTAATTCTAGGATTTTAGGAGACTTTATATCACATACAGGAGTGGAGAGATGTCAGGAAACAAGAGAAAGAGGTGCAGCAAAGGATTTGGGCCAGGGACACTTAGGATTTAGCGTGTAACCTAATAGCCAGAGCAATATCATTCGGGAGACATATCACCCCAGAAAAAACTACTGCTCGTCCCTTAACTCAGGTATCATGTGCCTTAAAGTGTTACAAGCCCCTGTGTTTCATGCAAATGTCATCATGCTTCTCATCTTCAACAGTTTTGCCTTCTCAATCCATATCAGCGGCATGAACCCAACAATATGGGTCATAAGTCATGCACTTGACTGCATTCAACGTAGTCCGTACATTTGTACTGGTTTTATATTTAATACATAGGTTTTACTTTATAATCAGTCTGTTTGAATCGTGCTTCTTGTTAATGTGTATGTTCCCGACAGGGGCGGCCAATGAAAATGGCAACATAGCCGAGGACAGCGAAACTATTCCTGACCAAACCCCTGCCGCCGCCGGCGATGCAAAACCTGCAGATGAACCTGTTGCAGCTGCAGCATCTGCAGATGACCCTGCTGAAGCTCTATCCGCAGAGGAGGCGCCTCCGCCTGCTGCAGCCAGTCCGCCTGAAGAGGCCGCAGCACCTGCCGAAGCAGCGGCAGCCGAAAGCCCCTCGGAGCCGGCAGCTGCAGCTCCTGAGGAAGGTGGGTCGGAGTCAAGAAACATCACTGGGACACGTCAGTCGTTTCCCTTTTGTTAACCATCATGGGGAAATGTTTGTGCTGTCAAAAGACTGCAGCTGCAGAACAACATACTCAACTTTGGCTATAGGCTGTTACTTGGCTTTAATTCTTCTGTAGCATCCTTCAGTGACCTTCCCCACTTTATCTCAGCAAAACCAAACCTCTCAGTGTTGTGGAGGTGAGAAGGTTCAAGCTGTGCGTCTCTATTCATCACTGTGTGTCACACATCAACTGGCTTTCTAGGATGGGGAACAGTTGCAAAAAAAGATCAAAGCTTTAACTGCTTAGTAAAAGATTGAAACACTGATTTTAGAGCATTTTTCTTATCATAATGTTCCTCTGTGAGACTGGTCATTGGATGCTGTTCACACAATAAGTATAAAACAATAGCCACAGTGTTCTTGTGTCGCACTGATGGGAGGATAACTAATGTACAACTTTTATTGATGACCAGCAGAAACCTGAGCACCGCTCCCCCTCCTGCAGAGCGACCCGATTAACGGCCGGGTACAAAATGTCTCTTCCGCCCTTCACTAGTCCCAGTGCAACGTGGGTAACCAGGCGGTATCCAACAACACACTGACATGTCTTCTGAAGAACACAGAGCCATTGGAATTTGTTGGATGTCTAATCGGAGTCTGTTGATCTATTACTAATGTCAGTGATGCCTGTTGTCAACGGCTGGAAACCAAAGATTTACTGCTTTAACTAGTAAGCGCAGGATCAGCTCTTCATACTATTCCTTTTCTCATTTGTATGAGTGCACAAGAACAGTGGGAAGGTGTTGAGTTCGCCAGGACAGCGCTGTTGTTAACACTTCGCCCCGAGCTGAATGGTTAATGTTGTTGCGTTTGTAGTCTCTGGGGGAAATAGCGAACCCGTTTCCTTCCACGAGGCTCTGGTAATGAGAGGGAAATGCTCAATTACACATTAGCGACTGTGGCATCACAATCAATATTCAGAATTCCTAGAGAGCTCTTCAGAGGTACATGTAATAATATCTGTGTGACACAGCGCCGCAGGACATCGAGTGCTATCAGTTCACTTATTGCCTCACGATGCAAATGACAAGCAGCTGACAGGTTCATGAGGTCAGCTCTTAAGCCCTTCTTTGTCTAATGCAAAGCGTCTGCCGCTGCATTGCAGGCCAGTGGAGAACGACATATAAGGTGCAGAGCGCGCTCATGCAACGGGAGAAATACAGCACGTTGCATCTTTAGATCACTGCACATTGCCTCACCAAGATGCTGTTTTTCTTTTGTTGTGATGTACCCATCAGTTTTTTCAAATGTGTGTTCGGGTGTGTCTCAGACCTTTTTCATCATCACTTAACTCGCCCCCCCCCCCCCCTTTTGATGTCACTTCATCACTTCCAGTTGGGACGGCCCTCATGCAGTTTGTGTGCGCGTTGCCCACATTTTGTTGTCATCGTAGCCGCATTAAGGTGGAAGTGGAGTAGATGGAGAAACTAGAGCACGCCAACACATATAGGACTTCGTTTCACAGCCAGTGGAGAGAGAGAGAGAGAGAGCGAGAGAGAGACACATAGCAGAGCGGAAGTGGCAGCTCACCCACCTGTGGCTCTATTTGTGCTCAGGGTTGCGTTCTGTGGATTATCCAGAAGTAACAAGGACAGCGATGCTGCGGTTCGAGACGTGTCAATTATCTGGGAACACGCCAGTTCAACCGAACCATTGTGACCGTTTGTTTGTTCACCTGTACAAATCCTTCTCTTCCTTCGCCAACAGAGAAAGTTGAGGCCCCAGCGAGTGATTCGGAGCCCAAAGCAGAGGAGGCACCAGGTGAGCGCCGCTGTCCGTATTCAACACATGATCCATTTAAAGAGAGATCTTCACAAACCAATCGCTTGATTGTTTTCAGCTGCCAGTGAATGAAGTGCAACACGAGCGACCGCGCGGATGAGTTTGTTGGGATTGCCTTGTTGTTGTTGTATGTGCGAGTGAAAGCACGCGTGGGTGTTGGTGTGTGAAAGACGTCGCCTCGTTGCCAAGATGCAGACCCTGTGATGAGACGCTTCCACTCAGGGTCGCGCAGCCATCGCTGAGCCTCGTTTCCCTCATGACGACGTATGGCTGGAATTTTCTGCTCGCAAACGGTTTATAAATATATACACAGAGTTCTACGGCACTTTGTTTGTTTTCATCATCAGTACGGGATAACTTCAATTATAAACTGTCTCTAAGCGTTTCTATTCATCATCTTATGGATATTTATAATCACAGATTGTCTTGATTCAACACTTTCTTCAACACTCAATTCTAGAGGAAACTAAAGCCAAATTTGATTTATTAAACAATGTTATTTTTTGGGCAGCTGGCTTTGATTTTACGACCATGTTTGTATTGAATATGAAGAGTAGATACTATGAAGATTGTAAAATGAATACAAGGGCACAAACAAGATAAGATTAAATGACGCATTGAAAACTTTGTGTGTGGTTTGTCCCAAATTCTTACTGGAAGACGCTCCGTTTGTTTGAAACAGTCAAAGAATTCAAGCGGCCTCCTTAAAAGTGACATCTTATACATGCACTTTCTTTGATATCTTTAGGCGGGATGAATACGTGTGTTGGTGGTATTTTAGGGCGCAATAACCAGTCCGGGATCATAGGTTGTACTGTACTGTTGTTTATTAGTGAGATCTGCACTTTTATAATGTCTTCTCACATTCCTCTGGAGTAAAGCAGAGGTTGACTTGGCCACTGTGACCAGGGAATGTGAGACTACTGGTCATAGATAAACAGTCAACATTCACCATTACATCCTAGTTTGGCCGTTTACGTTTCATCTGGAAATACATGAAGGCTTCCGCTGGTCACGTGACGGTTAGACTACAACTTGTTTGTGATGTGGCCGTCTAGTCAGGCGTCTGAGAGGGGACCGAGGACGGCAACCGCCTCGATTTCCACCAGCCCCCCCTACAAAGAAAAAGATAAAGAAAGAACATGAGGACATGAGAGAGGCATTGTGGGTCACAGGCGATGCTTTGCAATGTTCATGAACCAATATTGATGCCGAAATGTGTGCGTAGCTTATAATTTTCATTAAAAGGAGAGTTTTTGAGCTTTGTCTTATTTGGCTTAAGATGTGTCCAAGCATTGTGAGTTAGTGTTAGCATGCAGACATTCATTAGTTAGCACTTAACACTGTACAACTGAGCTGATGGTGACGTACCAATAGACAGACCTGATTAAAACTATTAAAAGTCAGGGGGTTACTCAATTTATGACAATTCATCCCACGGGGAAAATGAATATCAGGTTTCATAGTGATCCATGAAATAGCGGCCTATATTATTCAATTTCAATTTCCCACTCTGCTCATAGGGAAAAAAGCTGCACAGGAATGATGGAAAAGAGATGGCACAGATAAATGGGCATGCATCTAGTTACCATGACTCTCCACAACACCGAGCGTATTGATGTCCACGATGTGTAAAACACGGCTCTATGTCGGTGTACACGGGCTGATTGTACTTACTCGGGGGAGAGCAGCAACTTGGTAGGCAGCTCTGGCTGGGAACTTACTGCTGAAAACTGAAAACATTTGTATTATAACTAGTTTTAAAACCAGCAGGCAAATCTATAACTCCACATTGAAAGGGATTATTCAATTTATGGGTAAAACATTCAAATTATGCATGCAAGTGGATACAATTTTTTTCCATATATAAAGTATTTGTATTTATATTAAAGTATTTGTAAGACAAATCACAGGTCTCAATAGATTAAAATCTCAAAATGCATTATCGAGTAATCGCATTTTTCAGACACAGCCAAAACCTGGGGGAATTTAAAATGACTTTGTATCACGCGTCTCCTCTCTTCCGGATCAGGGAAAGTTCCCTCGGCTGTGGTTTTAGCGGCAAATCAGAAGAGGGAGGTCGAACAACTCGGAGACTTTACCCCGAGGGTCAATGGCCCTCCCGGCAAAGAACTGCCCGGGGGGCTCGAGTGACACCGCTGTGCCTGCGCGGCGGTGTCCGTTTACAACTCACTGGGCAACGCGGCTTGAATTACACCCGTCTGTTGTGATCCAGGAGGAAATGCCCTGACTGAGCGGCCCGAGGGAGGAGGCCGCACTCATTCAGCAGACGAAGCGCTGAGCGAGCTCGTCCGTCAAGCGTCTGCTTCGCCCGTCATCTTCTGAGCGATGTCGGTGAAACATAAGACGCCGCGTGTATGCGTCGTAGAGCGTGCAGCGGGAATAGTGACGGACTTTCACAGCATTGTTTTGTAATTTGACATAAGGTGGAACACTATTTATACATGCTCATGTTGCACAACGCAATGCACACAATTTGATGTGGGCACCTTAGAAAATTGGCAAACAGCCTGACATCTCGCCATTGGTGTAGATTACAGTGAAGGTCTACCAGTTATTCTGGCTGCATGCACAGGAAGATGTAGCACGTCCATCAATAAAGACAATTTGCGACTATTTAGATGAGTTTAAATTTCTCACACCAAGCAAAATAGACATTCAGACTAGAGGATCCTGTGCAGGCTGCACGCCTGCTCACATGCCGCCTTGAATTCACTTCCATTCCCTTATAAAGCAGCCTCCTCAAGGACAACCCCTCTTTCACAAGAACGCACTTTACAGAGATGAAATTGGGATAAGCAGGAACAAGCCAGTGCCCTATTTGATCATATCAAGCGAAAATCAGCCCCACGGTAAACAATGACTCATGTGCAAGTGGCTGTGACCGCACCACAGCAGCGATGGAATAAAAATAGGCTGCTTTTATAGGGGACAGATGTAACCTCCGCGCCGACAATGTCAGTTCAAGGCTGCTCCTGTGTGGTGGCTCTTAGATATTTGAATATTAAGAATTATTATCAATTTCACTTTCTACTTTCTAGCATGAAATTTCAAGCACAAAAGGAGTATTTCCTCACATGTTTTGTAGACGTCATTGACGCCGTTGAAGTCGTTGATGTCAGCGAGCAGAACAGTCGTCTTCACCACTGAAACCACCAAGAGTTGGACAGTTTGTTATGTTTGAACATCCAAATCATGTGAAAACAAATGAGCTGCAGCCGAGTCGCTGAACAGCCTGACATCTCACCGTTGGTGTAGTCACAGCCAGCAGCTTTCAGGATCTCCCCCATATTGACCAGAGCCTGAGGGATAACAGACCTTCCTTTATATGTGGTTCAGATTGAATAGCATTCAGGTGAGACCTGGGAAACAACCCAATGTGGTGTTTTAATAAGTAGCCCGACTTCTTATACATCTCAACGGCAGCGTTTATTTAAGTAACCTTGCTTATCTTTCAGTTACTTATATTGTTTCTTCCTTGGGGAAGAATGTCAGCTTGATATAATCTGTCCCGCCTCACCTGTTTGGCCTGAGCCTTCACCCCACCATCTACCAGCTGACCTGAGGCCACATCCATCCCCAGCTGACCCGAGATGTACATCGTTCTGTCCACAACCACAGATTGGCTGAAGATGAGACACACACAGATATATAGTCAAAACGAAATACATTTTTTAAGGAATGCTATGGGTTAAATAATTTCATTTTGCGTTTCATTGTACGTTCCCACTGTTGTGATCGTATATATATATATATATATATAATATATATATAGTACAGTCACTTTATATCTAATTTCCTTTTTTATGAATGGACAGCATTTAAATGAGTGGCGATATAGAAATGGAGATAATAGAAAATGCACACAAAAAAAAACCTTCTGAAGAAGCCATTTCTGAAACAAAACTGTATCTGCACATTAAACACCCATATTTAATAGACCACACAGCCAAATCATTTTTAGACGATAGAATTCACCATCAGACAAGTGACCTTGAATCGTAGAATTCACGTTCCGTGTGACGTAACCCCGCCCACTGGCAGCCCATTGGCCAAAGGAGGAACACTCCTCACATTGTGCACATAGAATTAAACGACAAATAAATAGCACACACACTAAACTGATGTATTTTTGCCAAACGACGTCTGATTATTTTGGTTGTAATCGGGTAACGATCATTTTAACCACCAACAGTTTTTTTTGCATTTCCGTAGAAATAGAGAAACGTTAAATCCAGATGTGGCGTTTCAGATGAGATTACTCCTCACCTGTATACTCCCTGTCTGACAGGGGCTTTTGAAGTGTAAGGGATTTGTCGACGAATAGACGCCATTTCAAGCCAGCGGTCTGCCTCTGTACTCCGCAGCGATTCTTTCTGCTCTGCGAAAACTTCCTCTTGGACACTTTTTACTTTAACTGGGGGACGTCAAGTCATGCAGGTGAGTTCATTGCCCACCGGAAGGTCCCGCCCCCTGAACAAACTACTGCAATGACCCTCCGAAACGCTCAATGCGCCCCACGTGTCGCTAATTTAAAGATACGCGTAATTCAGTTATTTTGGGGGGGTCGGTTAAAGTCACCTGTAAGGCCCGATGGCAGCCGGCGCGGAGGCGGTGTTGATGATCTTTCTGATGAGTACCGACATGTTTTGCTCACCGCAGACTGGCCCGGAATGGTGGGAGTCCGCTGGGCAACAGCCTGGAGACAAAGTAGGAACAGTTGTCGTAAAGTCTACCGTAATGTCTCCCCAAAAGTTCCTTTTTTGGGAGAAAGCTTTAAAAAAACACAGTGGCGCGCGTGTTAGAAGCGTTACGGTACGACGGGCGCTCATTTGTGGTGTTTCTGCTTCCAAAGTCCGTCTCAGCGGTTCATGTCTCCCTTTTCATAATCTTAAGATAAGAGATAAGATGAAAGGATTCCACCGCAGGCACGGTTAACTACAAGTGTTTTTTATTATTTTGTGCACCTGGTCAAAATGAAGTGTTATAAAGAAAAGGTAATAAATTAGGTAATTCAAACATTAATGCTTGCATTGCTCTCATCACTTTTTGGGTGGAAATAAGAGAGAAATAAATGAAAACAAAATCATATAGCTATATATCAAAGCGTGATTTCAGATAACTACACATATGTCAGATTCTCCACAATGTCATATTTCAGAAGGGCTTTTTTCAATTGTACAGACAAAGTAGTTTAAGCTAGAAATCCAGCTTCCATTTGAACATTGCTCTCACGTGTGTAACGGTATTGCACTTACATTGCATACACAACTTTAAACATGCATAAAGTAAGCCACATGTATTCGACAAAGGGCAGCAATGGAAAGAAAAACACTTTTAAACCTATTTAATAAATAAATCGTGAACGCTTGTGTGCAAGTTGCCGATGGACTCCAGACTTCATTTTGTCTCCATCAGATACATACGATAGTGTAACAGGTCAAAATGTTGATTGATATGCAGGAAGTCTGTGCTGAACCACCAAGACTGCTTAACAACATGGGTAAGTAACAGAAACCTCTAGATATATTGTACACGTATTCAAAGCAGAAATTCATTCACCGGAATCAGAATGTGTGGAATCAAATTGTAGAAACTAAACAACCAAGAGGCCAGCATGCTTCTCAACAAGAACCATGAACCATTAAACATCCAAAATAGTGAAATGAAGTCCATCTGACATTGTTTATTTGGAGGTCAACAATATGAGTGAGCTGAGAATCTGATATACGCCCATATCTGTTCTTTGACGGATAAGCACGCCATTAACGACAAGATTGTTGATTTTCCCTTCATTTGGTCAGGAAAAAAAAAAAAAGTTGATCGCTGAAATGTTTGGAGTTGAATAGTTTGCAACGAGACAAATGAGCTTGAACAGTAACGATATCTCCATTGCTTCATTAATAACACCCAAAAGTCAGCAATGCAATATCATAACTCATGAAACACAGAAATAAACTGCAGGGAAATTTGATGAGAAAAATACATTTAGAGAAACGTGTCTGCAGCTTCCGCTTACCTAAAATATACAGAATCCTTAAGACGCTTCAGTCTTTCACCGTGACCCAGTGAGTCCCTCTTTGACCACAACCATAAACAGTCCATCGGCTACTTGTTTCGCCTCACTTATGTGATGGCTCCACATATAACGACAACATATTTTAGAAAGTGAATTAATCCAAAGTGCTAAACAATTAAAGAAAACAATTTTGGAATAATTATACATGGTTTTTATAAGACTCCTCTAAAAAAAAAATCATGCAATGTATCGGAATGTGAATCTTTTTTAACTAAAATTAATGAAGTGGATCCTCTTGTCAAGTAAAAGCTCGAAGTTCACAAGGACTATCAAATATGTGATACGGGTGTGTAATGAGGCACCGAGGTGCACGGAGTCCATTTATAGATGTTTAAGAGAAGCAAAAAACATGATTAAATAAATGATGGTTAACGCTAATAAAACAAGTTCTTCTCCACCATGAAGACATGCATGATCCTTTCTTTACCACCAACATGGTTTTCCGTCACCTATCTCCATCCTTGCAGCTTTCCACATTCCACTTCGGACTCATCTCCAAGAGAGGAAATGGATTTACACACCTGACCAGGTTTTATTTAATTTAAGGCATTCTCTACTATCAAAATCATCTTGATTGTCTTTGGTCATGGACAAGCCTCCACGGCTTTTTGTTGCGGGTATTTCCAAACTAGGCCGTATATTATATTTACACTGAAGGGGAAAAGTCTGAGGAAAAAAAAGACCACTCGTTATTGACCACTGTGTTTCCGCGTCTGCTGCCGAGTGTGGGCTCCATGGAGGTGGGGGAGAAGGGGGGACTGTTCTACTCTGAATGAAGGAAGAGCATCTGGACAAAGAGTAGAAACAAGGCAGACGAGTGTAGATTCCAGGAGCCAAAATGGTTGTAGAAGAGGCATCTAACTTCAATAAGAGGCTAGTTAGCAGACAACTAGAACATCAGTGGGATTCTAACAAAGGACTATAAACGGCCATCTTAGTTCCTCTGAGTCAATGGGATGTACGCTCCGTGGCGATGGTGGATTTGGGCCAAGAGGAGCGCAGGAGGCACTCAGAAGTTCTGTTGTCGTCTCTTCTTGGCATCCATGGCATCCAGGATGGGCTGCCTTTTGGCCGTGTAGCGCTGCCTCAGCTCCTCAATCTCCCGCTCCATCATGGGATCCAAGGCAGTCAGACGCAGCTGCAGCTCCTCGAAGTCCAGGTTCTTCAGCTGGGGTACAGCACACAAAGAGTAAGACAGACAAGGAGTCATGTTCAGTGTAAGAGTTGCGGCAGTTTTTTGTGGGGGGGTCGGGGAGGGTAACAACTGGGACTAGTTGTATATATTCCTTCAGGTCAAACCCAATTAATTAGTGCGTACAAACGCATGCTTATAGAAGATGTTACTCACAAAGTCAAAGTCTCCGTCTTGGGGAACCTTCCAGTTGTCGGGGAAGACGTTCTTGGACTGGATGTGGAAGCCGGGTTGCTCCTTCGGCTGGTTGTGGTTGTAGTTCTCCTGCTGTTGTGCTGCCTTGTTGGAGTCCTGCTTGTCAAAATAGTCCATGAAGGACGGACGCATCGGCTGCTGGGAGGTGGCGTGTCCTGTGGAGGAGGGAGAAGATTTCAACTCTTGATCATCTGGTCCCCTTACTTAGTACTTTGTTTTTGCCAAACTCGTACAAATATATTTCGGTCAAGAAAAGTTAATAACATTCAAGTTCTCCTGTTGGCTCACGCCTTCATTTTTCTTTTTTAATTTTTTTGTTTATTTATTTTAAGTTTATGGTTATAGAATATATAACATAAAAGTGCAGATGAGCATCCTTTTTCTCCCTATAACTGAATAAGCATTCCGTGTGTGTGCGCACTCACTCCTCATGGATCCATGGTCTTCCTCCTCATCGTCATCATCATCGCTGTTGATGACCATGGTGCCCAGGTCTGACTCCAGCATGGTGCTGCCGTGTTCGATCATGGTCTGTGCCCCATCACTCATGGTGCTGGTGGCCCGCATGGTTCCTGCCCCCTCTGAGCCCGACTTCACCATCGTGTGGGAGTCCACCTCCGTCTCCTCCTCCTGGAAGACATTCAGTCACATGGCCCCAATACACAGCCGTCAGATCTAGTAGTTGCGTCAACAGAAGCTTCATTGTAAACATCTCAGCTTACGTACAGAGTTGTCGTCCTCCTCCTCCAACTCTCTCTGTTGCTCCTGTTGCCTCTTGGCTTTCATCTCCATGGCCTCAGTGATCAGGTCTCTCAGGATTGTGACCGGCTTGGCTAGGCTGATGAATGGGTGCTAGGTATTCACCAAAAAAAAAAAAAAAAAAGTTGTTTTGTTGCAACTTTTTGGGTTCAATTGCTCTCAGACACTGAACGCATACGGAGCATCCCTGGTCTTCCATTCACCCTTTGCATGTTCTTAGTTACAGCGTAAACACACGTTGTTCTGCTCTTAAAAGTTTACGTGTGTGTGTGTGTGAGTGTGTGTGTCTGTGTGTGTGTGTGTGTGTGTGTGTGTGTGTGTGTGTGTGTGTGTGTGTGTGTGTGTGTGTGTGTGTGTGTCCTCCAACCTGTAGGAGCTGCGTGGCGGTCGCTCTCTGCTCCGGATTCTTGACCAGACACTTCTTGACAAAGTCTGTTAAGTCGTCTGACCAGAGCTCCGGCTTCCTGAATGTTGGAGGGGGGTTGGTGGGGATCATGAAGATCGCCTGGGGGGGGGGCGGCAAAAGGTTTTTAAATTGTCAGGTGAAATAACTAAAAAAAAGTTCCTTCTTCAAGGCTGACTCGTTGTGTCTTTGCACCAGCTTCTTGAACAAAAAGTGGTCACTCACTCTCATGGGATGGATGTCAGCGTAGGGGGGTTTGCCTTCTGCCATCTCTATGGACGTAATGCCAAGTGACCAGATGTCAGCCACGCAGTTGTAGCCGATCTCCTGGATCACCTCTGGGGCCATCCAGAAGGGGGTACCGATCACAGTGTTTCTCTTTGCCATTGTGTCCTTCAGAGAAAAAACAAACAAAGCTAAAATCACCATTATGAACTTGAAGCTTGACGCTTTCCAATCACTACGAAGGAAGTCACAAACTATACAGCATCTGCTATAATCGTACCGTTAGCTGTCCGGCGACTCCAAAGTCTGCCAGTTTGGCGTGTCCCTCGGTGTTGAGGAGGATGTTTCCTGCCTTGATGTCGCGATGGATCTTGCGCATGAAGTGAAGGTATTCAAGACCCTTCAGCGTTGACTTCAGGATGGTGGCAATCTCATCCTCTGTCAACTAACGTTAGAAGGAAAAGGAGGATTAAGCATGCGTCAATAAAATAAATAAGTCTAACGCGGCTCTTTACAGTGACACACATTGTCAACCACGACATGCTGCTCTTACCAGACAGCTAAATAAGCATAGTCAATTCTTTTAAATGTTATGTCCACATCTACAGCAAATCACTTGATGTGCAATGTATCCTTTCAGCTTTTACTTGCACTACTGTTCAGTGTGGTGAAAATGGGCACTACGGTTTCTTCACTTGATTTTTTTATTCAATATAAATGTTTTGTTACGTCAATGTCTTGGTCAGACTCAGTTAGAATGCGTATTACAAGTAAATTTGTCTGTTAAATATAACGGAGACAAACCACTACGATTTTTGGTTCAGTCATACACACGCAGCACAAATATCTTGGTGAGGACCCACCGTCTTGTTGCGCAGTCTGATGATGTCCGACACAGAGCCGGCGCCACAGTACTCCATGACAATCCACAGGTCAGTGTTCTTGAAGTAGCTGCCATAGTATTTCACTACATACGGACTAAAGGGAAATGCAAAACCGAGTGGTTATCAAAAGAGAAGTAGTTGTTTCGTTTAGAACTGAAAAAAAAAACACAGAAGTGTGAAATGGCTTTTAGATGAGTTGTTCAGGCTGCAGCAGCTAACCAATGCTGTTAAACATCCCACTACGAGTAAAGTAAACTATGGAAGCAAATATGATCCTTTGAGGACAATCATTGGGTAGTACATTTGGAGGTTTGGGGACAGCTTACCTGTCACACTGCTGCATGATGGAAATCTCCTTGATGATCTCCTGCAGATCAGACTCCACAGGAACCTGCTTGATGGCCACCACCTGGCCTGACTCCTTATGGATGGCTTTGAACACACTGCCATATGAACTGAAAAGAAACAAGAGTACATTAACAACTATGGTGATTTATAAATTAATGCACCACAGAACAAAAGGAGGTGCATCTTAAAATCTACCGATGGCCTTAAAATAGTTTCAGACGGTTGCGGCACACAAGTGGAAACAAGAGGTTAGTCACGAGAAAGACATTTTACCCTTCACCGAGTTTCTCCAAGACATCAAACACTTCCTCTGGCTGTTTAGTCAAGCTGTCCTCACTCAGCTTTTTCAGCTTGCTGAAAAAAATGGAGAAAGAAAATCAATGGTAACTCAAGTATAAATGCCTGAATAAAAACCAGTTAAAGTAATGTAAAACACTACAGAACCTTAAATCAACATCATAGTGCCTACCAGCAAATAACATCAAGTAACATAGAATAAGGATTTAATGGGAATACATAATTCAGATACATGAATAACCCAAATGTTTGCATGTGTTTATCTACTTCATTTGTGATCTAGTACAGCATTATGGGGTTGTATAGGATTGATGTGAAACTGTGACACAAGTAATGTATTTGTTACAACTAAAAAATACATGTCCAAATAATAATAATGAAAAAGTGGATAAAACTGCTGACTGAAAGGCCCCAACGACCATTAATATGATACCTTCCATCTTGACAGGCTGGAATGTAATGTAAAGCTTTAACACTGGGCTTGTGACTTTGGTCAAGGGTGACCAATAAAACGGTTAATTCCTAACGGGGTGGAAAGTGTGGCAGACAACCGGTAAAGCTAACCGAGGTAGCATCAGCTACGACAGCTACCGCCTACGTTAGCCTTTCGGCTACCTAGTTCGAAAGCACGTTTTAAACCGGTCGGAACTACACAAACCTTTTGGGCGCCGACGTCTCCATGATGTATAACTTCTGATAATAAAAAGCAAATGACTAATTGCGAGTTATGGCAGTGTTGGGGGGCCAATGGTCAAGATGTGAACATTGTCGACCGAGTCGTTGTTGTCAAAAACCGACAGAGGGCCAGCTGAGGGTTTGTCAGTTCGGTTTAAATAAAACATCTCGACAGCGCCCCCTATTGGACCGGAGTTGATCGTGACTTGAGTTTTTTTCTGACCAATCAGAAACCGCTTTGCTGTGGGGTGGATGAAGGTTGTACGCATGCGCTCATGCAGCGGTGTGTGACGTGAAAAAGAGAGGTAAACATTTAGCTTGTTAAAAAGTCGGGCTTTCTTATTGTTATCTTTGCCTTTTGGACTATTTTCATATTTACGATAGTCTTGCACTATTCATACACTAACCTCTTGAAATAATAAATATGCGTTCACTACTCATAGAGCTTTATACTTATCGCCGGCGTCACACACCATGCTGTCTCTGTGTTAGCATGCTGCAACGACACAGATGCGATTGTGTCAATATTGCTTTTTCTGTCTTTTAGACACACAGAAATGGATCCACAGAAAGATGCGCCACCGCCCAAACAGCAGCCTATGATCTACATATGTGGAGGTACTGCTACATTAAATCGTCTAACGTCACCGCCGTTTCCATTACTAACAATGCTAAAGTATCATACCCAACGTACTGCGGCTGCTGCTAACGTTACACCTTCGACAGTGCTGCTGCGGCCGTAAATGACTTATGTTCACACATACCACAATATAAGTACACACAGTAGAACAGTAGTACTTTTCGTACTATATAAACGTGTGCTTATGCTTTTTTAAATATTACTTTTCAGTTCTCAGGTACATGGATGAATACAAAATAGTATTTGTTATCTGTACAGACAGCAGGATTTTATTGATCTACTTTATGACAAATTGACACGCTGAAATCCTCATACTAAGTTACATTACAGATTTTTCACAAAATCTAATTCCCCTTGAACAGTTAGGAATCGGCCAATGTAACTAGATCACACATTTTTATGTGTAGTTTATATTTTTGTAAAGAACATAAAGTAACCCTCATTGACCAACCAATACAAACTTAAATATCAACCAAATTATTGCACGTGTTTCGATTAAGATATCTATTTAGAAGTTTACCAAATTGGAAATGATGAATCAGGTGATTTTTTAAAGATGTTTTTACACAAACAGAAATATTAATCAATAAGGATCCCCGAGAGGGTTTGGATGTTGCATTACATGCATTACATTTATATCACAGATGAACAAGCTATGTAATAGATTTCTAAATTACATCAAACATTGTGGTTACCAAATTTCTTGGCTCTTATCAGCCAATATGTACTATGATCCCGATCTCTAGTCAGCTTGTTACTATTATCTTCTAGGCTTAATATTACATTACATTACAGGTAATTTTGCTGAAGCTTTTATCCAAAGCAACTTACATTGCATTTTTAACCAATGGCTTTTTACATTTTAGCCCGGGGAGCAATTAGGGGTTAGGGGTCTTGCTCAGGGACACTGCGACATGAGTCATGGAGAAGCCGGGGATTGACCTGCCAACCTTCTGGTTCCCGGCGGTTAGGATAGGCGCACCCTCTCTACTTCATGCGCCACCCTCGTCCCTAATAGAAACAGGATACAGAATATTTCATGTAATATTCTCTTATTATTTGCAGAATGTCACACTGAAAATGAAATTAAGGCCCGTGATCCTATCCGATGCAGAGAATGTGGTTACAGGATCATGTACAAGAAGAGGACAAAGAGACGTATCCTTTAAATGTAATGATCTATGACGACAAAAAGGATTTTCATTACAAATGATATGCATGAATTGGGAACTACACCTGTACATTTCCTTGACTCGTTGATTTCAGTGGTTGTCTTTGATGCCCGATGAAGACGAGGAAAGCAGCCATTTGGATTTTTTTTTGTGTGTGTACTATTTTTGTAGTGTACGGCCATGTAAATAAATAAATTGAAAACTCCAAATGTTTTGAAGTTCAGGTCTGACTACAGATTTCTGATTTATGGTTAAAACTGGTTGGTTGATTAAAAAACTAATTTTCACTTGTTGTGATTGTGTTTTGATTCCATGATTCATCACTATAAGTTCACCCACATATTCTTAATACCCTCAAGAACACACCAAGTATCAACTTTTATTGATGACATTTATATGGATGGAAGAATATGTACAATGATGGAATAAATGTTTTTAAACAGCCAATTTTTCATTTTTATTATTCATCCGTTCTTCTTACCACCAGTTCAACCAGTGAGTGATTTCTTCTTAACACTACTACTTACATGAAAGGCCTTACATTCCAATGAGAATTATGTTGAAGGGATGAACTTAAATGTATAAGAAATAAGATCTTGGGTTTCTGAGAAATACCTATTTAATATGTTATTAAATACAAGGGAAATAGAGAGTCCTATTTAATATGTTATTAATTATAAGGGAAATAGAGAAAGTCCAAACTGGTTCAGTAAAATCCCCCCAAAAACACTACAGCCCAAGTTATTGTGTTCACATTAATTTCTAATTTTTTTCACAGCAGCCATTCTGCCATGTCCAGTAAGAAAAGCACAGTTACTATTAACATTAACATTGTCCTAGTTCTTTTAATCAACAGTGAGCGAGATTTCAGAAACTGTGGCAAATAATGTATTAGATTATTCACAGATATTCACACAAACATCGTCACACTAAGAAAGTACACAAAATACGTCATAAAAATAGTTATTTTCCTCTTAATGTAGGTTTGTGCGTCTTAATCCGATGCTGCCGCTGACCTACTGCAGCACTGCGTCACACACGCCCTCCCCCTCCGTGACGTCACACGTGACATCCCATACAGGGGGCGTGTCTTACTGAAATCCCCATCCAGGGCTCAGACGTAGCAGCGAGGCAGGAAGAGGCACGGAGGGGAGGAAAGAGTTTAGCGCACACACTGCGGAGGGAGTGCGGCCATGGGTAACGCACAAGACAAGCCCCCGGGCAGCGGAGGAGGGGGCGGCAGGTCGCAGCAGGCCGCGGCCGGAAACGGGACGAGGAGCCGGGTCGGAACCGCCGCGGAAAAGCCTCAGAGAGCTCCGGGCAAAGGGGTGGCCAACGGCTCTCCGAGGGAAAACAGCCCCGCCGGCGGACGAGGGGAGCGGAGCAGCCCCGCGGACGACACAAGTTATCTGGACGCCCCCGCCGGGGCACTTCCTCCTCACCTGGCTCGGCTCAAGAACGCGGGGAACCACCTCTTCAAACACGGCCAGTTCGGGGATGCCCTGGAGAAGTACACGCAGGCCATCGACGGGTGCGCGGAAGCGGGTTCGTCTATTTTTTTCTCTCCGGGGGAATCACCTCGTTGCGCAGCATCTAATCCGAGCAAAGGCGCCTCTGGCGATTACAAAATATACATCTTATGCAATTCTGTGTTGTTTAATTTGACGTACACAATACAGGACCTCCCCCCCCCCCTGTAATAACATGATATTGACATTGGTACCGCAAATTTAGTTGCATGCCACACGAGAATGTTTTTTTAAAAATTATATAAATAATGTATTGTTTGGTATCTTAGCAAATAGTGAAATTGGCCCTTAATATTTCTTTGTTGACATTGTTGAAATTGCTCATTTAGTTTGAACACTGTCCACCACACTATAAAACGGAATGTCTGACATCTTTGTTTAGAATATGATCACAAAAAGAGTCACGCAGTGAACAATAATGTGTCTTCATACTTTACTATATACTTTACACCTGTTTGAGGTACGATTTAGCAATGAAACGCAGCTCTCTGCTGTGTTTTTTGATAAAGAGTCTTAAGAAGTTTTTTTTTCTTCTGATGGCAGTCAAGCCACTAATGAAGCAACACCAACAATTTGGTGTCACAGAGTGAGACGCGGCCTCTTGTAAGCATCTGTTTACCAGCCCTCGTACGGGTATCAGAATACGCGTCGACAGTGTCCCATGTCAGTTTTGAATGCATTATACTGCTCAATTTCTTTACCCAGTGTGCTTGCATGTTTTTTTGGATCTGTCACCTGTGTGGATCACCGGTTTTCAGTCTCGCATCCAAACGCTGCAGCTGAGACTCGAAGGAGTCGCTGGTGATTTGTGAACGCAGCGTTGGCACAAAACGATCCCGCTGACTGCGGCGAGACGTCATGTGTTGGTGCACATGAGGTCTTTCAGGGCGAGATTGAATGTCATGCTGCACCTTTCTAAGAGGTCTCGGGCCAACTTTGACTCTTGTGGCTAATAAGAGGGATGGCTTTTTTTTCTGGTTGTGCACACTGCGAGAAAAGAGCCGACTAAACAGAAAAGCACTGGAAATAATGCGAGATTTCGCATTCTTGCCACGTTTAAAAACACTAATCACTCATGTTTAGCAGTATTGGCACCGTTGACATCGGCCTTTGGACACTTAAGCAGCACATGACAACTGATGCTGCGCTTTCGGTCAAGAAACTGCAGCAGAGGCCCGGAGGAGAAAGGATGTAATAGCAAATGAATGAGTACAACAGAGGTCAAAAGGGAGCAGTTGTTATCATCAAGTACTAGTCTGTCCTCTGTAGGCACACTGACTGTGATCGTTGTTTGACCATTCCGATACGTGGGTTTTAATTTGTTCCCCCTGCAGGCATTGAGAGTCCAGAAGACCTGTGCATTCTCTACTCCAACCGGGCCGCCTGTTTGCTGAAGAATGGAAACAGCTCAGAATGCATACAGGACTGCAACAAGTACGTGACGCGCGTGCTCGCGTGTTTCTGTCACATTTAAAAGAGAATTATTACCACTCTCTTGTGACCCCTCTGTGAACACTTCTGTCCTGGTGCCTACATTGCCCAAAAGTTCAACTGAACTGCTGGCTGCTAGGACGGAATCACAGAGGGATCAGGATCAGAATTCACACTTTACTGCACCTGCAAACTGAACTGCGAAAAATCCACAGTGTCATTATTGTTGTTATGTATTATTGTATTTGCCTTTGTCTCAAAATGAAACAACCAACTTGAACTTGAGTTACCTTTTAAATATGTCAGCTTGAAGTAGATGATCATCAGTATATTAGTGGTCAGTCTCATTTCAATACTCACATGCGTATTTAAATAATCGGAAAGATGAGTTTACCTGTTTTCTTTGGGCTACTTTAGCGGACATTACAGGCTTTTTTCCCCCTATAAATTCTTCCTGTTTTTGTTCTACCCACCGATCACGTGACTATTCGGGGTGCTAGTAGGTTGCAGCGATCCGTCTGTCTAAAACAAAAACCCACTCATATGTGTGTGAATGGGGAGCCGCACATCAGACCAGTTACACCAGTGAGTCCCATTGAGCGTGTGCAGACAGTCTGATCCTCTGTCTTTGTTTCTCTCTGATCCTCTTAGGGCTCTGGAGCTGCAGCCGTACTCCTTGAAGCCCTTGTTGCGCAGAGCTATGGCCCATGAGTCACTGGAGCGCTACAAAAAGGCCTACGTGGATTATAAGACTGTCCTGCAGATGGACAGCAGTGTGCAGGCGGCGCACGACAGCGTGCACAGGTCAGCTTAAAACAGTTAAACATAATAATGACTGAAGCCTGTAGAGGTTGCAGCATTCATTTGGCTAATCACACTGCGTGCTGTTCCCCCCCCCCCCCTCCGTCCCGGTGTGCCCTCTGCCAGGATCACCAAGATGCTTATCGAGCAGGAAGGTCCCGAGTGGAGGGAGAAGCTGCCTGAGATTCCCGTCGTTCCTCTGGCCGTCCAGCAGCAGCACAGAGACAAACCGGTCAGCGCGGAAGTAGCCGAAGCCCGCGCCGCTAGGGTCGCTCACGAGGAAGGTCGGTGCCATCGCGTCCTCTCAGCTTAGTGAGGAGTTGTACGTTTAAAGGACAAACATGTGCTAAGTGGATTTATAATCTCCTCGCATTCGCGTGCACTTGTCCTCCCGCTGCAGCGCGGACGGAGCGTGAGGACATGTGCTTCCTGATCCAATAGAGGTCCTAAGATTAAAGCTATCGCTATGTATGTCTGTGATATAGCTAAAGCTTCTGTTCTTGCATAAAAGGAATCTGCCACCCTTTTGTTTCCCTTCTTGGACAAAATTGTTTGTCTCCTCAGTGCATGATGGTGGATCATTTAGAAATAGAACCCTTAAATTACGGAATCCTAAGGCAGCATCAGAAGTCGGTCAGTGAGAATCAGTGTGTGAATACGGATGCGCAGCGGGTAACGCACTCCTGTTGGGAGTGTGTGTGTGTGTGTGTGTGTGTGTGTGTGTGTGTGTGTGTGTGTGTGTGTGGGGGGGATCATCAATAATGCAGAAAAGCGAAGGCGATCCACACTACACAGAGTGTAGTACTGCTGTAATGGAACAATCCAGGTCAGGTTTCCTGTAGGATGCGCCTGCTCACAAAGACCAGACGGCTCCATATATATATATATATATATATATATATATATATATATATGAAATGTTTGAATATATGTTGTGTTTTATGGTATTATGAAAACGCACACATCCACACTATATTATAGATGTACAGCTTTAATTCTATTCTCTGCGCTAAATTTCCACACGCAGTACTTTATTCTTACACAGATAAAGCACCTGACCTGTAAATAGACTCACACACGTAAACGCTTGATGAATTTAGCACATTCGGAGAACACAGCTAATCTCTGAATAGAACACTGCTGTTGCCGGGGAAACAAATGGGAGGCGGTTTCAGGGTGATGTCATCGTTGAACACCTGACGTTCAATAGTTAATAAACTATCATAGCAACATGTTATCTTTTTAAAGGATAAAATACCATGAGATACAAAGCGCGTCCTGCCTCTCTGTCCCTTCAGTCCCACTTGCCCAAACCTTTGCAAACACATGACATTTTTTTGTCTTAGTGCTGTCAAGCCTCTGTTCCCTGAACATCTGAAGCTGACTGTCAGCCTTCGTATACCTTCCCTGTGGCCTTTGTTCCTAAAACTCAAAAGGCTTTTTGATCTTCTTGATCTGCACATATAAAGCTAACATGAGAGTATTGTGCTCAAATTATTTAGTACTCCACTGCTTTTGATACTGATATTGAAAAAGAAATCTCCTATTCTTATCCTGTCGTATGACCTGAGACTTGCCTACACATGCTTAATGTCGTACGGTTGTGTGGTTTATATTCTATATTGTGAGTATTATATTGCATCCTTAAAAAACAACTTAATATATTCAAACTACTCGTGTTAATGTGACATAAACAATGTTTTTATCAGCTTCGATCAATGAATGACTTAAGTCAAAGTAGTCGTATTATTACAGACAGACGTCTCAGCCAGGGGGAAAACATCCTCAGGGACACGTATGGCAAGTGTGAATTTCAAGTCTGGATGAGTCAGTCTTCTTGCCTCACTAGATAAATAATTTAGAATTGGGATCTTTTGAAGGCCAGGATTATCTGTGTGTGTGTGTGTGTGTGTGTGTGTGTGTGTGTGTGTGATTCCCCGAGTCCTTCTCGGCGCAGCAGAGAGCTCAGTAAGCGTTGGTTTGCTCACCCCCTCCTCTTGATTTATTAATCATCTCTTTAAAAACATTGTGCGCTGGATTGATGGGAAAGGTAAACAGTGTAAAATATCTGTAACATTAAACTAAAGACCAAAAGAAAGTCTATGTTTGTTTTTGTTTTTTTTTCTCTGGCTTCACTGTCGAGTTTTTGCTAAATTGCTAATTCCTTTTAACAGCCAGAAGAAAAGACGCCTGCTTCGCTTTACTGAAACGGGAAGGCAACGATCTGGTCAAGAAAGGCAACTTTGAGGAGGCTCTGCAGAAGTACAGCGAGTGTCTGGCATTAAAACCCGACGAATGTGCCCTCTACACAAACAGGTATACAAACAACCCTACAGGGAGCAACGCTAGTCGCCGGATTAAACTGTGAAATAAACACTGTGTGCTTTACTGTCACAACAAGACACTTAAAAATGGCCTATGATCTTCTTTAAAGTCAGTGCAACAGGGAGAACAGCAGAGGGCACCACATGCTCATCCACCTCTCCAATACATAACTCCCATTGAGGGACATGGATGGACGTGCTGCTTTCACTGACCTCTGCACTGTATTCTGCTCCAGAGCCATTTGCCTCCTGAGACTAAACCGCTTTGAAGAGGCCAAACAGGACTGCGACTCCGCCCTGCAGATGGAGCCGGACAACAAGAAGGCCTTCTACAGACGAGCCCTGGCTTATAAGGGTTTACAGGTGCCCTTCTCTCCCGCATCACACGCACGCGTTCGCTGATTTATTCCCGGCGGTTAAGATCAGACAGGTGTTGGCATTCATATGTTGGGAATATTTGTCTTCCTCTTTTCCAGGACTACCTGTCGGCCAGCAGTGACCTTCAGGAAGTCCTCCATCTGGACCCAAAAGTTCAGGAGGCCGAGCAAGAGCTTGAGCTGGTGACGAGCTTGCTGAGACAGAGCCTGATGGACAGTACTCCGAGGGTAAAACATTGTTCATATACAACATGTCGTTTTTACATAAGATACAATAAACGTATGTAATTATGGATTCAACAATGACTTTTTCACTCTTTCTCCCTGTTAAAATGGTTAAAAACAACAAGCAGTAATATATTGTGTCCTTTAAATATTCCACTTACACAAAAACAAAACAAACTGAAAGAGTGACTTTTGCTCATCTCCTCCAGGTTTGATGTTTGCGGAGGAAGGCGTGCACACGTCACAGGTCTGCAGCAGTTATGGAGGAAAAATACGACTCCTAAAGACGTGTGGTTGCAGTAAGTGAGACCTGTGAAAGGACTCTGATCTTCTGGAAAGGGGCTCCTTGGACAACCAGCTTTTCAGTTCTGCACCATCTGCTGCAATGTGTGCAAACCGCACCACGGCTCCCTGAGTACACGGGCCTTACATAACGGGTCGCGTTGTTCATAAAAGGCAAACATCAAGGTACTCGTGACCTGCTTGCACTATAAATCATACACCACATTCTGACGTCATGTACTGTACATACAGATCGATTGTACCGGGCTGCAGATGCGCCGTTTTAAGGCGGAGGGACGCGGGGAAGTGTAAGAGTGTATTATGTGTGCCTTATTGAGATTTCTACCAGTCGGTCTGAAATATGCCAAGATTCAACTCTGACTTGTTTCTTCCTGATGTTGTGTTTGGTTCCATCGCGGTAAACTGAACTCACGACAGCACTGACAGAAGCTGATACAACTCCACTGTATTGCATATAGAGATAAGGACTATAAAGGTTTTCACCTATCTAAGGACATCTGTCATTGTTTACATGTTTTAATCAGCTGCTACGTTTTAAAATCGAGATTACAGCTCAAGACCCTGAAGAAGTGATGCGTTACAATTATGTTTGAAGATGGCAAAATAAAAATGTTTCACAGTTTAAATATCGCCTGAGCTCAGTGCTTAAGTTATTAATTATAAATTGACACTTTATTTGTTCAGGAAATATTCAGCACCTGAAGGTAGCGTTAATTAATCCTGTTACTGTAAGAATCGTAGGTCTCAGGTTTGATCTTGAATGAAACCAAGATGATTGCATGTGTCTTTGTGTGTGAGTAGGTGGACAGTATTTACGTTTGGAAAGTCTCTAATCAGAAAAGTTGTAAAATAGCTGTTAACCCTGAACCCTCGGATCTGTGCGTTGAAATCTCTCAGTTCAAAATGAAACATACTGGGCAGAGTTGAGGTCCACCTTTATAAAGTCCCGCAGCCTGTAGACACGTGAGGATGTCTCCGGTGCTCGATGGACAGCTACCGGACCTCACCTAGTTAGACAGAAGCACAGGTATACGTCGCTGAAATAACTGAAACATCGGTTTCGGTTCCTACGATTTAAAACATCTCCAAACAATGTAAATCTATGTATAGCACAATGTGCCACAACTTTCATTTCTTTCATACTCCGATCTACGTCCAATCTTATTTAACCTGTTAACCATTTTACCACTTGCATTGTCTAAATAAAAGCCTGGAAATCTCAACTAAATGAAACCCCTGATCGGAGGCTTGACGTGTTGCTTTGTGGAATGTAGGCGCATGTACTGTATGTAAATAGTTTGGATGCAAATGTAAATAATAAACTGCTATATGGATGCTTTAACGTGCCTTGTTTTTTCTGCAGCTCGAAACTGCAACAAAATTTGCTGATTGCTGCCCGGTTATAATAAAAATCACCCACACCCGTTAAAGCCGAGCCGATCCGATGTCAGTCAACAAAGTGATGCACGACACAAAATAACATCCATGTGAAAACATACAGCCAGGCTTGATTGAAAGTTTTTTTTTATTGTTTCAGAATATGCATTTACATGCACACAATAAAGCAAATAATTAGGGAATATATCATTGTTCAAAGAGCACAGGCCTTTTTTTGACCAAGTTACTTCAAATGATAATATAAACCTCGCAGGGACTCAGCGGGCATCTTTAACAGAAGGGTGAATCCCGCAGCTGGCGGCACATGAGGTTCACCACAACTCTGCTACGCTGATAGGCTGTAATGAATGTTATAGTATTGAGATTTTAGGTTTAACGTAGCGGCCGGCGCAGTCTTTGGCCCAATGTCCCCCCCCTAAACCCTGAACCCTCGGGGACTTAACTGGCATCACCGGCTACGTGGTTCAGTGTTAAAGAGTCTGATGGCTTGAAGTGGTGTAAACATGAATGGGAGCGCTTTGCGGTTACATGTTACCATGACAACGTCGAAAATAAAATATACAATCGAGGGTGTTTATGTTCATGTCTTTCCTTATAAGATGCCACGTCTCTAATGCTTTCACCGGTTATCCCGTTTTAAACGTCACACTGCAATGACTTGTGGGTAATTCCAATGAGCAAAGTCAGCGACCAAGGCCGACTCACGAAAAGTTCATAAAGGGCTCAAAATGTCTGCCAGAGAGCCTCAAACCGTAAACTAGTGTGACAGCTGGCACGAGCGCTCAGGGGGCAATCAGTATTTAGTATCATGTTTCAAGCATTTGATGAAGCATTAAATTAAATTGTTATTTGAAGACTGACTGAATGAAGAAATAAATACAAATGATCTTTATCCCCAAAAGGCACTGTGGGTGCAGAAAAAAGAAAAAATAGTATTATTCATTTGCATGGATTTGAGAAAAAACCCACTTTAAAACACATGAAAATACATCCAAAGCTTTGAATCCAAAATTATATTTTTAAATTACTGAGGGAGAATCAAAAATGTAAACCATATCATCATCATTCATACATTCAGAAATGAATGTTAACTCACTGATGGATGTATGCGTTCACCATTGCACCTTTATCTGTATGAAAGTGTGTTTGCTATAGTTAGTAAGTTGATGTGTGCCCTTGACGGGACACATTTTATCTTATTATATAGGTTTATTTTTCTTATTGCAGATACATTATTTACAAGCCCTATAAAAGTGTAAGAAATGCTACAATTTCAAATTCATAGATTGGGCTTCACTTAGTTCTGTTTACAAGGAATAATTCAAATTCCCTTTCTTTAATATATCTCTCTAAATACTTTTATGTACTACAAATTGCAGTTACGGTTAGAGGAAAATACTATTTTACCAGTGCAGACAGAGGCTCGTGAAGACGGCAACTGTCTTAAATCCACTATATTTGAAACACAACTGTCACCTAATCATATTTAAAAGGCTTGGACCCAACACAGGGCTTCAACATTAAAATCAACTTTCCCAAAATGGAAAACAGAAATGAGCAAAGATAATGCACGAAAGAATCATAAGTCACATCTCAAACACAAGCAACATTAATATATAGATGTATATATACACACACATTTTCTTATAGATGATTATGGGAAAATATAATTTGCAGCTGCACTGACTGGTCCCTCTCCGGCTCAACAACACTTTAGCGCTGGCCTTTCTCAAGACTTGTTCCTTTCTCTTTATTTTTATTTTTTTAAGAAGTCACAGAATGACGGCGGCACAGCGGTGGACCACAGTGTTGACGTATCCATCCCCGGTTCGGTTCACGCAGAACACGTTTCTCCAGATGTTAAGAGGGAGGACAGGTTTGGGCTTTGACACCGCCGCTCTACGTAGTATTGAAACTTCATTTTCAGCTTCATCACTTGAAAAGGGTCAAATCTGCCTGAGGCTCGTATTCAGAACCCCATTGACGGGTCAGACAATGCAGGTCACCCTGTAACCTACTTTACAACCCGGCCTCATACATCCAGCTCCCCCCACTGAAAGGCCTTGACGCCCCGGCTCACGTTTCACTTCACACATGAGCAGCTTGTTCGGTCAGTGAAGATAATAAACCCTCTGATCTGCTTCGACTGTGCTCCCGTTTACTAGATTCACAAATCCCTCAAACTCTCTCCCTCTCTGGAACTAATGACTGACATTCACACAATATTCCTGCCTGCACCCGCAGCAGATAAAAACATCATTCGATTTAACAGTGGAATGATGTGATAAGGCGAACTGAGCCGAAGAGCAGGAGGGCGTCTTCAGATTTCGGTTTGTATACTGCGGCTTCTGGTCGGGCTTACAGGCTGCGCGGCAGAGCTTTTGGTGGCGTCATTTATCCTCTCGTCCTCCTCTGGGTCCATGGCCGCGACGGCGGCGCTCTCCTCAGTTATGTGCAGAAAGGTCCCGCTGCGCCCCTCTTTCGGCGAAGCGGGGGGAGACGACGACGGCGACAGCAGGCGGTGGCGCGTGAAGGCTGCGTGGCTACTCTGAGGTGGACATTGCTCCAGGCGGTCGTTCTCCACCTCGGGCATGGGCGCGACGGCGACGTCGCCGAAGGAGACAACGGGATGATGGTGGTGGTGGTGGTGGTGGGGGGGGTCCGTCGGGGCGGAGCAGGGCGGCCTCGAGGTTTCGGGGTCGGAGCAGCTGAGCTCCGACGAGAAGCGGCTACAGTGCGAGTCGGCCACCGACGGCAGGCTGCCGCTCAGAGACGGCAGATCGAACTCGGAGGAGTTGGTGCTGCGCCGCTCCAGGAGCTGAGCGTCCACATCCCCTCGAGCCTCGTTCGTCTTTGTGTCTCCTTTGCTGCCGCCGCCTCTTTTCCAGAGCTTTCCTCTCCTCTTCTTGCTTCCTGAGGCTGAAGGCTCTTTGGACCAGGGGGACGAGGGGCAGCAGCGGCTGTCGTGCTGCGTGCTGCACGGGCACGCGCCACCGCTGGCGTCTTTAAGGCCGGCGGTGCTGCTGCTGCAGCTGGTCTCATCCAGGCTGCTGCTGGCGCTGCAGTGCCTCACCTTCTCCTGGTGTGACTCCGCGTCCGTCTGGACATCCAGGCTATTGTCTCTGCCAAATAAAAATCACCCTTTTTACGACAAACAATGATACACGAGCACATTTATCAAGAGTGTTTATTAACAGTTTGTATGCACTTCAGGAATCCTTTTCTAATAAAGCAAAAAGTAAATGCTGGTAAAAAACAAACATTGAATATTTCAACAAGGCTTCTGTTGTAAGGTAGGAGAAAAGCTACGGTAGGGATTCTTTTTAAAAGTAGGTCACAAATGCACTGACGCTACAGGGAGGACGAGTCTGCTTTGACTCCTGACCTTTCCAGGGGCATGTAGGCATTCAGGATGGATCCCGCCATGGCCTTTGTGCTTGCGTTGTCACTGATTGTCCCCAGACTGACGGTGGCGGACTCCCCGCTCAGACTGCAGCGCTCCTTCTGCACATCAGCCTGCACTTCCATCCTGGAAATGACAAGTACATATATAGTGGATTAAGTCGCAATGATTCGCTGCAATGCTTTTGTCATCTAGGTTTGTGTAGACACAAAAAGGCAGATATTACGACGCATGAAATCTAATCCCTATGAATTTTCTCTATGAATATCTATGCAGGGATGTCTACCTGTTGTAGCAGCTGCCAGAGAGGCTGCCGGTGATGCTGGTCCCGGCGAGGGCCGTGGTGCTGGCGTTGTCGCTCATGTTGTCCCGCTGGGTGGAGCTCATGCCGCAGCGCTCCATGTGGCTCCCGCTGACACTGAGGCTCAGGCCTGTCAGGCCTCCGACACTCGCCCCGTCTCCGAGGCTGGGATTGTTGAGCCGAGTCTCAGCCACAGAGGTTGTGTCTGAGGAGAAAAGGGAGGAGGTCATAGGTGAGAATGAAGAAGGGGGAGATGTAGGTTGAGTCACAAAGAATCAGGGCGTTCCGACTCCAGATAACAAATGGCAAACAGAAGGGATACTGAGGTCAGGGACAAAAGCTCACCCTTGTGAAATGATATGTGACTTTGCAGACTTTAATCCTTTTTAAAATTCATTCAGGACAACGGATGGACAAATCCTTGGGTGTGAATAACTGCCATCATGTCTCACACCGTATGTTGCCGCAAAGTCTGCATTTCATTTGGATTCATTACAATCAGCCGCAGTGTTGACTGAAGCTGTGAGAAATACAATCCCTCGCCCCAACCACCTGCCCGGGAAAGCAAGGTGTGAGCTGGAGCTTTCCTATCCAACGATAGGAAAATAAACTCATCCACTGTTACGAATAATTCATACGGACGCACAAAGGCACTGACGGACGTCGGTGTACTTCAGTGAGCCAAACACACACAGCTACCACAGCTCCTTGTGGGACGGCTGCTGGTATTGGGTGCAGTCTTTCCATCTGAAATGTTTTTGCTAAACTTCTTTAAAAGCACTTTGGTTGTACTCCGGGTCAATTGTAATCGCATGTACATTGTTTAATGTGTGCAAATTGGTTTATTTTTGAGGCTCTGGTTTGTTGTTTCAACCGAGTTCCCATTTGTGGACACTGGACTTCATGAAGTTTAATTACGTCTGTTACTGTCCGTCACCAGCACTCCAGGGAAAAACATGAGGGAAATCGGTGGCCTCGCTTTTGTTTGAGATGCTCACCTGTGGCTGCCGCCCCGCTCCCTATGTTCTCGTTTTCGTCATCGAACTCTATCCGGACCCCTTTGCCGTTGCCGGCAGACACTCCACAGCCGCCGCTTCGGCACAGTGAGATTGGGACGACGCCGTAGACGTATGCCAGCATGATGGGAACGCCAATCCCTGAACAACACAGTGGAAACACACACTTAAACAAAACAGTGGGAGTTTCATCGTTGGTTCAGTGGTTAAATTCCGAGCACTTTAAGACGCAACTGTTTCCAAACCAGATTTCTTTTTAATCCTTTATAATACGCTAAATGTAATCGAGAGACAGAAGGTAAAAAAAAGAAGAATCCTTCTTTCTTACCAACAGTGACTGCAGCTACTACAGGCGACACGATCACAGACAGCGTCACGCCGCCCGCTATTACCAAGTTCCTCTTGTGTTTGGAGATGTCCTTGCCCTCGTAGCGGTTATGGATCTGAGGAGAAAAAACATGTTAATTACCTAATTGACCGTACCCATTAGACATTGTGGCCTTTCATTTGGAACCCCCCCCCCCCCCCCCCTCGTTGGTTTGGCCCACAGTTTTTTCATGTCGCATCTTGGCAGGCGGCGGTGAGCTCTCACCTTTCTGCCCACATAGACTGGGATGCCGATGATCATTGCGGGGATGGCGATGCCGGCTATGAGGGCGATGCCCACCGGTGCGCCCACCAACGTGCCGAGTTGCCAGAGGATCTTCTTCTTTCTGCTCCAGGGCTTCTTCCCCCAGAATGTGCAGCCAGAAGGACTGCGAGGATTGGAGAGGGAGAGGAAATGTGTTGTGAAGGAAAACAGAGAGTGAGAGCGGATTTTTGTCTGTGTCAGGTTTAGCGCTATTAAGGCTGGCGTTGTTGCGTCAGCGCACTCGTTTCAATTCATGGTTCTGCGTGTGTTGCAGAGCAATTCATCGCCAGAACAGGCGGAGTAACGTGTTTTGTTGAAGACGACCAGAGAGTCACGTCTATTTATTTATTTATTTATTTATATGTTTATTTATTTATCATAGAGTTTATTGCCCCGTGCAACGACACATTTGTCCCATATTTTCCTCCACAACTTTGTGCACCTCTCGACCGGCAAACCGGCATTCACGGAGGGAGTTTGCTGACTTGTTTCTTCCTGATGTTGTGTTTGGTTCCATCGCGGTAAACTGAACTCACGACAGCACTGACAGAAGCTGATACAACTCCACTGTATTGCATATAGAGATAAGGACTATAAAGGTTTTCACCTATCTAAGGACATCTGTCATTGTTTACATGTTTTAATCAGCTGCTACGTTTTAAAATCGAGATTACAGCTCAAGACCCTGAAGAAGTGATGCGTTACAATTATGTTTGAAGATGGCAAAATAAAAATGTTTCACAGTTTAAATATCGCCTGAGCTCAGTGCTTAAGTTATTAATTATAAATTGACACTTTATTTGTTCAGGAAATATTCAGCACCTGAAGGTAGCGTTAATTAATCCTGTTACTGATCTCCCTCCGTGAATCCAACCCGCTTCTACAACCCGCCAATGACGGCTTGTATAAGCGGTCATATTTACGCATTTCTTCCGAAAAAAGTTCTTCAATCTGATCCGTTCTCTCGTAAACATTCTTCGTTTTAATAATGGTATCGGGCTGTGAAAGCGGAAATGTGAGACTCTGTAAAGGACGTAGTTAGCGGACCAATCGCAGCCTTGTGCGCTGCAGGAGGCTTGAGTTGCTTGATTCGCTTTCGACGCAAGCCTAGAAAAATGGCTCGACACACGCAAGGACGCCAGGAGGTGTGAAAAGCAACGCAAGGGGGGCTTGCGTCTGCGTCGCTCTGAAAACGCAGAAGCATAAACTAGGCTTTAGTAAAACGAGGGCTCAGTCACAGCTAAAGTGATCAGTACCGATACATTGAAAAATACATTGTTCGCCTCACCTTAAATAGTGGAGGTCGGAGATCTCCTTCATACACAGCCAGCAAAACTCACAGCCGCAGACGGCACAGGTCATGTGATTACAGCTCCCGTCGTTCATCTTGATGATGTAGGCGGCACAACGAGGGCACGGCTTGATGTCGTCACCTGGGGGGGGGGGGGGGGTTAAAGGTTGAGGCCCAAGCATCAGGAGCATTTTGCATCTTTAGTTTCTGATGCGGCGATGGCGAGATGAGTGGGAGAAGGTGAGAGCGCCTGTGTTTGTCCGTGCGTTACCTGCAGCTCCACTCTCTTGGCTGTAGCTGAGGGAGGAGGACCTGAAGCTTCTCAACTGGAGGGTTTGGGCCCTTTGTTGCCGTGCGGTGTCACACGTCTGGTTGGGATGCCACAGCTGTTTGCAGTGGTAGCAGAACTCTGTCCCACAGCCTTCACGCCCACAGGTAATCTTTGGGCAGCTGGCGCAGCCAAACGCAATCACTGCATAACTGAGAGAGAGAGAGAAAAACAGCCAAAATGGTAGTTAGTGTTTGCCGATCAGCATGGATGTAGTACTTTAGCAGAACACTAGGGGTCAGCAGGGCTAATATAACTAGTGGACAGATGTGCATGAGTAGAACACTACAGAGATTAAAATGAGCACTTTTCTTTTAGTGTGTGATTTTCCATGATTTCTCCAAGAGCTCTTTTACAATATAGCCGTGCTGGCACAATCAGATCTGCATGACTGCATGTCGCCATAGCAACCCTCATCAATCAAAACAGTGGTCTACTTGAGAGCAATTGCAAAGTAAACAGCACAAACGAGTGGAAAGTTTGCAAACTGTTTCGTTCCAAACAAGCAAATTTCATGCATCTGGACATAAGGGCAATAAAAAAAACATTTACACAAGGTCCATTTAAAAAGCATTTCTCTGTACTATTATTGTCTAAAACCTCAGAGTGTCTCACATGGTCATTGTTTGAGGAAAAAGATGAAAGATAACTGGCACGGGCGTGTTTCCTTCTGGGTTTTTGTTTTACGGCGTAAGTTGACGGAAACATAAACAAACTCAACTGACATCATTTTACAATGCCTTTTTAAATCAATTCTCCTCAGGAAGAGACACGCTTCGCTTTCCACTATGGTGGGGGCAACGTGCGTGGGCCCCATGTAGCTGCGTCCAGACAGTCTCCCGGAGAGGAAACTAAATAATGGCGAATGGTGTAAAAGCCGTAAAGTGGATTGGAGAACCACCAATCTCTTTCTTCAGGGTTACTTACATTTGACCCAATATCTGGCACCAGTAATTACACACCAATTAGGAGCGACAGCATTTACCGGCAAAGAGTGTGACAGTGAGCCGGAGCTGCACTGATTAAATGACGAGGGCTGAAAAGCCCATGAAAGAGTGATTATTCTTACGGACAGGGTCCGCAGTGTGGGTTATGTAACTGCTCCAAAACTGCACAATGCAGAAAACACTATTGCAGAAAAGTCAAACGGTCAGAAAATGCAGATGAGCAGTGACGACCACGCTGCGTGCAGGGCGGTCGCCATGGCGGGCAGCTGCAGTGAGCTTTAAAAATAGGGACGACCCTGGTGAGCACACAGAGCACGGCAATGTTTGCTCCTGTTCGGGGCCCCTGTGAACAAACTGGAATCCCTGACAGCTCCAAACATACCAGACCCCGACCTCACCACCACCTCGCCCTGAAAGACGGGACGACACTCTCCTCCCCAGAGGATCAATTCTACGAACATTGTTACTTTTAAGAGAGTGCCTCGCACGGAGCAAAATATGAGGGAGGATGATGATGATTAATTCTAACAACGCAAATAACGCCGTGCTTTATTTGTATGTGGTGAGAAAATTGCCAGCTATGGTCTGATAATAATAAGCAGCATCATCATCATCATTTGCTGAGCACGTCTTTTCTGGCTCTCTTGAGGCTGACGGAGCGTAACAGGTCTATTGCTGAGTTATTTTTACCTCAGGCATCAATGCAGAAGCCGGGTGCACTTCAAAAAGGCCACTTTACAGCCTTGAAGCTGCTTATTCGGTTATTTTGGTACTTTTTCAAAAGAGCTAAAAAAACATCGAGCACATCTCAAGTAACCAAAATAGAATTTTGTTAAAACGTTTCGCAAAGTTGTGGCTTGTGTGGAGAATACTCCCCCCCCCTCCACTTTATGTTCTATGGGTGACTTTTATTGGTAGGGGGACATCACTTGATGATTTCCTTTCACGTGAAGAGCAGACCGACCTCATGTGTTCATTACACCAGCGGCCTACCTAATCTCCCATGAGCCCTCGCTCTTACCCACAGTCTGGCGCCGGGCACCAGCGGCAGTCGGGTTCCCCCACCAGCCACCTCCTCAGCATGAACTCCTCGTACTTCTCCATGACGGCCCGGTCGCCCAGGATCATCTGGATGTCGTGGGGGTTGAACCGCTCGGCACACTCGGGGCAGCAGATGTTGACGCGGGACTCGGAGATCTCGATGCGCAGGTACTGCCGCAGGCAGTCGGCGCAGGAGCGGTGGTGACAGGTCATGATGTCCGGGAAGAGTTCCCGCGCGTGCCGGAGGAGGCACAGCGGGCACTCCAGCAGCTCCGACTGGAAGGAGGAGGAGGAGGAGGCGGCGGCGGCGGAGGAGCAGCCAGATGCCGACAAAGTCAACGGCACAACCGGTGCGCAGTGGGCGGAGGTTTTGTCCAACACGGCCTCCGGCTGCACACTTTCTGTGATGACCGCGCTGTCCACCCCGGCTCCGGCCTGCTGAGGCCGCGTCTTGCGCTTGGTGTCCCGGTCAGGCCGGCGCCGGCGGCTGAAGAGCGAGTGGAGGGACAGGCGGCGCTTCTTGGGGGTCTTTCTGACCGAGGGGAGGCTGACGGAGGAGGCAGCGGAGTGGAGGTCTCGCTCCGAGCCGGTGCTGCCAGGATGCTGCTGGTGCAGGATGCTCATAGCGCCAGAGGAGGGGGGGCTTAAAGAGAAGGGTAGACAGGGGAGGGGGCTGCGCTGCTGCTAGCTAAGACATAGTGGCAGGAAGCCGGCGCGGGAGGCCTGGAAGTGCGTGGCGGTCCGTCCATGGCGCGACCCACGGGGAAGAACACGTAGATGTTCAGATGTAATGCGCGAACCTGGCGGAGTTGGAAAGGAAAAGAAAAATCAGGTACAACGCCACGGCTGAATGCATTCACTTTAATGAGCTGCGCCATATGGAAGGTTCAGGATGCATGGACAAAATCTCTCATCAAGGCCGTCTCTGGCTCGGGTGTTATGGGAAGACCTTCCCCGTTTCTTAATTAAGAGTCTTCTGGCAGGCGTCAGGCGTCTTTTCGGGCTTGTTTGTGTCGTTTGTGCATGCGCAGTGGCTTACATAGAACATCTGCAGGCTCTCCCTGGAGTGCGTGTGTTAGTCATGAGTGGGCGAAACAAGACAAAAACCTGCGTTTCTTTTCATCGCGCATCACAGACGCGGCCACAGCGGCGTCAGTGGGCCTCTAGAGTAGCCACACCCCGTCGCGAGTGTTTCCACATGCGCTTATTTGACACAATATGAAGATGCAAACATCAAGAACACCTAGTGGTAAAAACATCTGGATGAATAAGTGGCCAGCTGGGAAATATTAGATTTGAGTGGTAAACTCTCGCACTCTACAAGAGGAAAAGTCTGTTGACTTTTTCCATCCTAGTTCCCCGTCAAAATAAGACTGTTTTTTGTATGTATTAAAACTCATATGCAATTTGGACAACAACCAAACAGAGCAGTGCATAAAAATGGATGACATCAGCAAGAAGCGCTGCAGCTGAGGGTTAGAAGTTAATAAAAAATGTCATCATCGTCTCCCGGGTGGTTGTAGTTTGACATGAAGGAGTCACTACGCAGGCTTTTTAGTTAATTTCAACTCGTTACCACAATTCAAACACATTTTGTGTCCTGGGACTGGTTAGACATGTTCTATAAACTTCGCTCTCTTCATTACATTACATTACAGGTCATTTAGCTGACGCTTTTATCCAAAGCGACATTACATTTTTAACCCATGGCTTTTACATCTTTGCCTGGGGAGCAACTAGGGGTTAAGTGTCTTGCTCAGGGACACCTCGACATGGGACACGGGGCAGCCAGGACTCAAACCACCAACCTTGTGGTTCCCAGCGCACCCTCCAGCGCACCCCTCTCTGCCCCTGCGCCATGACGACCCCTTCAATCAGCAGGACTTTGAGCTCGGGCTTTCCCTTTTTGGAGAACCCTTTGCATGCCGCACGTCTCAAATGTCTTCTCCCATGACATGCGGAATCCTCTCTTTCCAACCAGAATACAGGGAATTTGGGCAAAGATCAATCCAAAGGATTATTAACACTTCAGGTAGAAGAGCTGCTCTTAATTCACCTCTATCGTAAAGTTTAAAAGTCACAATTAAAACCCACAGTCCGCACACGACATCTGGAATTCCAGCAACACAGAACACCGGTGGGTTAAGCAGCATGTGATGATGTGAAAAATAAGGGGACAAAATGATGCCACCTACTCCAAAGACGTGTGCATGAAGTTGGAGACGTGGCACAATAATGTAGGCCCTAAGAAAAACCCCATCCATCGTGAAATAGGAGCATCACATTTGTAAACTAACCCCATACCTCAACACCTACTCAAATACCTCAAGTATCCAACCTCTTTACTTTGCCTTGGACCAATAACATCAGTGACCTGAGAGCTTGACTCAAAAAACATCAGGATCAGCTGCTGGCTACGGTCGAGTCCTAAAACAACGATTCCACTTCACAACAAAGCCGAGCTGTTGGGTCAACTCGTCCAGTCCGGTGAGCGGGAGGAAATTTTAACAAGACAGCGAAGCAATTCGGAGCAACCCGATGTGAAATTACACTCCCGGGGTGTAATCACACCGGGACGGAAAGAACCGCCGCTGCACTGTTCCCAGAGTGAGCGGGACTTTCCATGCGACTTTGTGTTTGTGCACGCACACGTATGCATGCATGTATTCAGCATCTTTGGCTCACGGCTCTCACACACAGACACACAAACACTAGGATGGTGTCCCAGTTCCTTTGGGGGGGGGGGGGGGGGGGGTGGGGGGGGTGATCCATCAGCTCTCATGGGAAATGAGCTGATGCTAAATCGTGACGATCATCGTAGTGGGACCTAAATTTGCGTTTCCCCCCCCGAAGAGACGGGGGATTAAAAGGTTTAATTTTTTTTTTTTAATGTGTTTGAGGTGGACAGGGGAGCGGTGGGGAAATAGACAGTGTGTCACTGGGGACTGCAGTGATAGTAGTAGTAGTAACAAGCATTGCTCCCTAGACCACGGGGCAATAATATTTGCTCCTGCATTAAACCAATGAAATCCTGGTTTCCATTGCCTCTCATTCTGCAGAGACAATTGGGTACATTACGGTCAATGTTAAAGTATTTTACATATGACATACAAACTATATTTACTATATTGTCTTTTAGTTTGAACGCCCTTTAAACACTCAACCGCTCCGATATTGCCTGTGAATTGAACAATTTAAATTGTTATTTTTTTAAGTGTTTGACAAAGCTGTGTTTCACACACAGTTTGTTTTGAGTCCTTTTAGAGTTTTAGGAGAAATGGGACCGTATTTACAAAGAGTCTGTGCAGTTTTCCCAATGGTGAAATCAAAATTCAGGCGTAGATGATTTGGTAAAGTTTGGTAACCCATGCCCGGCTTCAAACGGCATACCACATACAACCATCAGCTTGCGTCACTGTTAGCAAGAGGCTCAAAGCGTTCCTCTGCAAAGTGTTCGTCACGTACACTAATTTCCTGTGACATTCCAGCTGGAGGAACGACTTCCTGATCGTGACAATGCATTCAGTTATTACGGCCCGGGACAAAGTCACAGCCCAGACGGCGGGTGACAAACGCTCAACGCTACTTTTTCTGCTTTATTTGTTTACCCACCACATTGAGACAAAAATATTGAGTTCTTTTTTTTTAAACTGTTGTCTACAGCAGAAGACATCATTCCGTAAAGCAAATGAATACTTGAAGTTATTATTTAGGCTACGAAGCATTAATCAGGTGAGGGCCCACTTACAGTTGGCTGGATGTCAAAATAACACAGTAACTTAATGAATCTCCATTTAGCCAAATATTTGCCAGCCGACGTATGATAATAATATCTGACGTTCAACAGAAGGGTGTGGAGCGAAAGCCTATGAGGCTACTTTCAGCACTATTTAAAAAACATTCCGATCGAGCCGACGGGCCACGGTACTTTTCCACTGCATCTGGTCCACGATGATGAGCCCACCAAATCGAGATATGAAGCTGAAGATGATGAAAATGAAAAAAAAATCATCCACCCAACAGAAATAGTTAATATAGTTTAAAAAGAAACATTCATCCATTCGGCGCCTTGGACACAGCAAATTATGCTGGCTTGTGTTCGCCCGGGAGCCAGAAGGAGAGTTACCATTGGCCCACTGCACACAGAGACGTCCATGCAGCCCAGTGGGGTTCTGACAAGATGAAAGGAGAACAGTCACATCACGGACGTTTCATACGTTGAGAGATTTGCCTGCCTCCACATGGTCGTGAATTCTTTGGCATTCCTCCTGCATTAAAGGGGAACATCACTGTAACTACAGCCTGTAATAACGCAACGTTCTCATTGGTCCCAAGCTATAAAACTCACAGTGTAAGATGAAGTTAACATGTTTGCATGCACATGTTCCCGGGGAACAGCTTGTTCATGGAGCCGAACGGAAAAGTCAAGACAAGTGTCAATGTTTGGAGAACAGATATTGCAGAAAAGGCGAATCTTTTCTTTTGATCCAGAGCCCGTGGGTGACAGGTTGCTGTCTCCCTGTCAGTTTAACACTACGCTTTAACACCTCGACGACAGAAAGACATGGAAGGATCATTTTTCCATGGCGCCTCAACAGGAAAAATCACACTCTGACATGAAATGTCTTTGCGTGAAGACCAAATGCTGTAAAAAAATAAATAAAATAAGGACCGAAAATAATTCAAATCAACAAAATAAAAATGTAACGTTAAATAATTCTGATATTGTGATGCATGTATTACAATCAGCAGTCTCTGCTCTGACGTTGCACGTAGAAATCCAGATATCCTATCAGATATTAATGCAACATAAATGTAAAACGATTGGTGGTCTGGAACTCTTTCGGTGATATTTCAACAACTTATGATTTTTCAATTTAAATTAAACGAAATACGTTTTTTTTTAATCGTGTGAGCAAATACATAACAAGGACGGTGTAGTTCGACAAAATAATAGTGACGATATTGAAATAACCCAAAAGAAGCCAAAAACAGAGCAGATTTGTCTTCGGAAGGTCGCCACGGGAAGGGACGAAATCCTGTTTACGCTTTCCAACCAGGCTAACCACAGTTAGCCGGCTAAGCTAACGAAATCAGATTTGGCCAGTAGGAAAGCTGCTGCCCAACTTTAATCACCCAGAGACTTCGTGGCTGGACGGAGCGTTAATGATTTTGCGAATTCACAGGACAGACAAACTGACGGTGTGGTTTATCCAAGTAAGCGAGCTTGGCGGCGAGACAACTTTACCCGAGGCTTAGTGCCCACGTACAACATAACGAGGAGAATCTACAAGCTAACAAAGCTAAACAGTGCTAACAGCTAGCTGCTCGTCCGCCTCGAAGAGAAGGAAGTTGGTATATCTGTAACATTTGAACAAAAGCTCCGTGTAAAGATGATTCCCGCACCCACTTACCTTTCAATCCACCGGGTGTCCTTTTAATTAACAATATGCGTCAACGCTGGTGTCTCCATCTCCCAAGAAGATCTGCATTTGTTGCAAAAAAACTTAACCGGACAGCCTAGATGCATTACCCGAGTGATGCGGTTGTCAAGTGGGAAGGATGTAGACACATGAATACTTCCGCTCAGAATGATCCACTTTTCACAATAAAATGAATCCATAGCCAACAGCAGAAGCAGCGAAGTTCATGCATAGGCTACTGTATGTCAAACAACGTTGCACACCAGATGAATATGGGTCAGCAACCAGGATGCCTTTTCCCCTTCCAGCAGTAAACAATGGTGGAGGTTGTAATGTGGAGAAAAAAATGTCTGTGTCTTTTTCATTAAAAATAGGAATAAAAGGGAATACAAAACACAAAAATACAAAAATGATATTAATTCATTCTACACAACAGCGAGTGGTTGAGTGCACTTATTGTACGTCGCTTTGGTTCTCTAAACATCTTTGCAGCGTTTTCTTTTGACAGCCACCGGGGGGAGAGAGAGAGCGAGCGAGAGCGAGAGCGAGAGCGCGAGCGAGCGACACCTCGTCGCGCGCATGCGCACACGTCACTCCTTCAGATGTCAACTGCACCAGAGAGACACCGGACAAACACCTCAGCGAGCCGTTAGCGTAGGGAAGTTATAATCCTCTGACTAGAAGCTTCTCCGGCCGGCACAGAGTAATGAGGTAGATAGCCGGACAGCTAACTACACGTACCTTGATCAAAATAGACGGCCGCTGCCCCGGTGAACATGGACCAGGAGTTTGAAGACATAGACTCAGAGGGCCGGTGGCAAAAACTGTACCTAGTAAGTCTTTTAGCATAGAGCTATATTAGCATAAAGCTAATATGGACAGTTCCCTCAAACGCGCATTCTTTTTCAGTTCGGCTAGCTCATCAACGGTCCGCTATCCAGCTAACCTATAACTTGTAACCTCTATCCTTCATGTTTTAGTTTTTGGGTCGCTCTTAAGTTTTATTTTCAGCGTGTCTGCGTAAACGTTACCGTTAGTTTGTTCCGTGCTATCCGACGGTGCATGTGGTTGTTGATTAGCAACACTGCTAGTTTCATACTCCACTCTGTTAGTAGGACATTTACTGCTCTCTTATCAAATGCTGGCAGTGGAATAGTTAAAGTCTTATCAGCGTGCCATTAAATGTAACGCTAATTATGGATTTTATGCTCCTAAAAAACAAGAATATTACTTTCATCTTCAGGAAATAAGGAATCAGTCCCACGAGTGCTCCTACAAAGTGGCAAAGTATCCAGAGAACCGCAATCGAAACCGATACAGAGATGTCAGTCCATGTAGGTACACGTTTGTGGACAGTCTAAACTGTTACTGCCAGTCTTATGATTATGCGGATCTAATCTTCTCGCTTGCGACCTGCAGTCGATCACAGTCGGGTGAAGCTGGAGAGCACCGACAATGACTACATCAACGCCAGTCTGGTCGTCATGGAGGAAGCTCAGAGAAGCTACATATTGACTCAGGCAAGTCCAAGGCGTTTTATTCCAGCACGCTTGCTTGGTTTGTCCGACTAAACATCCCAATATAAATAGTGACTCTCTGTCAACTGCCTCGTCAATTATACTTTAATTTAAGAATGGAGTGTTAACAGTACTCATTTCCTACATGTTTTGCCATTACTTTATTGTAAACACTTCAGGGGGAATAAGCCTGTTAGGCTGGTGAGTGTTCTCAAAAAACTTTTGGCCGACATGCTATAAAAAAATATAAGTGTAGATTGGGGGAGCATGTGCGTGCATGTCTTGTCATTGAGCCTGATAAACAGTGCTTGTTTTATTTACCTAAATCCTTTATTTATGAGTAAAGTTTCTGCATTACTGTTAAAGGGGGGAGTGTATGGGGTTCTGAGACAAATTGTGCTGTTTAAGTTGCTTCACTAGTATATCTAGTAAAAGTGTCCCTCTCTGATACGATTTCTTTGTAATATTCATCTTTCTTAACTTTATCAAAAAAGATATATATTATAAATATATTATAAATCATTTATTATAAATAAATAAGTAAATAAATATTACGCATATGACAGACACACCAGCTTAGAAGAAAAACATACACACAAGCTCAGAAAATATTTTTTCTATTTATTAAATATAAATATGTGCAATGGTCGTACAGTATTTTGTACCTAAGCCTTCTTGAAAACAATTATTTCTACATTAATTTATATACAGTTGTATGCACTTACAAAATTGCAACTTTTGAGGGAAAAAAGAGAATGAAAAGTTACCTTGTGCAAAATCTGTTTTGCATCCTATTCCGCATAACCTAAAAAAGTCAAAAAGTAAGCATGTCGCAATTATTAAGGGATAGTTTACTTTTTGAAAGCTGTGATGAATCAACAATGTGTGTCCTCATATCACCCTGGGCTACAGGCGAGTTGTTTGTGTATAGCTATGCACACATCTAAACTGAAAATATCTGTATTTATTCACCCGGACATAGATAAGAGCTTTAACATTCGAAACAGAAACCAAACAGAGGCGTATTTTCATCCCACACAACTTGCTCATGTCCTCAGGAAATCTTTACTCATGTTTTTTTTTTTTCTTACCAACATGACAATAGAAAACACGGACTGTTGTTCACAAAATGATATTATTGCTAATTGTGCACAGAATACTGTATCATTAATTAAAAGCCACATAAAGTTTGATCAATTCAACATGAGACCCCTGAAATATGAATTTTCTTGCGTTAATTGTGGATTTCACATGATTGTGTTGGTTAGATAAAGCAAAGCTGGACTGCACCATTCATCTGTGTTTTGTTCAGACTGTTACTTATAAGGTTTGGAGTATTTCCCAGTGCTTCAGTTATTTGTGTCATAATCTACATGCTGTCCAACAGTGTGTTACTCTCCATGATGGTATTCTTTTAAATCCTGTAACATTTTATTGTATATACAAAAGACAAAAAATGCTTCTCAGCATTGCCCATGCTTTTGTGTTCGTTATCTATTGTGTGTTATTTGAGAGACATTTAAAGATCGTGCCCTTTACTGAGTGCAGTTTTTGCAACTCAACCACATTGTAACCTTTAGCAGTCACGACCTTTTTAAATAAACGCTTCTTAGTTGCACGCTAATCAGATTAATAATGGCCTGTTTTTATTTTTTTCAATGTTTGGACATTTGGGAAAGATTACAAACATTTTAATAGGAAATGATGATATTCAGAGACTCATTTCCTTACACCATGTAACTGACCAAATGTATGCTGTTTGACCGGAAAAAACCTCATCATCCTCAGCCCTCCCAAGATCAACAGTGCTGATGGATCGGAGCTGGAGTTCGTCAGCTCCTAAAAATACCTTGGCCTCTGGTTGGACTCTCATTTAATATACACATCAAAATCCTTCTGGCTAAAGTCAAAGCCAGACTGGGTTTTCTGTATCGAAACTACTGTGATCTTCACAGACACACACACCAGGCGGCTACAACACTGGCTGCTTGTGGTCTACAAATCCATTTTGGCAGTGACCCCCTCCAACCCCCCCGCTACCGCTCAAATCTCCTGCACATTCCCGACAGCAATCGCCATTTAAGATCCAATGACTTCATTCGGCTCATCATTCCAAAAGTCCGTACTGTGTTTGGTCAGAACTCCTTTCGTTTTGCGGCTGCAGATGACTGGAACTCGCTCAAACTAACAGCCCTCACCTCTCTCAACATATTCAAACATAAGCTGCAACGAGCCATAGTTGACTCCTGTACTTGCTGACCAGCCCTCATTGCTCTCTTCCATTTTTCACAACGTACTTTTTGTACATAGTGTTTATTAATTTAACTGTTGTTTTCAGCCATGTGTCATACTGCGTTGTATCTGTGCTGTTTGTGTCACTTGTGTGGACTGTGCTCCTGCCTCTTGGCCAGGTCATCGTTGTAAATGAGAATTGGTTCTCAATTCATTTTATCTGGTTAAATAAAGGTCAAATAAAAAAATTAAAGTGTGTGTTTGTTGTCCACAGGGACCACTCAGGAACACCTGCAGCCATTTTTGGCTCATGATCTGGGAGCAGAAGACCAAAGCGATCGTCATGCTCAACAGGGTCATAGAGAAAGGCTCGGTAAGTACACAACATGAAGGAATCATATAGTCTGGTTTGACATTTTGTTATTTGTCTAGTGCACAACCACAAGCAGACAGAATGCAGAAATAATGAATAGGTCACAGAAAGACCAGTCACACACATACAGCGGCACACGCATTTCGTTAAAGTTCGCAGGCTGTTCGCAGTGTGAAATGCTTTCCACGCGTTGTTAGATTTTGCCTTATTTCTGTTGAAGTGGGCCACTGTGACGCTTCCCTCATTCCAGTCAGCAAGATAACAGGAATCCAATGTTGTCATAGTGTGTTCACAGATGTACGCAAGGAGCCGGCATGTAGCCCAACCCTTTTTTAAAATCCTGTGATCCCGTGTTGTGCTGATTAAACGGACACGCACGCACACGCTAACACACTCCCTCGCGCAGAGCAGCTGTGAGGCCTCTCTTTCTTTCTCAGGAAAGCAGCTGGATTTGATCCTGCTGGGTCATGAGATTCTCTCTGTAACTGTTTTCTTGGAAATAAAAGATTAATAGTAGCGTGTCCAAAAATATTATTAACCTCAGGATCTGTTCCCTGAATAAGAATTAGTGAGTCACAAATCACAAAATTGTTTTGGAATTGAGTCTCATCTTGGCTTCACTTCTGGTTTATAACATCAACAATAAGAAAAACAACAACAACAATAATAATTGTAATTTTTTTATAGTATATTTCATGCATTTCAAGAAATGCACATCAAAGGGGCTTACCCCTTTACACTTACTTTCTTATTAAAAGAGGAAGGAAGATCTGTTTTCGAAAGGTAGTGTGTGGTGTATTTTCGGACTTACACTTAAAACCCAATACTTGTTCACTAATCATTCACACTTAGTTTCCTTCAGTATAACATTTGAGTAATGTAGTTCGTGTTTCGTTTAAGGACTGTAATCACAAGGTGAAAATACCTGGAAAACTGGAGGCCACGCGGCCAGCTTCTGCTCCCAGTCGGGTGCATTTCTTTGTCCCGTGGTTTGACGTATTCGCTGTCTCTCTCCGTGTGTGACAGGAGAAGTGTGCTCAGTACTGGCCCACAGCCGAGGAGAGCGAGATGGCCTTCAGAGACACCCGATTGCTGGTCAGGCTGCTGTCAGAAGACGCCAAGTCCTACTACACCACCAGAGTGTTGGAGCTGCAGAACATTAGTGTAGGCCGGCGCTTTACTTACTACAAGGGACGTTCCTGTTTGACTGTGTCATAAACTAACTGAAAGGGTTTCAGGGTAACGAACCAAGGCTCGTCACGAGGACCGGTGTCGTCTGAGGCCATCGGACAACAAAAAACGTCCTTGTTCATCGGAAATTTTTCTGTTTTCATGGACAGCGAAGTGGGTGGTATTAAGAAAAAGAAGCACGATATGAAAACACGCATTGATTTGGTTGTGGGAAGTTTTTAAACCGGCTTTCTTGCATGAATTGATACTGAAACTGTTGGACAATGTTTGCTTGGTTCAGTTCTCAAACACACAATACGCAGCCGCAAATAACAAAAACAATCTGCCTGCTAAAGAGACCTCTGTTTGCTCTCGCAGACCGGGGAGAAGAGAGAAATCTACCACTTTCATTACACCACGTGGCCAGATTTCGGTGTCCCGGAGTCCCCGGCATCTTTCCTTAACTTCCTCTTTAAAGTGCGGGAGTCGGGGGCCTTGGGGGAGGACCACGGGCCCGCTGTGGTGCACTGCAGCGCCGGAATCGGACGCTCAGGGACGTTTTCGTTGGTGGACACGTGTGTGGTACTGGTGAGTTCTTTGTATCAGTGTTCCCATATTTTGACCTCGGAGAAAGATTTGCCCTTATTTTCGTGTGTGTGTGAGAGTGTAAGAGGTGATCAGTGTAATAATAAACTACATCTGGCAAAATATATATTTATAGGTATAAAATAAATTGACATTGTTCCTTTTGTTTTAAACAAAAAAAAATTACCGTGTTTCTCCTGCTCCGTAGCATAACTAATTTGTCTCATCAGCACTTATTCTGCACGTAGAATAAGTGTATCAAAGTTTCACATTGTTTTGCTTTCCAATCCGCTATCTGAGCCTATGGAGCATTTCATCCCTTAACTCATTGCCACAGACTGGCGATGTGAAAAGATGTGTCACGTTCTCCTCAAACACAAACCAACAAATGAGTCACTAGATATTGAGAGGAGGGGGAGGAAGGGGGAGGAGTTATCATGGTTAGCTGAGCTAATTTACAATTCTCTCCCTCCAGATGGAGAAAAGGAAAGACCCTTCGTCGGTGGACATCAAAAACATCCTGTTGGACATGAGAAAGTACCGCATGGGCCTGATCCAGACCCCCGACCAGCTGCGCTTCTCCTTCATGGCGGTCCTCGAAGGGTCCAAGCACATCACGGGAGACTCCTCCGTACAGGTACTGGACACACACACACACACACACACGGTCAGTTGACATTAATTCTCTGGCATGATGCAGATGAAACAAGGTATATGTAGATCTCCCTCTGGCCATGCCTGCAGAACTTTGTAATAAAACAACTTTATTTAATCCCAAACGCTAACCTGGGAATTGAATATAAAAAGTGAATTATTTATTTTAATTGAACGGAAAAGTCTCACAACAAAATGTCTTTTATCCTCAGTCAGAAGCCGCTCACAACTCGAAAGACCTTAACACAAATAGCAGCTTCTTTGAATTTTTTTCTAATTGGAATGACCACGTCTTTTCACCCATTTCTCTCTATATAGAGCGGTACTTTCCCCTCATGTGCTCATTACCTTTTAACACATCCTGATCCAACCACGGCCAGTGAGGCTGAAACTTTGAGACTGAAATGTTACAGTCGTTCATTTTATGTTTATTTACGTACTTATTTAACACACGGGCCTAAATATGTTTATCCAAAAGCGTACTGACCTTCCTCTATGTAAGTGTGCTGTCAGAAGGAATCTCCCACCACACTAATGAGTTCAATACAGCTGGACCCGAAAAGACTGTTTGGAAGAATTTGACCAGAATCCCTGAGACCGGTCTAGCCAGGTCAATGATTATAAAACCAGCGGACCAAGGTGTAGCTTTAGTGTTAATGGACAAGTGTTGAAGAAGCTCATTGGATGACTTTCTATTTCCAGGTAACACCTGGAGGCATTGAGCGGAATCTTACAGATAAGGAGGCAGGTGGATTATTAGGCAGGATATCCTGCAGTGTAGACATGCTAGGATTCTAACCTATTACAGGTCCCCTTAGGTCTGTCTTGATTGGCTTAGGGACAGCATACCTTTCTTCACCAGCGTCTATGAAGCATTTGTGACACGGGTCACAAATCGGGTCCGTTCGTTACCGTGATCCGATTCTAGAAGCATTGCTCAAAGTGGTCAAGGTCACTTTTACCTTATCTCCTTTCAGTTCTTGTGAATACGATTTCTCATCAACGTTTTGGTGGAATATGTCAAACGTCCAATTGGACTCGAGGTCAAACTACTATAGTTTGACCTCGAGTAGCTTGACACAGCAGGGATTTCTGTGCTTTCTTTAATGATGTAGTGTTAGTCCGTATTATTGAACCCCGGGTTCTTCTCCCTGTGCAGAACCGGTGGCGGGAGTTGTCCAGGGAAGATCAGGAGCCAACATCAGATTCTCCGCCCTCAACTCAGCCGCCGGCCAGGTGTCCGGAGCGGCACAACGGCATTCAACGGGGAGGTCAGCTGGAGGAGGGAGAGGACTACAGGCAGGATAGCAAAGTACCAGCACCGGCTCCTTGCAAGGAACAGGAGCAGGACGGCGTCACAACACAGTCAGTAAACTGGAGTTGATCGGCTGATAAATCATTACCAGACCGAGAGCCGTTTAGCCATTTGCCTCCTTTTTTTTACGCAGCAAAAGACGCAGAGAAGACAGCATCTCCAAATCAGGCACAGCAAAGACGCCCCAAAGCAAGCCCAGGACGAATGACTCTGAGAAGAAGAGGAAAAGGTGGCTCTATCTTTTGAATGAAAAAATACACACAAAGCATTGAGTTGTTGTTTTTTTACCTTCCAGGGTGATTTGTCGAAAACACCGTCACAGTGCCCCCCATTCATTACATGCTGCTATTTTCATCCATCAGCACAGACTGTAAGAACCATTACTAATCCACCATACTGGTTTAGGGAGCAGAGCTGCTGTGGGTGCAATCCCCACGTGATGTTCCACAGTGGGAGATGCAGAGAATCTGGGGTGTGACATCATTTTCACGTGCTGCCTAATAGTTTTCTAGTGCAGAAATGTCCAGGGAGGTTTTCCCAGTCCATCACTCATGCCCCTATTTGGCACATTTTAGACTCAGGCTTTTCACCCCCCCCCCCCCCCGACCCCCTCTCTATTCAACATTCTCTGTAATTTGATGTGAAGCCACCTGTGTAGCGTACTGACATCACGTTTTATGCAAACAGACAGGACGCGTTTCCCCTGATGAAGCACTTATTTCTGATGACTTTGCACCTCCAAAAGTGTCTCTCTAAGTCATTTCTCTGAAGCCCTCCTTTGTTGTGTGACATGTCATTGTTGTTCCAGTAATTCGGCCCAAACTGCACCATTTCTCACGAGGTCTCCACTCTTCTTCTCGGACAGTTTGGGCTGCATTTGCTGCACATGACAAGAGCTGGCCTGTCCAGTGGGGGGGGGGGCGGCGGCGTATCTTTACCTCCCCTCTGTGACAGCGACAACACCGAAGAGCACATTTACAAGACAAGGTTTCCCCACAGCTTATAAACAGAGTGGCCAGTCTTGTGCATGGAGGTGTGAGTGAACCTGTGTCTGCTGTGGTTTGGTGTCTGTTGAGGTTTTGCTCTTCTTTTCATGATTTACCTTCATTTCTTTTCAGTTTGGAGCTTGTTTTGGCTGCATTCCAGCATTGTGTGTGTGTGTGTGTGTGTGTGTGTGTGTGTGTGTGTGTGTGTGTGTGTGTGTGTGTGGTTAAAGTATGTTAGTGAAGCTGGGAAATGTCACGTTGAGTTGGAATAACACTAGCTGCTAACTGTGCTCTGCACCAAATTCTGTGGCATTGTTTTACCGGTAGAACGCCTCGTCAATCTGTTGCTCTGCACTTAAAAGTGCTGCTATTTTGACAGAGAACGTAGAGTCTTTTCAATTTAAGGTCTCTTGATGATTTCCACACGATGGAATAAATTAAGTAATACATTGGAGGGGGTTCGAGGCCGTCAGTCCGTCACATCCAATGCGTCCAGTGAGTTTGTTGCATGTTGCCGTGGTTTCCCGGCTGCTTCTGTGACGTTGTTACGGTTCTTCTTTGTTGGTTTTTAACTGCATCGGTTAAGTTTCGAATTGAAATTTGGAGATTTATGGTGAAATCTAGGAGGGCTTTTGTTGAGGACCCGTCAACAATTTTAATTTGCTGTAGTTTGTAAACTAGATATTAAAGGCTGAAATTGATTATTGTTTTCAGTATTTATTTATCATTAGAGTTAATCAATTTGTTGTAAAGAATTTCACGGAAAGTAAAATTGAATGTTGCATGTTTTGTATTGTCGAAAACTCTCCAAATTATTATTTAAACCAAAGTGGAATCTTGTGAATATTTTGTTGTGGAAATGACTGAATGACTGGAACTAAAACTTTGATGATGGTTCATCTGATCACCTGCCAAATAATTTTTCCAAAAATCAATCTGTTTGTAGACCAGGTAACAGAGAACCAACAGACACAAACAAGAAAACAAAGTTCTGGCACTGTTACTTGACAATCAACCTGTTCATTAACTAATCAACTTCAGCTCCACTGTTCTCCTCAAAAGCCTCCTACATCTTTGTAGAGTCTCCGTTTCTCCCACACAATGAAATCTAACCACGTGTTCTGACACTATTAACTAAACGGACACTTTCTGGGAAAATGTTCTTGTGACGTGCTGCTCATTAAACATTGCTGCATTTAGACTCAACCTGATGTCGCTGTGATCAAAGGGATCCGAGGCAGCCGAGCAAAAACCACCTTCTCAGAAGTTTCGGCGGCTCGACCGAGCTGAAAAAGAAAAAAAACGCAAGCTCGCGAGTTCCTTTCGATCGCTTTTGAGCCTCGTTGACTGACTCTGCTAGAAGGTTGTGTGTTGAGCTGAGCCTCTGTTTGTAAAATACCGTTTGTGTCTTGTGTGACAGGGCGAGAACCAGCGACAACTAACTGCCGCCGCGCTCCTCCGGCTGCAAAGCCAACATCGGCAGGGATCTCCAGCTCTCTCACAACCTCCTGTGTCCTTCTTCCTCCACTCCGAAACCACTCCCCCCTCCCGCCTCCACCGCCGGCTCTCCTCACTATTGCTTTTGTATTTTTATTTCTTTTAAGGTTACACCTCCTAAAACATTGATCAGACCCCGCACGTCTCCTCGTGTCCTCAGTCTACCAGCTTTTCCAGTCTCCTCATCCTCTCTGAACTGTTTACAGCGGACACTTTTGACATTCTTTGAAGTCGGCACATTTGAAAAGACAAACACACCAGCGCTTTCTCCCAAAATTACAGTTGCAATTTTTGCTTTAACGTTATGTGCAGCCTTTACATTATATGGAAATCTGACACTGATAGTAGGGGCTAAGCATTGACGATCTGTAATGCTGTTCATGTGTATTTAAAAAAAAAAAATGTTTTGTTTTTCAGAGGCAAAAATGTTCTATTTTTTATAAGAGATTACTTGAAGTTTTTCAGCAGTGCTGGGGTTGGTTAAAGAAGAGCACTGCCCTCTCCCAAGGAAGAAATACAGTGGCATGTAGTGTTTCCATGATGTACATAGTGTTCTTGTGTAAAAAGACATATTTTTGCTTGTAAACGAGAAGACGAACGACAATGTCACAGATTTGAAAACAGTAAATACCTGGTTCTTCTTTTGAACTGAAACTGTCTTAATTTTCCTTTATTCTTAAGAGTGTAATCTACAAATAAAAACTGGTATTATCTAGTTTACATAACAACCTGTCTTTGCAGTTTTATTTTCATGTTACTGTTCATTTTTCTTAGGTTGCACTTTTATTCCACAAAAGGATGTGTTTGTATGCAGTAATTTGTTTTGTTTTTTTAACCTTTTGGTCTTCATGAAAGAGCCACTGGCACCAACCAATTTGTTTTTAAGTGACCCGTACAGGTCATTTAGGAGAACTTGCCACATTCACCAATTTTCTTATACTTAGCGTTAAGTAAGCGTTGAATGTCACTACTTACAAAATACATCTTTACCAGCTTAATTACTAGTATATTTGTGCCAGAAGTATTTTGAAAAGTCTCAAGGGAGTTCTTCAGAGTGTTCCTTTTTAAAAATAGAAATGCTGTCTGCACGTTCCCCACAGCTGTCCTTCACAGAATCCACCAAAAACAATGATTCAGACAGAAAACCACCACCACAAACCTGGCAGAACATCGTGACACAATGCGAATCAGAGCAGTGTGTGTTGTTTTTTTTACAGAGGGCGGTCCTTCCAGGAAGACGTGTGGCACCAGGCCAACCACTTCCGGTAAAGTGTGACGGCGTTTCAGAGATAGTTACAATCATTGTTGATCTTTTTAGATGAATTCACACTGGATTCTTGTCACAATCTTTTATTGGAAAAAAAAGAATAAACAATAAAGGAGACTGGGATAAATGTGAGTCCCAACCAGGTAAACTCAGTATAATACATATAAAAGACTGCTGCTGTTCCTATCCGCTAGAACTACCAAAACTAAACACGTGGTATCAGAACATTGCTGGAGGAATTCCACTGCCAAAAAGAAGACTCCAGGAAGTTGGGATCTTCCATTTGTTGGGCTTTTGGCTCTGAAATGAGAATCAGGCAAAACCACAGTTAGAAAGTTATAATCTTAGGAGTCCTGGAAGTAGTAAATACACTGATTATGGATGAATACCTCACACAACCCCACTTCAAAAACTTGAAAAAAAGACTTAACGATCCCATTAAGTCAAAAATTACAGTTTATACACAGTTCTGAATAGGGAGGGGGGGGTAGTCTGTCCGCTGGTGCGAGTGCGCCTCATGCTGTAGGTTTTCCGGGGAGGAGGCAATTTCAGGGGGGCAAGGGTGGGGGGGTCTCCCCTGTTCTAACGGGTTAGGGGAAACACTGGAGGTATAAACGGCTGTCTAGCTGTATGTCTCTTACAGGGTTCTCCAGCAGATGAAGCCAGTCGTTGAGGTGGTTGACAAGCGTGAAGGCGTCTGGGATGTTGTCGCCTTCTGAACAGAAGAGCAGCAGCACAGCCAGAGGGAGATCCTCTGCGCAGCTGAAAGGACATGTTCACTTTGATAATGATACATTTGGGAGGCTTAAGTAAATATAGAATGCTGCATTTAAAAACAGCTCAACCAGTTGCGTTGCTGTAATTGGTTAACTATACAGACCCATTGTCTTATATGCAGATGGCAGCTATAATTTACTTAATTTTCTACCTTTCCTAAGCTTAATATAGCAAATGAAAAAATAAAAACGTCTAAAATAGGTCCACTTAAAATAAATAAAGCAAATGCAAATTAATAATAAAATCTTTCCTTGCGTTCTTCACTCAAGATTTGCATTCAGCAGGAAGTTTCCAACAGGCTGATGCGGCACTCCGTACCTGTCCATGTAGAGTCCTTTGGTTATGCCTCCTCCCGGGACATAGAGGCGAGGGTCCGTGTTGGCGTCCGTCAGTCCTGGGAAGGCCGGCACCCGCTCCATCTCCCTCCAGCTGAGCTCCTCCAACGCAACCGCACTGTCCTTCAGCAGGGACGGAGTCACCAGGTACCTCAAAGGAGTGCTAACGTTGATACGTATTTGTTAGCAGAGATTGTAAATAGCAACGGCATGCAGTGATATATATATATAGTGCGTGTCTGGGTACCCCTTCATCTGTTGGTCATCCCTCTGGTAGGCGTGGCTGCTGGACAGAACGACAGTCCTGGAGAACCCGCTGGTTTTGATCCAAGACACAAGCAGCTGACGGAACTTTTTGGATTTTGTCTGCAATTACAACAAAGGTTAGAGCTACAAATGCAATAATGTTAATCTCATTATAGGTCAGCGGAAACACAAACCACATATTAATGGAAAGCTTGACGTCAAACAACTGGAAAAACACAACCCTTTGGCCGTGACACAAAATTAAGCATAAACTCAAGCTTTTGCTTCAAACGCTGGTCTTACCTGAATAATTGGCGCCCTGATTTGAAGTACTGCCATCTTCAGTTCTGTTGCTGTGTAAACTGATTAGGAGAAAAGGTTTCAACAGGAGGTATTGTAGATTATTGTGATCATTCAAAAAATAACTCTACGTTAGCATCCGTTTAAAATTCAGTGCTGCTTCAAATATATATATATGCTTTCTCTTTATTCATTTTCCAAAAAATGCACATTTGAAGAGTGTATTGGCGGATTGGGAACAGGAAGAGAGAAAGCGGTGTGTCCACAAAGCGCTCCACTCACATGTACAGTCATGGTTACAGAATCGCTCTCCTCCTCTTCGCTACACTCATTTTCAGTATTTTGAATTAATTGGCAAAAAAAGAAGATTTTTCACAGGTGAAATTTGCTCATTGAGATGGTACCTTCTGCAGGGGTGTGCAGCTCCTCAGCGTCTTCATTACAGGTGGCGTATGGGTTGTTTCCAGTCATGGGGATGAGACAGTCCGTGTGTATATAGCCTACTCTTTTCATTTTGAGAGTGGACAAAATGAGGTCCACGGCCAGCTGTCCCACGTTACCAACAGCCACTGCTGGCTACGGGGGCGGTGACGGGAGCAACAAGAAAGAACAAGAATATTTTGATTACGTACTATATTTGGCAGTCTTTTGTTCAAGCTTCTCATGTGAGGTTGTTGCTTTTCCATGTGTTAAATTGCAGTTCAGTCAATTGTTTGCATGTTTGGACTCAAATTACTGGGCTCTGTATAATGGGCATTTGTGAGAACATTTTATAATCTGATTCATCATAATGTAAATAAAATCAGCACTATGTTAAACAATTAAAGGCTAATGCATAGATGTAATTACATTATAGTAATAATGAACCAATGATCGAATGATGCAATACTTTCCTGCACGTGAGGTGGTTTACAAAAAATGGACATGAATGGTCCAATTAAAACTATATATATTTAAGAAATATTAGTTAAATCTGCCCGCGACCCTGTGTGCAGGATAAGCGGTTTGACGATGGATGGATGATGGATGGATAGTTAAATCTGTTAAGATTACTTGGTCCAACAGGCAGTCAAGGCATAATGAAACAGGCTTTCAATTCAAAAGTAGGTTTATTTCCCCAAAATGCTTCAAAGACAGGGGTCTTATAAGTCAACAAATCATAACTATATACATAACAAAGTTATCCAAACATCTTAAAAACATTAATATACCGACAGGAAAACATGTAATGTGTTGATCTCATATCTGTCCCAAAACCGTAATAATCCCGTCCGCGTGCACGCTGTTGGTTTAATCGCTTAAACCAATTGAGCGCACGCGCGCATTTATTGCGCGTCACCGTAGTCGCCCACCGGCTGCTAGCTTGACAGGCGTTAGCTAACAGCCATGTTAGCTGTTTACCTCCATCATACACACACATTTCTGCCAAGATTTAGCTCGAAGCACAAGGACTTTAACGTTACGTTGCTCGTTTTGCAACACCATCAACGGTAGCTTTAAACATCATAAATCTTAGGCACAGATTATACAAGGCAGCAGAAAGACGTTTGTTTCTTGTCATAGTGAAACCACAAACATGTGACTCACCATGACGAGGGTGAAATCTTTGAAGCAGGGAGGTGGGTTTTGTGAGGAGATAAACATCGTGGCGTTCAGAGAAACTTAACAGGTACTGGGAAAGAAATGTAAATGTAATTAAGTAATGTTAATATGACCGAAAGGGATTGTCATCCGGCTTCTGTTTTCATGCCTGTGGGGTCCTTCTTGGCTCTCGCTCGATGTCGATTGTGACGATTGAGCAGCTGTGGTACCTGCTGTAAATGCCTGAATGGAAGGATCTCTGAGAAAATATTTGGGGTTTGTACCAGCTCTCACAATCGGTGCTTAGCGGTATATATATCCTAAATAATAGTAGGGCAAACACTGGTGAATATATTTGAATACAAATAGGTTATATACATTACACACTGCTCAAATAAACCCCGGTATGGGCAGCCCACTTCTGGTTGCATAACCTGTAAGCGCTTTTTTTTCCAGGTGAATATGAAAACTAAATTTTTGCTCTGTGCCATCTTCTTTTATTTCTTAACCAGTAACATATATACTGATGTGTTCCCCTTTATCCTGACAACAAACATTTTCCAGAAAGACCTTGTAGTTGCAGAGAAATACCCCTCTTTATTATGGGAATGCCATTTCGGAGCTGAGGCCCAAAAACAGCGCAGAGTGAAAAGGGTTAAGAGCTGTTTGAAGAAAAGGAGTTAATTAGCATATACTTGTAGTAGTAGAATATAAAAAAGGATTAAGTGTAGTTTATTACATGAATACACACGGGCAGTAATCTAATTTAATGCCAAAGCATGTGCATACATCATAGATTCCAGCAAAATCTGGAATAGGAATAAGATCATGTTAAACCTCTTTGTTGTGAAAGAATGGACTAATATGAAACACTAAAATGTATTAATCCAAGATGTATGGAAATTTGAACAATGAAACAATTTTGGGGGTATGTGAAATGATAATTGCGGTAACAGTCATGCAGCCTACATACGTTTTACCACTATACCTATAATAATTAATATAATCAAGCAGTCATATCGTTTTGTACCCAACGTTTACCGACAAATCATATTAAACGTTGTTACTCTAAGAATGGTGTTTGTCCTGCATTGGGAAAACTCTTCCAGCTACAGACAGGCGGAGACCATCTGTAGATGACCATCATTTTGGTTTGACTTCATTAGGAATAGATTGACCATTCAGTGCAGCCAAAGCATTGTCGACCATCTTCTGCACCATCTTTCGTGTTGTAGTGTACGTGTTGGTGCCAACGTGGGGGGTGATCAGCACATTGGAAAGGCTGAGTAGAGGATGATCCCTGCACAGGATGAAGAAGAGGAGTTGTTAGGAACCTGTAAAGAGTCTGCAAATGTTAAACTATGCTTCTTTTGTCATTTATTAACTTGCTGCCTGCTGCTGCTGGAAACATGGTGTATGAGAGTGTAGTTGGGGGCCCAAAAAAAAATAAAGTTAAAAGACAAGGTGGAGCTGTAGGGGGATAATTGGCTTTGGGTTTATAACTATGATGGACACCTTTCAAAAAAGGGAGAAAAACCCTTAATTCTCATTTTAAATTAATTTATATTACCATAATTGCACTGTTCTTTCACACTGCATGTCAGATGTGTGTCAGTACATACTGTCCTCCTCTGTGATCCTTTGGTGTGAGATGGCTTTAACTGGGAATTTACTCAATAATGTCAAGTACACCAATTTGTTTCCAAATTCCATTCCATGAGGAATTATATTCTTTCAAAAGTCAGTTTCACTTTAAAGCATTGAGATCCCGGTTCAAGAGTGGGATGAGACCTTGGTAATGGTTCAGGGTGAGTCACATCTAATGCCGCTGCACGAATTGTTCCAGACCGCAAAGCTTTGACTAAAGCGTCCTGGTCCACCACCGGACCTGAGGCGTGAAAAAATTAGATTAAAACATAAATATTTCACAATAGCCTCACAGCGGCAACTTCTTCAATTATTTAACCAAGATTAGTGAAGTCAAGGAAATGCATTACTCTCACCTCTGCTGATGTTGACCAGCGTTGCCGTGGGTTTCATGAGGGACAGCTCTCTGTGGCTGATCAGCGCTGTGGTTTCAGGTGTCAGGTTGACCGCCAGCATGACAAAGTCAGACTCTTTCAGCAGGTCGTCCACCTTCTCCCGGTAACTCGCACCAACCGCCCGCTCATCTTCAACACTCCTGAACAGCAAAGATAAAAGATGGAGCTGACCACTTGCGTAGTCTCGCAAAGTTTTATTAGTCCGTATTTGGATTTTTTAATGATATTATATAGATTTTATGAATAATTGTCACACGTCTATCTCTACCTATGCAGGAATTTCATGAATTATGCTATGCTTAGCTATGCTAAGTATTTGTTATGAATTAGTCTGAAAATGCATTGACTAGGATCTCACTCAGGGATTTCAATCTTTTACCTCCTGGTCCTGTTGTGATACAGGATTCTCATGTCAAATCCTTTGCCTCTTTGAGCAATTTTGCAGCCAATGCGTCCCATTCCAATAATCCCCATAGTCGACCCTGTGACTTCAACTCCCATCAGGCTTTGCGATAAATAAGTCATGTTGGGGTCGACGGCTAGTTGGTGACCTAAAGAAAAAACGGCACATCACCTCAAACAAGCTGAATGTTTACTTCATCACCAATGGCACATTGAGGCACAAGAGAAAAAGCTGTAGATGTCATGTAAGAATTCAGTTAACCTTTAATGTTACCACAGATTCCCTAGAGAAAAGGTCACGATTTCGGCCTTTAAAATTGGATTCGACTCGCCTTCAACGATCCTGCGCGCCGACGCCAGGAGCAGACCCATGGCGATATCTGCAGTGGCATCGCTCACTACATCCGGTGTGTTGGTCACCTTTACTCCCAGGCTGCTGATGTACGGCAGATCCAAGTGGTCGATGCCCACTCCGCCATTGGAGACCACCTTCAGCGAGGGGAGCAAGCGAAGCAGCGAGGGCTCGGCTGCAGGGAAGGTGTTCCACATTAACATGGCCTGGATTTTTGGCCCCTGCACCGCAGAGTTTTGAAGGAAGTCTTTGTGACAGATGATGTGAAAGTGTTGCTTCAGTATGTCCATGACCTCTTCAATGTAACCTTGTCCGCCCACCTCTGAGATCAGAGCCCATGGTTTGTTGTCCTCCATTACCTAGAATCAAAACACAATAACTCAAACACATAATGAATTGTAATACTGGAGGCATCAGAACAAAAGCTATTTGGGGAAATATGCTAATTTGCTTTCTGGCAGGGAGTTAGAAGACAAAATTGATGGCTGCAGCTGTACATTTGCCCCATGTGACGTTACAGTGCTGCATACAAATCACATGCTGTATTTCAGTATGCCAACGTGTCTCCCCGATTTCTTTTCTGATCTCCTCGCATCTTTGTTCTGCCCACAAGACATGCAATTAAGGAGGCAAGGAAGAGAACCGGCCTGTACATCTACACGACAACAGGAAATACAGCAAATTAGTGCTGAATGAATGTGAACGAATGTGATCGATAGAATTATTTGACAACAACTGCTGTTTTTAATGAAATTATGTTTACACATATTATAGCAGCATGTAGCCTACCTTAAACATAAAATGTATTATTGTGGTGAAAGTTGTTAAGGACTGGGATTGGAAACGGGCAAGAAGCTAAGCAAATAGTGAAGGGTAGGAAGTTTGATCATTTGAAACTACAAAAAAAACCTACAACTTGTGAACAGTTACATTTTTTGAGTCCTGCACCTGCCTCTTTCATTTGGTAGCTGCAGAAAAAACTTCTGCAAAAGACACGCTGGTGTTTCTTCCAGGTGCATTTAAAGGAAGAACCTCCATGATGGTGAGGGTGGAACAGATTTTGAGCCAAGTGAAAACAAGGACACAAGTAAGCATAATTGTGTTCTATTATCCATTCTACCGCACTATTCAGTAAAAAGAAAGGTGTGTGAATTGGAGAGAATATCCTGTTTGTATGTTGAAAAGCACCCACAGTTTCCAAGAAAATGCTTCTAGTTACTCAAATGCGTAATCATTAATTACACTTATTAACTTATTAGACAATGACATAGTTGTAACCCGTGGCCCATTCAAAGATCACCTGGGAATAATGTTAAATTCCGAAGGAACTTGAACTGTTCAAAACTCACGTTTGTTGTTCCGTTCTTCTCTTGAACCAGGAAGAACAACTTAGGGTATGTGCAGGACTTCAAAATAAGAGCTTTTTACACACTCAATCGCACTCAGCTTCTCTCACTACAACTACAATGTTCTAATAATAGCAGAAAATATTACTAATACTTTATGGCATTTGTAATTTTTAGTACCCTTATCACTTTGTTATATTTGTTGAAATTCTCTTTACGCCTTACAGCCAATGATTTAAATATCTAAGTCTGCATTTCAATTAGGAATTTCAATAGATCTGGACCACTATTAAGCCCTGAAATCTCACCTGAACTGAACACCCATCTCTTCCTTATGTCCCATAACTGTGTGACACTCTTAATTCCTCCGTGCCACAACGATTATATAATTAAATGGCCTCTAATCGTAAGCCCTCCACTAAACTCTTTCTTAATACCCGAACCATGTCTGAGTGTCTCCTGAATAGCCCCCCAAAAGAACTGTGAATTGCAAATTGGGGAAAAAAGGCTTACCGTATTGTGTCGCAGTTGCCGTAAAGATCTGTGAATGTTTCTCACTTTAAGAAGCCGGGACGATTGTGCTGGACCACAAAGTCTCCTCACACACTGGGTGTAGCAGACTCTTTGCATTCTGGTAGATACTGTCAATATATTTGATTTGAATTTGACACAACTACACAAAAAATATGAGCAATCAGCACAAAACCAAGCGAAGGAAAGTGTTAGCTATAAAGCTCTTTACGTGTTATATATGTCAAAATGGGCAAGCAGTGGAAGTCCACAGGTCAAAATGCTATGAATAAATTATTAACTCGCAGGTCAAGTAAAAAATCCTAAATCAGTGCTTGGAAAAGAAATGCGTGAAATGATCTGAACAATCCCTGATGTGCATAAAATATTTTAAATGTTATTTTTGTTTGTAAAAGTCTTACCCTCAGTTGAAGCGTGTGACCTTTTCCCCCCAAAGCCTGTTGCTGACTCACATTCATGAGTAGAAACTGGGGGTTAAAACGGACGGGTTGAAGGTGGACATTTAGTCTAGTAGAAGATTTAAGAGATGAAACTTGAGATGTTGACCAAAAAGCAAAGAGAGTTGAGGAGGGGAGGAATTAATTAAGCGTAGTGACGGGCAGGCAGAAGCTTCAGGGTCCATGGTGAGTGCAAGAGCGAGTGCACAGCTACCATTGGTCAGAAATCTCCACGCCACCTGTAAAGAGACAGCACATAAAAAAAATGAATAACTTTCTGATCCAAACGTAACTGTTTAAGGGGACTAACAATATATTTAAACCTCTAGTCCGTTTAAATAAACCCTGTTTCTTGGCTAATGCAATGGGCAATTTGTCCAAATTTCAGTCCCTCACAAAAAATGAAGAATCATAAAAATTACACAAATACAACTATTATCTCAGAAACCTTTGATTTTATAACACAAGCTGAAAGGTTAAAACAGCCCATCAAATGAGCTGCTCTTTGAGGTTCCGACCCCCTTTAAAGTATAGTCAGAAGTGAGCCAACTTTGAGACTGAGAACCCTCACTCTAACCTTCAGTAGGAAAGAATGGTGTTTCTTTGCTGTGGGTCCATTAGATGGCAGCAGAAAGGGAGTTCATGAAAAGTTTCATGAGGGACGTTCTTACAGAACTGAAAAGGTAAACTCAAAGCAAGAATTATGGCCTCACATCTCCTCCACACCTACCAAGGAAGTCTTGAGTTTTTGGCCAAAACTCAAGACTTCCTTAGCTAATTATGCCAATTTGGCACAATTGTCTGATATGAAATTATAGTGTTGACATTTTGAACAAACATGGATATAAACTGCGACATGACCGGCCGGTGACATCCAACCGTGAGGCGGTATTTATGGATTGTATTTTAACAATGCATCACACATTTCATCGAGTTCAAAGCACCATCGTTATTACATTAGTTCCATTATGAATCAGCACGACGGAAGCGATTGTTTTACGTGTCACGACCCCACAATCGGTGGACAGGTGAGGGCTTACACTTCATGTGTCACAGCTGTCACCGTGGAGCACGGAGCAGACTTGCTGACGTGAGTCCACAGCCTGATCCTGACTCAGCTTATCTGCGCAACTCTTTAAAAGGCAAAGTGTAGTTGCCTTTCACTCTGCCTGAAACAATGCACATGACCCTGAAACAATTAAAACCCTGAAACAATGCACGTGACTTTGAAGGATTGATAAATGATGTTAGCACTGTGGTTTCATATCTGCTTTTCTGTATTGTCTGGCAGAGGTAAATTACAGTGAAACAAGACAAGAACATTCTCTATAAGTAACCATTTTCTACTATCACTCGAAGAGACAAACTAATTAAAATAATTGACTGAAGGAATCTTAGTAGACTAAGACCAGAACAATTAATTAGTCGACTAATCAGCTAAGAGAGGGCAGCCCGAGTCATCAATATCTGGCACTTTATTTACAGACCTGAGATATTTCACTAAGGTATAAACAGTACATACGTAGTAGTAGAGCAGAATGCTCTTAAAGTATCCAAAATGAAAATATTCATTATGCAGAAAAATTGAAACTGGAAAAAGAATTTGCCGGACACTATTCTATAAACTAGTTAGATACTGTGATTTCATTAGGAAAGTTCAGAGGATTTCCCCTCTTGCAGGTGCTGTTGTCTTGCAGGAGTACAGTCTCTGAAAAAGCTCAACGCGCAGCTCGGAGTACGTCCTAGTTGAGCGTATTCAGCTAATCCAGTCAGCCTGAGCATAAATCTGCTGCCCATGACGCACAGGGCAACAAGAGCCAACCGTGCCCTCCGACTCCTGGAAGTCCAGCTGCTCTTCACTGATGTCAAGTCAAATGTCCTTTGTCTTTTGATTCAGGGGGACACTTTCAGTAACACTGAACAAACTAAATATCTGTAACTGCTCCCTTCAGCAGATCGCAAATGACACAAATTGTTCAGTACTTACGCAGAGTAAGTAAAATCCTAAAAATGAGAACTGTGACAGAAACGGTAAAAAAAATAGTCATGACTCAGTCCTTACGTTTCTCTTTTTATTAGGGAGAACTTCTCAATGTGTAACTTAGAGAGACCTTTCCTCATTAAGATCTCAGTCCTCCTCCGGCGCATGACTGCCAGAGAGCTTAGCTCGCCTCAAAACTTTGGCCTCGCTCCTCGATGGCTTCAGAGCAGCACAAAGTTAGCTCACTGTGGTTAGATAACAGATAATCACCGAGGAGTTTGGTCCTCTACAGGGCACCTCAGCAGCTTCTCCATCTAGCACCAGCTACTTAACCTCGTCTCTAAAGCCTCTGTTACCTAATGACACTGCCTGCAGTCCTGCGCTGGCTTTAGAAGGTGTCTCTCTAGTTCAAAGCTTCTTGGCATTTGAGCTGTGCCGGACGAGGCCTCACTGGTGCATATGCGTGTGTGGTGATGAGTGCAGAGTTGGGGATTGTTATCCAGTCTAATCAATGTTATGCAAACCTATTAGTCAGAGGTTGCACTGCTAGCTGCACAGTACTCAGGGACTCTCCCTCAGGGTCAAACTCACTGATGAGCCCTTACTTCTGGAGGGAAAAGCAGGGGTGTCTGCTGCCGCTATTCGACAAAGAGCCACTGCGTTATCATGTCCAAATATGATGCGAGCATGTGTCCTAATTGCTTTCAGACATGTATTCCTTCTCTGCTGCGTTTAGTTTTTGAATCCAGCACATCCTTCTATCCGTTAGTGAGGTCAGGAGTTTGCTGACTCAGCAGGCAGCAGGACTTGTCCATCTACTTTAAAAGGCCATTTAGAAAATGCTCCCTGCAACACTAGGTTCAATAAGCCCCGTGGCTTTGACTTCCACTAATAGTCTTAGGCAAAGCATGGCTCCCAATGTGCCTGTAAGGGAACAACTGTACTGGGACACAGCAAAAACATGCTGGTTAACGTCACCATTTTCTGTCTCATCAATATCATGCTATGTTTAATAACAAATTAGTTTATTATGTTTTTACTGTAAAGGAATGAGGAGAAATCAAGTTGGAGGTAATGTTAGGGAATGCAAAAAAAAACAATAATGAAGTCTAAAACTATTTAGCTTCATCATTTGAATGCTTGCAAAGCACAAGTTTGCAAATATCTCTCATTAGGGAAAAAAGTCTGCAGGGCGGATAAAATACAAATTATGTATGCAAAACTATAGAAAATGACATCGGTTTTCATAGGTATACAGCACACATGACAAATAATGTCATCTTCTGTTATTAAGTTTTGATTGCTTATTTATAATGGTTTATAATTTATAGTTTATAACTGTTTATATTTAATTGTTTGTATTCGCACATAAATCACTGCAAAATCAAATAAATAAAACACTTGATTCATCTTCAGGGCACAAAAAGGATAAAGAATAAAATTAACTTAAAGCTAAATAAATGTAATGTCTGTGGAGAAAAAAATACAGCCAAAAATTAAATATAAATATATAGTAGGGTAATAGTTTATAGTAGTAGTCCATACATGACAACATAAATAACTATTTCAATTACATTTTTCATTTTCTAGAATTAATTAAAGTCACCAACCAATCACCAAGCTCCTCAACGTTAATAACCTACCCGCCTTTAACTATATGCAACCATCACTAAGTTATTTCTGTTGACATTACGATCGTGTTTCCTACAATTTATAAAACGTAAGGTTTTAAACGTTAACCGCGCTCCGGGTGCCGGGTTTCTTGTTGCCAGGACAACGCGGCCTCCCATTGGCCCTCTCGCCGTGTCACGTGACGAGCGGTTTTGACGTCAGTCCAGAGTCCGCTGAACGAAGCGGAGTCACGGAAGCAGAAGGAGCCCGGTAGACCGAGAGCACCCGCCGGACTCTACGCCTCCACCGTCCGCCCCGGTGAGCGCGAGGTAATGGACTAAAGGAACCCGCGAACAGGCCCTCAAAGGAACCCCAAAAAGAGAGGTGAGTAGTCGCTCGCGCCGCTTCCGTCCCTCCCTCGCAGTTTGTCCCTTTCCTGTTACTTTTTTTTTAACGTTACTTCTTCTTTTAATTTGTTTGTCTCGCAGTCGAGTGGAGATGCTTTTTCACACAGCGCAAAACTACACTAAAACAGTTCACAGCTTCGTATTCGACTGCGTGATATAACGGGAATACTAGTTGCAGGGCAGCGTGATGCGGATAAAGCTTTACCTACTTTCTAATTGACGAGGATTCTTCTTCTCCTCTTTCTTCTTCTTCTTCTTCTTTCCGACGTGAACCTCCAGAGCAGAGGTGCTTCTCGTGCTCGGTGGGTAACAGAGTGAGTGAAAGGTGGTTTAAAAAGCATGTCCTCCTGCAACCGCTGCGGGCATTTCAGTCCCCCGGAGCAGAGGCGCATTGTGGGACACTTGGTCCAACGGTGCAGCGCGTACTTCATCTCGGACAAGTGGAGTTGAAGCCTCGGCTGGATGTCCTCCTCGTGTCTCCTGCTCAGTGTGGAGTAAGAGTGCTGTGAGAGGTGACGTCAGATCGATGCTGAAGCCACCGAGCAAGGCGACGGGTTCTGACGACCTGCGTTTCTGTCAAAGTCATTCATTGAGGCAAAAGGTGTGAGATTTTGCAGAGTAAAAAAAGTGCGTGTATATACACTGAGTACTTCAACTGAAAAATGATCCAGATATTAATCCACTATGAAAACAGTAATTAAATCCAACGCTACATTAGATAAATGTATTGGTTCAGCTTTCCATCAGACAGTCGAGAGCTAAACTAAGACTGAAGCGACTTGAAGAAGAATTAAGAGGCCCTGAGCAAATTACTTTTTGGTGTCTTTCAGCAGATTAATTCCACTTCTTGTGTTTATATGTGAACAAGAAGCTGTCATGGCGATGATGATTGATTGATGTAAAAAGACATGAGTGGACACATGTGGAACATTAACTGAAATGGCAACTGGTTTTCCTGCTTTGATGCTTTCCAAGTCCTTCATATATATATATATAAAAAAAATTCAACTCTAGGAAATTTCACCCAACACCCAAATTAATACGCTGCTGTCCGGCTCCTCTCTCCTCATGCAGACCCACAGAGGTGCTGACACGAGGGTGGAGTCAAGATAATTGCCCCCTTGGTGTCAAAATAATCCCCCCCGCGACGTTTCAACATGCTAAAGTCTTACAAACATCCACTAAATTAGAACAGATGTTCTATTTTTGTGTGCTTGGATGTCTTTGGGGGGGGCAGACTGACCACACTGGCAGCACTCTCTGTAGTTATGCTCGTGTGAGCAGAAGTCCGTGCTTATTAGAATTGAGTTCAACCTGTTTTTGTTTTTTTTCTTTTTAAAAGCAGACGGGGAGACTGATTGGGAGTAAGCGAGGATAAGTGGAGGATTAAACAGAAGGAGGACGGAGCAAGAGGGAGCTTCAAATGCTGAGATAAAGACATTGTTGCCTGTCACGTCGATAACGTTCTCAGACAGAAAGCCACATTTCACACACGCTGTGCAGCAGATATCACTGGAGGTGGGCGGGGACGGGGAGATGAGGGTGGAGTTCAGTCAATGGACAGATTGACTTTCCATCTCTGGAGCCTTTGTCTTTTACAGCAGGCTGTTTCAGACAAGGACACATTGAGATATTCACTGCAAAGTAAACAGCTCTCTCTCCCCGTGCAATCAGTGACAATTTGCTGCGAGTGACTCTGTTTGTGTGTGTGTGTGTGTGTGTGTGTGTGTGTGTGTGTGTGTGTGTGCGCGCATATGTTTGTGTTTATCCACAGAGCCTGTTGCAGCTCTCCCTGCCCTCGTGCAGTTTTTGTCACTGGCCCTTTTTTGTGTCTTTGTTCTCGTTCACTTCCTCATAATGGCTCCTCTGTCATGATTGTGGTTTTCTGCAGCATCTTGACGCACAAAGCTCTCTCCGCCTCACAATGGGAGCTTGTGTGTTATGTGTATGATGAAGTTGCTGCCTTTGGTTTCTCGACGGATGGATGGGATTTAGAGAGGTGAAGAATCGCTTCCCTGAATTCACTGAAATCCCATTTGAAAACTTCTGGAGGGTAAAGACTTTAATATCCAGCAAAACCTTGTCATTTTGAGTCGTATTGGAGGATTGATTAATAATCACATTGTGACACATGCAGACTGCTAAAAACTTTTACACTTGTATGTTTTCATATGAGTGTTTGATTCAACCTTCAGCGTCACGTTAACGTGAACCTGTGTAGAGAAAGTTGGCTGCAACTAATGAATATTTACATTATAGACCAATCTGATGATTTATTCTTTGCGTAATTGCTTAGTCCGTCTATCGGTCCCAAAACCCCAAAATATAACAAAACATTCAATTTACTGATCACTTATGACAACGAAAAGCAGCAGAGGCTCAACTAAGAGGAAGTTGATTGTTTTTATTTATTGTTCAATCTCAAACTAGTTTATTTGCTTCAATTACTCCACAAAATGTTCCAGCTCCAAACCGGATGACGTTTTATGTCGCTGGACCTTCTGGCATCAAACCAGCTCACTTTCACTTTTACTTCTGACATCTGTCTTTCTAATCCCCCTCGCTTGTACTTTTTGTCTCAGCGGCAGCTGTTCTGCTCAGCCGAAGCTGTTCCGCCTCTTCACATGGACTGCTCTGCAGATCGGACCAGCAGCAGAACCCCCCTCCCCCCATCCCCCTCACCTCCACCCGCACTAAATAACACAGGAGAGCGTTGGTTGCAGATACTCGAGGAGGCCGTCACGCCGCTTGTAACGCGAGCACGGTGGCGGTGGTTTGGTCAGACGGGGGCCTGCAGCAAGACCCCCTTCTGCGGATAGACGTGTGGTAAACGGCCTCGTAGTTCATGTCTGACTTCTGAGGCTAAAACACAGTGGAGCCCCTTTCTTAATTGATTGTACCGTATCACGCTGTCCACGTTGTTTTGTGCTCAACAACAGATGTTTGCTTGGAAGGTAACGGCCGCGGTGTGACTGTAGAGGGGGAGTCTTCAGCTGCTGTCAAGCGGCAGGTTTTAGGTTTGAGGTTAAGAGTGTTGTTGATTCGCTGTTTATGAGTAGTACTGTGTGTGCTGCACATACATCCACTTTAATTACACCCGTGGTTACGGCAATCAAACCGCATGGAAGTACCAATTTCTTTGTTTAATCTACACACAAGGTTTCGAGCACTTCCGTGGATTTGCAAACTAACACACATTGTCACCTGTTGTCAATGAACTAGAATGAAAACTCTTATTCAATGTTGTGATATTGTCGTCGTCCAATCCACTTGACTTTGTGTGGTGTTGTCTGTCATGCCTGAGTCTGACTGGAGCTGCTTCCTCTCAGGTTTGTTCCAATTTGTTATCAGTTTTAAAAAAATATATCATTGCTGCTGAGAGGAACATTCATTATTCAATTTTGACCTTCAGGTGAATATCAGATTGCAGATCTTGCAGGTGCGATCATTTCTGGCCGTTAGGTAGAGGATGACTTGGCTCAGCACTGCAGCCCGATCACAGACGGGTCATGTTGCATTATGAATGTTTCATTCATGAACCCGCTATCTGTCGTCGGGTCTCTTTCAGTCTCTGGCTTTCTGTTGGCCTCCTTCTCCTTTTTTTCCCCCTTTTTTCCGCTCCCTCTATTCTGGGATTAGCTGTGGGACCTTTTAAGTTAAGATTTACCTGAAGGATATAAATGGAGACTTCTGCCGGTTACGTAAGCAGGAGATGTTCTCGGATGAACGTCGTGTCGAGTGCGTGAACGAGCCGACCACTCAGCTGCTGCAGAGCGGGAGCTTTAGTTGCCCCGTAAATAGTTCCTAAATTCTCATTGAGCTTGTTTTGTTTTTTAAGGTTGTTTACCAAGAACGTATTATTTCATCTATGTGCAGATTTTTTTCAACAATCTAAAATACAAATATATATATATATAATTTTTATTATATACAAGAAATTTGATTTTTTTTGGTATGATTTCCTTTCAAATTGTGATACGTTTTTCATTCCATTCCTTGCAAGTGACAGCAAGTTGTTTAGTTGAACATGACGCGGTGCCGTTGGATTCGAATCCCTCCCCAAAGTCCGGCAGCTGGACCTCCGTCCGCCTGCCGAACCGTCTCACACAGTCAACAACATGTTTATCCTGCCGGCGTTTTTGGAAACCGAAGCGGCGGCCCGTCTCCCGCTGGATTAGACCGGCTAGCTCTGTCAGCCGAACAAAGGGGCCCGGTGTCTTTACCGGGGGAGGCGGATAGAGACTCGGCTGGACCACGTGACCCGGGCGCTTGTCAAAGCCCCTTTGATGTATCAATGCCATCAGAGGTCTGCCAGCGGCAGCAGGTAAGAGCCTTAGCAGTGGACCGAAGGCGGTGATCTGCGCGAGCCGTAAATAGCCGAGTTCTTTCAGTGGAGGTCTGAGCTCCCGTCAGAACATTTCTCGTTCCTTCAGGGAGCGACTACTTCCATCGCCGCCTTTTACCGACTGAACAGGTGGAGCGATACCTGCACAGGTCTGTGGTGGTGGTGGTGGTGTGGGGTGACAACCCACAGGGAGTACTATGCAAACTTCACGTGGAAACTTCACCCAGCTGTCAGCACGCAGTGTGAGAACCAACCTCTTCGTGATGGAGCTGCAAACAATTATAATCGTTATCAAATACCTTTTTTCTTCATGAAATGTCAGAAAGTTGGCATTGTGACTTTGTTGAAAAGCCAATAAGAGCAGCTCTTGTTAACCTTCCTTCCCTCATGCAGAGGAATGGGGAGAGAAACATTTCTGTTTGTGTGATTAGTGAATTGAGTTTGTACAATTTAGAGTCGCAGCTAAAAGCAAACAAATGAAAGAAGAATCAGATGCACGTGTGAATCAAAGAGGGCATCAGGGTTAATGTGGGTTTTGTTATTTTTGACGGCTTGTTGATCTTAACAAGCGGAATTGTATGGTCGTAATTATGACAACGCAGCCGCAATAATCATGAACAATCCATTAAAATGAGTGAAATGCAGATTGCTCATTAAGTGGCATACGCACCTGGAGATTCATTTTTTTGATACGACGCTTGTTCTGTAATGGACGATGCAGGAGTCTTCTCAGGGAAACGCGTAATGTTTTTATGTGCACGCTATTGCGCACTTAAGTGGAAACTGTCTATTTGTTCTAGCTGTGCTTCTCTGGCTGTGACGTGTATGTCTGCACACAGACACCGGGATACTATTCAAAGCACCTGTGTGCTTGTTTGTTCATGGCCCTGAATGCAGAAGTTAGTTAATATTTCGGTGCATTTGGTTGAAAAATGACCACGTTTGTTGAAGCCCCGCCGCGTGGCTGCCGATGTGCTTTTGTTCCAAGAGTGATGAGTACGTAAACCGGTGTTAATCTCCTTTTCACGCCGCTCCAGCATCCACGCTGGCACTGGAGCGAACTCATCAGAGGTGGCTGCCACATTGCTGCAGCCCATTGTTTACTCTGAGTTCATTAAAGGATTATAGCGAGCTGTTTATGCAACATGCAAGTGTGAAACAGACGGCCGAGTCCTTGAATTAGCCGTTAACAAAACTCCCGCCTTCATTCCCTAATTTCTTACTGTGCAATAGTGTCACCAAGATCTTCTTTCCCGTTGAGTTTGTGACCTGAAGCGGGAGTTTTGATTCATCTTTAGCGATTTGTCATTGGCAAGAGGAGCATATTCCGTCTTTACTGTAAAGTAAACATGGTGGCTGCTCTTTTTCAGTCAGACTCAATCACACTCAATTGGACTAATCAATGGATCAACCGAGAGTGTGAACTTAAATCCAGTCAGTGGGGAGTGTTTTTGCATACATGGTTTATACGAGTAGTTAACACTTAATCTGTTTCTTCGTGTCCAACGTTTAACAATGCAAGCGAAGCAACAGACCGAGGCGACCGATCTTTATTTGCCTCCCCGGAACAAACTACCTGTGCAGTAATTTGCTTCGGCCTGACCTCACGCTGCTGATGTTATCTGTCATTATCCTCGGCTAAGCTTAGAACAGCTTCCCTCCTCTCCTCGGAGAGCTCAGCTCGCGGCCTGACCGGGGGGAAAGTGCTAAGCACGTCAGCTGCAGGCCCACGTCTCCTCCCGAGTGGGCCAGCGTGCCTGCTCGCGATGGGTTAACTTCAAATGCCCACGTATGTTTCTGCAGGTTACACAAAGTGTGTGTGTGTGTGTGTGTGTGTGTGTGTGTGTGTGTGTGTGTGTGTGTGTGTGTGTGTGAGTGAATTGGTATGATAGTTTCTGCAGGAAACGGAAGTTGCATCCTGCAGCGATGCACGCACAGACACACGACCCGTGGACTGTCAGCGGAGCGTGAGCTCAGTTGCGAGTGTGGTTGTGCACCTGTGGTGGTTGGGATGACTGAACCTGGCTGTGCGTGTGCACACTCCACTTAATCTTCCGGCTTTTCTATTATCTAGTCATGTCAGGCTTTTGTGTTTATAAGTCTATTTGCATTTTTTAATGAAATGGCATCGAAAGATAAGTGCAGTGAAGATACGACACCAAATTGACAATTCATTTGCTGCCTTTTAGAACAGACTTATTGAAAGCATTGCTACAAGTTTGACGGTGAAGCCGACACAAAGAGATGACAGGAAAACACGTTTCAATCCGCCTTTTATATTGAATGCTGCAGGTTTCTTAGCGTATTTTACATCATTGGTGTGCCAGATATTTCTCATGAGTCCTAAAACAAACGAAAACAAAGAATTCATACTCGTCAAAGGTGATAATGTGTTAGTGCTATAGCTTGTTCCAATGACACCAATTGGACACAGTCATCTTTTGCAGTTTTTACACTACTTCCGGTGACTTATGACTGTTTCATTTTGTATCTGTTGTTTATGACTCCGTTTCCTCCCCCTCTTGTATCAAGGTCCTTCGACATCAGTTCTAACGTCACATATAACGGGCTCCTCTTTCTTCTCCACCGTCAGGAATCCAAATCGCCGCTGCCCTGACTTCACGTGCAGCCTGACCCACCGCGACCATGGGCAAACAAAACAGCAAGCTCCGCCCCGACGTCATGCAGGACCTGATGGAGAACACAGACTTCACCGAGCATGAGATCATGGAGTGGTACAAGGGCTTCCTGCGGGACTGCCCCAGCGGGGCGCTCTCCATGGAGGAGTTCAAGAAGATCTACGCCAACTTCTTCCCTTACGGAGACGCCTCCAAGTTCGCCGAGCACGTCTTCCGCACCTTCGACGCCAACGGGGACGGAACCATAGACTTCAGGGAGTTCATCATCGCCCTGAGCGTGACCTCTCGCGGCCGGCTGGACCAGAAGCTGAAGTGGGCGTTCAGCATGTACGATCTGGATGGGAACGGATACATCAGCAAGGCGGAGATGCTGGAGATCGTAACGGTGGGTTCGTTGTTTGTTTGCGTTCTCAACTTTGCGTCACGTGTCCGTTAGCTTCTGCGGTGGGCGTCATCCGACCGCCCACGAAATCCCGCCGAGGGCGGCCCGCGTCATTTTAGAAGCCAGCAGTTCCTCTCTGGTCCTCCGATGTATCTAAATTAGACCTGACGGGTGTATTTCTGGAAGGGAGCGGTCCTCCTCTGATCCTCAGATGGGCCGAGTGCTACGTGCAGCAGCTGTGTGGTTCTAGGAAGAGCAGTACGCCCCCCCAACCCCAACCCCATCCCACTCTACCTCCAACCCGCCCCCGACGGTTTTCCCGGCAGCTCCAGTGTTGCTTTAGAGCAAATAGTCTCCCACAGACTCGTCTCATTGGATATATAGTTCAGTGACACACACACACACACACACACGTCGTTACTTCGCACATCACTGTGCTGATTTGCGCAGTGCCAAAGAATGTGTAATCCAATTCTCCCACCAGTGTCCTTTATTTATACTGTGTCTGTGTAAAGTGAGCACAAGTGTTGCTGAGTACGCAGTCTAATAAAGGGCAACATCCAATGGTTATTTTTAGTATTGATTCATCTATTTATTTATTTATTAGTAATAATGCTGTTTTATGATTTAATTGGTCGCTGCGGCCCTCCAGCACCTCCTTTTTTTTTGACGGGCATAATGGAAAGACAAGACTCGTACTTAAGCGTTTTCTATAAATGACAATTAGTATTTGGTAAATCATCAGTTGAGCATAAATGTTATTCATCATAATTTATTGTTTTATTTGTTAAATATATGTACAAATATTAAATTTGATTTGAGCTGGAATAACTCATCTGACTTTACACTCTTCATGGTGGTGTTATTGTTCGGCTGATTTAATTCATATTCATAATTCAAACGCATTGCAACCACCTTTTTTACATTTGTAAACTTCAATGAAAGCAGGTTATTTAGGGTGGCTTGACCCTTCTTTACTGTGAGAAACATTCAGCAGCTTTATTGTGATCATCTGTCCGCCTCTGTGTTCTAGGCTATTTACAAGATGGTGTCCTCGGTAATGAAGATGCCCGAAGACGAGTCCACGCCTGAGAAACGCACGGACAAGATATTCAGACAGATGGACACGAATCGAGATGGTAAGCCTTCCTCACACTGCCTCAGGCTCGGCTTAAGGGGTTTTGGCCTAAACCGCAGTTTCTTTAAGGCCTGTAATTGGATCTCTTTCAAACATTTTATTTTTCTAATACTAGTCTTTACACGGTGATCCATTACATATTCTGTTTGCTATTTTTGCCGTGCCAACATAGATTGAAAGCCTCAAGCTTTCATAAAAGAGCCCACATTTCTCCTGGTGTCTTTGGATGAAGTAACATTCATCGTCATAACTCTTTTACTTTTCCACAAAGCTTTGACTGAATAATGATATGAATACAAACAACGTTGTGATCAACTGATAATCACTCTCCTCATCTCGCTCTCTCTTTCAGGTAAACTGTCACTTGAGGAGTTTGTTGAGGGGGCGAAGAGCGATCCCTCCATCGTCCGGCTGCTTCAGTGTGACCCCAGCGGTGCCGGCCAGTAGAGAACTGGACCTTTCCCCAATTCTAGTTGTATTAGTCTGACACATTTTCAACATCTCTCCCAGCTGACCCACCTGAGATTGTGGACATTTGGTCCTTTGAGCTGTAGAGGCACATGCGCGCGCGCACACACACACACACACACACACACACACACACACCTAATCAACATGCATCTATTCATACGGCAGATACCAAAGGCTGCTACGGAGATGATGTTTGAGCGCCCACGTGCACATGCTGTACATGTGCCTCTAGGCTCGGTCAGAAGCTGCAAACAAACAACAATCTCATGCGCGGTACAAATACAACTCAATGGGCTGAAATCCCACCAGAGACTTGTTACACCCCCCGAATCAAATGTTTGATGAGAAGACGGACGAGCCAACGGATTCCTGAGGTTGAGCCGAATCCAAGTTTGCTGTTCTGGGTCTTTTTATTTGTTTTTTTGAAAGCGTAATTTGTTATTTAAAGGCAATCGTGCTGATTTTGTTCTCTTTTAACTGACTCGGGTTGTTGAGTGATGACGATCTGAATCTATCAAAGTATTGCAATCCAACTCCCGTGTTAACGCTGAATGAAGTGAAGTGTGTGAGCCTGAGGCGACAAGTGTCACACCTTACAGTGTGGCTTATGAGGACGGGCGATCCGAGGAGTTTAGTTTTTAGAATTTTAGAAAGGATGAAAGCTGATCTTATTTTTTTTTATGTATATTTTGGAGGAATGAGGAAACTTAACCTGACTTTTTAAAGGAAGGGAAATATTTTGACCACAGATAAGAACCATCTGTTCATTGACAGTGACTTTTATGCCAAGTTCTGTGTCCTCACAAACGCACACACACACACCACATAAACACACTCACACACACTCCACACAAATCTTAACTTTACACATGAATACATGAACTTGATGTATGCATTTAAACAGAGTTGTGATTCTCTCTTAACTATGGCTTTACAAGTGCATGAGCAAAGAAAAGTTAAATGTTCTCTGGAAATATAATAAGTTACTTGAATGTTCTTTTACTCTGTGATCACATTATGGTGAATCTCTGGAATTGAAGAAATTCACTTAAAAAAACGTTGATGTATAAATTATTAAAATCTGATGATGAAACATTTCTTTTACTTGACCAATATGTGAAAGAAAGTGTATTCACTCATATTCATGCTATAGATGTAAACAAGGAGAGGACCACACCTATTGCTAAGCATTCTGCTTTAAATATATCCACAGCTACAGTAAGTCTATGTAGCTTCTAATTACAGATCGGTCCCTCTACTGGCATCCTATTTCCTCAACATTGGCAGTCATTCATTTAGTCTTGTTTAAACGGTGTGGAAACAGTCTGCATATCCTATGGCTCGTTAAAAGTGCAAAAGTAGCATCTGCTCCTCGCAAATTTTGTGCAAATGTGACTTTACGGCTTTTGGCTGTGCACCAAATTTGAATTTGAGCACTGCTAGAACACTGGAGAGTCCACATATTTGCATGACCAAGACACTTACATTGTTAGCGGGTAACTGCAGACTGATCGTTCCTCACTACTTCCATTCTGCGTCATGTTCGCATGCCTGTATCTGCTTGTCAGAAAACACCACACCGGTGCAGTAGTCTTCACAGGCGGATGAGTGATGATGGAAAAAATATATATCGTGATGAATTCTCTGCGTGTTTCAAAGTCGGCGATCAGGTGCGTCAGTCCCACATTTCACTTCAATAGCATCTTGTGGTCAAAGTGCCAAATATAGATGAATTAAATACAAGAAAAAGAAGTATCAGTATCGTATCCATTTATTCTGTACAGTTGTTACCTGTCGAACAAAAAGCGTTGTCATTGTATCATTTTGTAGATTTTGTATGACGTGTTCTACGTAGAGTGTCCATTTTGGTATTCAAATAAATACAAAGTGGGGAAAATGGCTTATTCATTTATGGCAGATTTCATGAAAATCCATCTAATGTTAGCACAGACATTTCACTCGTTCCACAATGTCAACCTGTCAGCGGCACGAGAGGAAAAGTTGCCGGACGTCCAAATACTTCATCATCTGGAAACCATGAATGTCCAAGACTACATTCATCCAATAATTCCAAAAGAATGATGTACCAGTGACTTGCCCCTTTCAATGGACAGTACAGCTATTTAATATTGTAAATCATTTTGTAATAATTTGAAAAACGTTCAAATCATTCCAGATCCTCCAACTACAACAGGTAACTTATGTTTCCCTGGTGCATGCTACTTAAGCAATTACATAAATGTAAATAGGCTGCTGGATTTTTTTTGTCTATTCCGAAATATTAAATTAGATTTGAAAGTCATTGTTGTTGATGAATATCTGTATCAGCCTCATTCTGTGATTTATAGTTCCAGTTATTTGCTTTTGGGGCTTTGAAAACGTATTTCCCCTGTAAATATTCCGCTCACGCTGTGTGTCTGGATGTTTTGAGATCTCACTCCTGAGTTGTTGTGCCTTCAAGACAGATTAGTGGGCCAGTGATATGAAAACAACCACAATGACCCCGTTGAATAAGTTCAAGCACTTTGATGAAATCAATTTGATTACTGTCATTCTTCTCCACTGCCTCTTTGTTTCACGAACACCTCCTCGGATACTGTTTATTCGGGAAGCCGCTGTACTTAGCAGCCATTTGTCAACACAATGCTCCCTCCTGCTGTTCACTGCTGCACGCATTTCCTCTTTGTCACAGTACAATGTCGTGAACTGAGCTCAGATTTCTCTTGGATGGGGTCTTTATTCAGTCAACCAAAGGCTAACTTGCTAATTAGATCTCAGGCTCCCTGCTGTGTTTGCCCTTGAGGAAAGCAGCGGTTTGATACCAGGAAGGTACTGCAGATTTTTTGGGCAATGAATGTGTGTTTGACTCTGATTTTGTGTCGGTGTGTGCATGACTGGATTTTTAGATGCATCAACAGCACTGCAAACCACAACCTCAATACCAAATAGACAGACTTCTAAAATGCAGTAGATTCTATTAGGTTATGAAGTAGCTAACAAAGTGACCAGTGACTACTGGTTGACCCGTAATAAAACTGGGAGATAAAGAGAAGAAAAACATAATGTTCACTGTTTAATTAAAAAGCTTCTGTCAAAAGTAAATATTGCACCGTTTTCAGTGTGGATTATATGCCAAGCAATGTGGATTATATGCCAAGCAACATTTTTAATGAAAAATCTTCTCCGCTGTCAGGCTGATGTAAGTCACAGAAATAAAGAATCCTTCTGTCTACAGGTTGAATTAGATGATGCCAGTTTATCTGTAATGGATCTCGAATCCATTCTACAATGGGAACCTGGATTTGGAACTAATATCTAATATCAACGTGTTACACACACTTGAGATATTTGACTCAACACACAAATGGAGAATCTGTTCCCAGCTGCAAATGATCAAATAATTTGTGAACGGTGAAACAGTTTTAGAGAGATCACCGAAGAACACCAAATTAAATATTAGTGACATTTATTCCACTCTTTAATTTTGTGAATGCTTACTTTAAAAACACCATTATTGCTATTTATGTGAAGATAAATAACCATCGGTGTGTGTTCGTCCTGACCCGCAGGAATGTCTTCAGATGTGCGTCACCTAAAGACCAAAAAGGTCTTCGACATACCCGGCATCTCTCCCGACATGATGCAGCTCATCGTTGAGTTTGCACACACCGGCTCTGTTTCTGTGACGGAGGAAAACGTGCGGGAGCTGCTGCTGGCAGCCAAACAGCTCAAAGTGGCGCACATCGTGCAAACTTGTGTCGACGTCCTGCTCATGAGCAGGACAGTTTATCACCCGGTGTAAAGCTGAACGGGTAAGAGTGGTACCCTACCAGGTGGTGACGCATCTGGTCGCAATCTCTATTGGACACCTGTATAATAATATCCTGGGCCCACGTTGGAGCAGGTTGAGGCACAGGAGCCCTCCTCGTTGAGCGAACTACAAGCCGGGTCTCATGTGTATTTAATACATGACGTACGGTGTAATAAAGACCGACGTAGCCGTGCCGACTCGAGAGGTGGGGATGTTGCGTTGGATTTTGCACCACTTGGTGGGGCCTGAGACTGCTGAACAGCGACGGCTTGTCGGTAAATGGTCGTGGTTCCCAGAGGATACATTTTGGTTGGATTGGGGCTGTAAAAACAGTTGCTGTGAAGTGAAGCCAAAACAGGAATCCTACGGCGATAAATAAACATCCCCATGGCGACCGGTGCTTCAGGTACAACCTCATGTCTCGTTTTAACCAAAAGGGACAGATCTATGTTTATTCCTTTAATTCATTTTTTTACCATCCTGTTTGGTCCTAGGAAGAAACACGTTGGCTATTTGTTGACATGTTGTTAGTCATTGGAACATAGCCGAAAAATATACACAAACTATTAAAAAAACTTACATAGAGGGTGACTATGAAAGTCACTGAAATGTAAAGTACTTGAAATCTCGGTATAATTTGCCCAAGAAATGCAAAACATTGTCATTAATAAATTATAGCAAAACTAACAAAAATAAAGGCTGGCATGCAAAGACGCTATGTTAACTAGGACCAACTATTTCATGCTACATTCAGTGTTATTTGGAAAAAACACAAGACTGTACAGAAAAAAACATTTTTTCATACTATAAAAAAATTCCGCAAAAATGTGGCACCGATCTGTACTCCATTATTTCACATCGTAGGAATAGGAGATGACTACAACTACAGGGAAGTAAATAAAACCAGTTCGTAAGAATTTCTACGTTCCACCCTTTGTTTGTCTTGGTTTGTCCTTGTCTCCCATAGGTCGGTGGCTTTGATGCTCCAGCCGTCTGTCCACGGCAGAGGCCTACAGCCCTCACACCAACACCTGGCTCAACGTGAAATCCATGACGACTCCGCGCAGCAGCTTCGGCATCGCGGTGCTGGACAATCACCGCTTTGTTGTCAGGGGCTTCAACGGCTTTCGAAGCGCCCCACAACGTGGAGTACTACATTACTACTACGACGCGACAACCGACGCGTGGGCCGCTGCTTGCAACATGGACATCTCCCTGGTGTCGCTTAAGAGATTTATTTTTAAATTTAAAATTTATTTTTTCATTATTGCAGTCCAACCTGCATCGTTAATGCTAGAATCCAAAGAGATAAATTGTCAGTGTTAGTGTCAGTGTTAGTTAGATTGGTCAGGACGAAAGATCTGGTAAGTGTAATTCTGTGACAAATACTTTCTCAATCTACTTTTTATCCAAAAAGGGTAGAATGTCCTTTATCTAAAATCAGTCTCATCACTTGAAACCCCTTTTATACTCATTGGGTAGAGCCATTAAAGCCATAAAGTCCTTAAAGGGCCCGTCAGGGACTGAGCCGTGGCGTGCTCACGCGCAGCGCCGCCACCTGTATGAGCAAACTTTTCGCGGGGGAAGCCGAAGGGATGTTCCACAGGGTAGAAATAGGGGGGTTTGAAGGGGGAATGGTGGAAGGAACCATTATTGCGCGGGTGTATCAGTAAAATGGGGTTTCTCTGTACAAATGTGATTTTGTTAAGGGAGGAAAGCATGTGGTATGTTTTGTATATTTGTCGGTTGCTGGTTGGGTACATTTTGGGGTATTTTGGGGGGATTATAGGGTTAATTGTTTGGTTAGCAATGGGATGGTCTGGGGGGTGGAGCTACAGCTAGGTTAAGGCTGTATTAGGTCCCATGGCCTCAGTGTGAGCGAGGGGTGCTGACCGATGACCAAGCCCGGCGGATCAGTAAAGTAGGCCGGGACTTTAGAGGCGTAAGCCTGGCCACATAGTGACAGTTTTTGTTTTGTTTTTTGTATGGAAAACATATATGTGGGGAAAAGAGAAATAAACATCCTTCCGTAGACAACCTGCCTCTTCCCTGACTCGGTAATCTTGCCACAGGGGCCCGAACAGTGTCACAGAGGAGCCAGTGGGCGTCCACACATTGACCTGTGCCGGAGCGTCTGACGTACGCCACCGATGGACTCTCTCCAATGTCGCCAATCAGTTCATGGGCGAATCAATAGCAGCCACGTAAATTTCCGCCAACAACCCGGCGAGTCCCAGTGTCTCAACTTGCAGTCCTTAAAGAGTCGGTCAGATCTCCATCAGAGTGACCTTGTAGGCGTCTGCGTAGCTGTCGATGCTGAGGATGAAGGTGTCTTCGTTGGAGTAATGCTCGATGATGTTATCGTCCATGTTCACCAGGATCCTAAAAACAAAAGAGTTAAATTTCACTGGCTCGACTCGGAGGTGCCACAAAAGCCCACAGTGGGAATCAGCATCCGCACTCACCCCTTTTTACTTTTCTTGTACACGTTGGCGATCCTCTCTGTGGCCACGCCGTACTTCTCGGATATCTGCCAAATGACGTAGTACAACGCTTTGTAATTAGGTGCTCTGAAGACGAATGAATTGTGCCTCTGAGTTCTTTCTGCGCCACTCACAGCATCCATTAGGCCTCGGAGCGTGGGAGACTTCAGCATCAGCGCGTCGAACACCTCGTCCGTCTCCTTTCTAACGTACAACAGCACTGCGGATGGAGGAGGAAGAATAAACCTGTAACTGTCAGCAACAGCTCTGCTTTGTTACATGTACATCTTGGTTTTAAACAACATACATGCAACATTTGGGAATGTTGGCCTCTGGTTTTACAGACTGTCTATTTAAAGTGGCAAGAGTAAAGGTTTTTGATTTAAATGATCATAATGGAATCATTTTACAATGTCACGGCTATACAATAATGCCACCGCCGTCTGCCACCAAGTCCAATCCAGGGAGGAAAATAATGCCTGAATTTATGGCCCAAAAAGATATGCATCAGTCATTGCACATTCAGGAGAGGAAGCTAAAAGCAGCGTTAGTCATAGGTTGCTGTCCCCAGTTGCAGACGAGTATCTATGTGCGTTCTTTGCAGTTACTGTTCTGCTACGGAAAAAACGGAAAACGGTAGAACACCCAAAGTGTCCGTCCTCATTTTAAATGATATGCTCCTATGGATGGCCAGATAAAAAAACCAAATGCAATCACAAGTTAACACACTAGAAAAGCGGTGTCTTATCATCTGAATAATCACCAAAAAGAACTAAAATATACTAAGGAAATGCTATTCATCGACAAATTAATTATCAACCATTTTATAAACCCTTTTCTATAATGTTAATCACGCAAAAATAGAAAACCGCTGTTTCCAGGGGTTTGCTGGTTTCCTCTGTGCCCCTAGTTAAACAGAGAGAGAAACAGCCATATGCAGAAGAAGAGGCGACCATCTTGTACCTCTCTTGTGCGTCTCCTCTTTGATCTGTTTGTGAGGTGACGGACACACATCTTCATCCGACCGTCTGAACATCCTCTTCACCAGCACACTCCTGGGAACGCACACAAAAAACACCAGCGTCAGGTGCCATGAACCTGTGCGTTGTGTTTGCATTCGTGGTGAAACGCGCTTCCTCCGCATGCGTTGGATTGGGTTTCATTTGCATACTTTACATTTGTATGATGTAAATGGTCTTAAGAATGTACACTCACCCTTCTCTCTCGATCTCCTCTGTGTTGAAGGTAAACACCTGCAAAGTATTACGCATTTTAGATTAATAATGTAGAATATTCAGGACCTTAATTATTAGGGGTGGGGGAAAAATAGATTCTTCGATTTCTCTCAATTCTCTAGACCGATTCGGTCTCGATTCAGAAAAGTTAAAAATCGGAATTAAAAAAAAATAAAAAAGTCAGTCTCGCGCGAGATATTTGCTCGCTCGCGGAGCGTGAACTTCCTCGCGAGGTTAGTCTCTGCTCGCACTCAAAGGTGTTTTCTACGCGCTCGCTGATTTTCTTTCTGACAGTAAGGGGGCGGAGCCAGTCACCATGGTCTCTACACCTGATTGGTTACAAACCCCGTCTGTGGATTGGCTGGAGGGGCGAAATTTTAAGATAAAACGTTGTCAAAAAACACGCCCCCCTTCGGTAATCGTAGTGGACCGTAGATGACAACCAGCTACAACCATCATTTACCATCATTACCGGCACATTAAGAGCAAAGCGTCCAGCTCGCAGACCGGTCCGTCAGTCTGAATCTGAATATCTAATAGCTTTACCGAACTATGGAGGAGCCTGCGCATTTCTTACCTCATTATTTCAATTTTCCAAAAGGTCGATCCGTATTGAAAGTTGGCAAGATATTCACAGATTTGGACTTTTTTCCGGTATTTTACAAATACGGACCGGTCTGAGACTAAGAGCAGCTTTTTTTTCATTTAAAAGAAAAATGAATCTGTTTAATATTTTTTTTACATAAGCTACTTCCATATTGTGTTGAAATGCAAGCTGCATTGGTTCTCGCATTGTTGATAGAAAATCATATTTGTGACAAAGATTTTTTTTTCTCTTATAAAAAATTAGAGAAGGTAATTGATTTTCTTTAATTATCAAATAAAGTAGGAAGTGATTAGCAAACTCAGAGTAGCAAACTCAGATTTGAGAAAATTTAGAAAATCGAGATGCATCAATAATCGTTTTATCAGTTTAGAATCGATAATCGGTTCAGAATCGATAATCGGTTCAGAATCGAATTGTTGACCTCTGAATCGGAATCGAATCGAATCGTGAGGTGCCAAGACATTCCCACCCCTATTAATTATTTACTTCATTCTGCACACGCATGGCTACTGTGAGCGACTGTATTCACGTATTGCACATTACGTTGTTAATCAATGCGTAAGCAGCATTTTACTCCTGGTTCAGGTGAAGCCAGCTTGAGCCACTTTGTATTACATCGGTACATATGAGGGGGCGATCGATTCTTTGGTATTCAACTCATCACATGTGTCACATGCATTGGCTTTAATTCTGTAGGATAGATTTGAATATAAAATCAGTGGATCTTCAAAAGCCAGACAAATGGTTTCCCTCCTCAATGGATTGAATGTGAAACCAGAAAAGAGTTAACGGAGTTATGTGCATCTGGAAATATCAAATATCTTTGGATTGAAAAATTAGGTAAAGGAAGTGGAATAAAAAGCTAAACATTCCCACTGAAATTTAGTTAAGCGGAGGTGGTGGTAATAAATCATTTTGATCAGGAGGTGGAATGCAGAAATCGGATCATCTGGAAAACGAAGCTGAGCCTCCAATTTCCCTTTTGAGCGGACAAACTCAACTGATGTGGTCCAAGTTGTTTCATCGGTGCGTAAAAAAGGATATAAATATTTGTCTACCTGTCCGGCCCGCTGCAGGTTTCCAAAGTGCACGTCGGGGATGAAGAGTACGGGCTGAGCCTCCAGGTCACTCATGGTCTTGAAATAGGTGGTGTCGGCCTTCTTGGGGACGGTTATTACGCCCACACCTCCATCTTTACCTGAACACGAGTGAAGCACACACAAATGAATACCTTGTTGTCCAAATTAGTATTATTACAAAAGCAGGACATGGCAATGTATTCACAGTAATTTCCTGTCAACTCTACACTCCTCACATAGATCTATCATTTTCTCTGATTCTGATGGCAAAAAAAAGAAATTCTTTTCATCTCAAACCTTTGGACTTCTTGCGAAACAGTTTTCTCTCCTCGTCCCTTATTTTCCTCTCAGCCCCCTGAGAAAAAAAAAATACGGACGTACAAACACACGTTGAACAGGCCCGTCTGAGCAAACGACACGAGCCTCCTTTAAACATTGTGCATCACACGGGCTGCGTATGCACGTGTCTGGAGGCCCGCTGTGCAGGTGAGACCACTAGAGGGAGGGCTGATGTCACGACTCCCGGCGGTTCAGTCAAACACGCCGCGTGCTGGCAGAGAACATCGGCTACTACAGAAGATCTCAGTGATGCATTGTACAGCGGATGTCACGTAGCTCCTAGTTTGCCTTTAAATATGAAGCTATATCTTACTAATGCTAGTTTTGCTTTGCTGTCCACACATTTTGTTGCTTGTTTGCTTTTTTTCCGTGGAGCCCAGAAGAAACATAATCTCCATAAACATGGATGGAGTGTAACCCAGAATGTTGACGGAAACAGGAAATTCTTATTTAAATGCTATATTTTGAGGTTTTATTGAGGTTCACTTTTATCAGCACACAATTGCTAATAATAACAACAATGAAGCTTCTTAAGGGAGCAACTCTGCATAAAATGCATCTGTAGTTTATCTTTTCTATTTTCTGTAATTGATGGTTTAATAAAACAAGCACTTTCAACTCACCACCTTGAGATAAATGCTACCACAGACATGTACTTAAGGAAACAATGATGTAGAATCCAGGCATCCAGCATCCTCATCACAGTATATGTATCGTACTATGTTGTACGATACATATACGATAACATATGACGCAGAGGAAGGGATTTCCCACCTTGTCACAGAAGACCTTGATCTGTGAGTATGCTCTGTGCAGCGGCTTGTTGCTGCGGTTGTTGTAGCTGTACGTGTCGATCTGGATCATCAGAGGAAGACCCTTCACCCCCTTCTGAGAGGAGAAGTCTGTACTCAGACAGTTGACTGTGATGAAGATCTGCCAGGGTTCACAAAGGAGGCAGAAAGAAGAAGGTTTTGCATAATTCAATTTAAGAATACAATGATTTAGGGTTTTTTTCTTGTTCTTTTTAAATTAAACCACAAAAACATCCACAAATCATTTTCAAAGCATCAGTTGGCACTCAGACATTTAAAGTCTGTATCTCAAATACTGAATGAAAGCATCTAAAAGTCTAAAGTGAGGGCCAGATTGTTTCTGCAGAGACACTGCGGCTGCTGGGAGTTTCACAACCTATTTTTACGCCTGTTGCTTTTGTTTTGCACCAGAGGTTTCAGATATCAGATATATGTCATTTAGAAATCCAACCTACATGTAACTTCACGCTTTCCTAACTGGATCAGCGAGTGTTGTATTTCTGCATTCAAGCAGCGTCCTATGTATTTATACCATAACATGATATGCTCTGCGGTGAACTTTCTTACAAACGTGTACCCCGATGAAGGCCTTATGATTGACTTTGTCAATAAATAACTAAAATGCTAAGTATTATTTCTCGATGTTTGGTTTAGCCTCTGGCTCTCCTCATTCTGTCCTTCTGAAACCTACAACAGGGGGGCTTTGCACATTAAACTACCTGGCATTACAACCGCTCCTGCACTACAACAAATATATAATTATATATATATATATATAAATAATATATGTATGTATTCAGACTCAATGAGTCACACAGACAGAGAGGGATAAAAGTAGAGAGAGAGAGAGTCAATATTGGCTCAAAGAAGTGTGCTTGGATTTCCACCATAGCAACGTCTTTGTCCACAGTGTGTTATTACAATGAACACACACACACACACAGTCCATCACATTCACACAGAAAAGAGGACAAAACAAACAACAGAGGGTGGGGACTGGTGTGTATTGGCCCTTGGGGGCCTCTGGAGTTAAACAGTGACGGAGCTCCATTTAAGGAGTGGCTCCAAAGGCGCGAGCTTCACAGACAAAGAAGACAAACAGAGCAAAAGAACAAAACACCCGTCGGCTTCATGTCCCACAGCAGAACACATGCCAATAACCTCTCCATGCTTTTAATGCATGTATTAAAATCGACCGATTTCTTTTCAAAGGGCTCCTGTGTGTGTGTGTGTGTGTGTGTGATGCCAACAGGTGAGTTTCCCGCATCACAGAGATTTCTCCAGTGGGTGCACTTGTTTGACAACACCTGAGACAGCCCAAGAAAACCTGTCCCGCCACTTTTCTTTCTTTTTCATCTACACCTTCAGCTAGTGTAAATACGGAAGACCGGTTCCTCCTTCAATTACAGAGACCTTTACATCCGACAACAAGAAAAGAACTGTCATTTTCCTACCTTGGCCTCTTCATTCACGTCCCAGGTGAAGGAGATGGCGTTGTAGGCGATTTCTTCGATGTTGCCGATTGTGTTGAAGCTCTCCTTGTAATCAGCTGTGAGGACAAACATTGAGTATTTTGAGTATATTATTTGAAAAAAAAACTGACCAAACATCTTATCTCCGCTCCACACACGGCATAAATTGTTAAATAAATGACAAAAATAGGTAGCTATTGTTTTTTTAGATAAGCAATGAAATGGCACGCTTCCATTTTATAAGATAAAACCTTATCTGCCTGAGCAAACAAACTGTGGAACGCTTCAAAGGCAGCGGGAGAAAACACAGGATGCTATCTGGCCGTGAGAGTCGCATTAAAAGCCAGTCAGGTGAGCACGTCGGCTGACCTCTGACCTGTGTGACCGCACACTAGAGAGACTTTAAATGTGTGGCGTTGAGTACGCAGGAATGCGGTGAAACGGGCTTGCGTTAATGTCAATTTGTGTTTAAACTTTGTAAATGAGACAATATTCAGGTGAATAGTTCAGTCATTAGTAGGAACGATCAGGATTGGACCGGATTGCGTTTAAGATACGATACAGTCCACCTGCATGAGACGCACTGATGGGATGATTTGGGCAGAATTTCCTGCACCATTTCTGCTGGTCACATCTCAGGGCCCCCCACCCTCCTCCCGCCCCCGTCTGCTTCAGTGGCCTCCGACCTCCTCCGTCACCATAATACCCGCTGTTACAGCGGCACACTAATCGATTAGCAGGTGCACAAAGAATCGGGGCAGGCAGCAACACGCCTTTCTGCCAACATGCACCGTTAAATAACCACATTTAAATGCTCCGTCCTGTGACGCGGCCCGGGGGGCGTGATGAGCCCCCTCCCCCACCTCCACCGCTATTCAAATCAGCTCTCTGGACGGCTTCAGGTTACAGGCTGCTCCCAGCCGCTCATTCAACCTACTGAGCTGTTTGAGGTTCCCCCACTATGACGTGTAATCGTGCTCTAAAAAGTTGTAAATAATATCGATTAGAGCTGAGATGACCAATTTAATTGATTGATTGATTTGTAATTCGATTAAAATTGGAATATTTGCTGGTCTCTTTAGTGTTTAACGATTTGAAACGTATCATCTTTCTCAGCATCCTTGTTTCCAATCCATTTTAGGGAACTTTGTTTGTACAGTTGGAAGCAGGTGTACATTTAAATAAGACGATCGGTATCTGTGTGTACAGGAACAGTGTGACGGAGAAGTACTTCAGCCATGTGGCTTTTTTTCTATTTCAATTTCATAGACACAAAGAAGTCTGAATGGAATGGAAATGTAAAACATAATGCCAAAGGGAATCATGCTGATAAGGATACAACTTTTAACAGTATCAAATACAACTTGTTCTCTTAAAATCATTACGCAGATGCTTTTCAGCAGTAAAACAACTGAAAGTCAACTTATTGAATTTAGTGGAAAATCTACAGCGGTTCTGAATCTCTTTTGCTCCAAGGAGTAGTTTACCATTTTGGGAAATGTATAAAATTGTTGGTTTCTTACTTGCTAACAGTTAGATGGCAAGATTGATAAACATGGAGTGAAGCGGTGAGGATGAGACAGCTGTCTCAACTCCCACAACATCTGGCAAGCAGCACCTCTAAAGCTGACTAAATAACGTTGTATCTTGTCCGTCTAGACTATTTGTACAATAAAGTGTAAAAACGTGTGGTTGGATTATGTAGCAGGAACTATTTCTTGTGAATGTGTCATTTATTGAGCTCTAGAAGTGAGACGGATCACGGCTGGTTTCTCCTGCTCCAGTCTTTATGCTATGCTAAGCTAACCAGCTGCTGACTGAAGCTAACGTGGAGATATGAAAACTTTGTTTCAATCTCCTCATACATGTCTCAAAAAGAAAACCAATGTTTATTTCAAAGAAAATCCAATTTATGTCGTTAGCGGATAGAAATACCTACGCATGCAAAAGGTTTTCTATCAAGTGAGGGATTTTCCCTGCTCAGGAAAGATGCTCTGCAGTTTAAGTATTCAGTAATCCAAAAGAAAAATGTGTCCAAAACGTAGTGATCCTCTCACAGCGGCTTAAATCTATCCCGCAGCGCTCATATTGTGAACAAGTGTCAGTAAATGAAAAGATGCGTGTGAATTGTAGGCTGATTAGGATTTGTCTTGGTTCGGGTAAATATAGGAATTAAGGAGAAGATCTAAATTGGGCAAGAATTACATTCAACAGACCAAAAGCAGCCGGGGTAACACAGCGGCGAGCATTCCTCTCCCTGTCCCAACAAGCTGTGCATAGGTGTGTGTTTGTGTGTCTCCTCCATCCACCCCACACATACCTCCCAATCTCTGGCTGCTTAGCAGGCCCACGCTTGTCAAACACAAACCGCCTACAAGCTTCTCACACACAACCCTCATTCAACAAGGGCGTAAAAAAAAGGCTCAGCTTGAATTCAAATCCATCAACTGGGGGTAAAAAAAGCCTGCAGACGAAAAAAAAAAAAGGTTGAAAATGGCCGAATCCAATATGAGGACTCAGCTCGGCAACGCTGCTAGAGTTTGCAACTTTTGGAGTTTTGCTCAATCTCGCGGGCAATGTCGAAGAGATTACAGGATTAATGTTGTGTGTCCCAACAGCAGCCAGACATTAAGAGATTCAAGTGTGTGTGTGTGTGTGTTTGCAGGGCAGCCCGGTTGCTTGTCTGACGGAGGATGATGGCGGGCAGCTGAACAGCCTCAGGCAGACGGTTGGGTGGGGGCTTGTTTGCCCTCACTTCTGTCACGCCTTGTTTATTGGCTAAGTGCATTCCGGCTGTCGCAATAACATAAATCCCAAACATTGTCCTCGGCGATGTGCGTTTTGATTCACGGAGGAATTCGCCGTGGTTCACACATCGAGCACCGAGAAAGTCGGGGAAGAAGGGAGTAAGAAGTGAGTCTCACCGATGTCCAGGACTCTCTGTTTGGCCGTGTGCTGCCTGGAGTGCCAATACTTCCAGTACTTGAGCTGCTCGTCCCGGTTCTTGTCTTCACTGAACACCACCATGACCACGCTCTGAGAGGGAGAGACCTTTTACACGAGCGCTCAACCTGCACATCCGTTCCCCGGTCCGACGCTCTCTCTGGAGTTGTGTTCGTTGCTGTGTGGTGCTGCTGTGTTTTGCATGTTTTATCAGAAAAAAAAATAGTCTCACCCGAACTTTGCTGATGGGGTGACGGAGGCGTTTGCTGGCGCTCAGCTCGTTGAGCGTCACGCCGTAGAACTGGCCTTTGTTCAGGTAGGTCATCGGCCCCTCGCCCTGCTTCTGGCGCAGCGAGCGGGTGGCGTCCAGCGTGTACTGGAAGCCGTCACTGCAAGAGAATCGTGGAGAGGAGAATGTGTGATTTCATGTGACGAGGTGCCGAGTAGCAGTTGGGTTTTGAGCCGTGAGTGACTTACACTCCCTCCTGGTGCAATAAGAAGTCCTCTGTAGCCAGAGAGGAAGGTGCGTGAAACTTCTGTTGGGAACGCTTGAGACGCAAAGAAAGGGGGAATTATTTGGGCAGAATGATGAGCTCGCCGAGAAAAACAAACTGCTTTAACAATGATGTGGATTGGAAGAAGAAAATAAACAGTGTCATTAATAAAAATCTAATTTTCAGGAAATAAATTCAGCAACCACTTGTTGCTTCTTGTTATTAATTAATAGAAAAGGGCGTATTATTCCAGAGCCCAGTGAAATAGTCTAATAAATGATCTCCGTACGGACGTATCCATTATTGACTGACTACTTGTGATCGCAAATTTGAGGTTTTCCCCACTTTGATTGTCATCTGCAGGAATGAAAGAAAATGTAACTAACATAACTAATAATGCTGCGACCCCTCCCGATCAGCAACAACCATCTGTGATGTGACTCGCTCCCGTTGCAGCGGCTCGCCTCCTCTCACCCCGTCTCTCTCCTCCGCATACGGGCTGTCGGGCGGACTCAGCTGGTCCTCCTTCCCGTACGAGCTGTGGCTGACGGTCGTCACCTCGTACGCCGCCTGCTCGTAGATCACCCTCGACGACTCCTCTCCCTCCCCCCTGTAGTGGAGACCCGCTCCCGTCATGAAGACGGGCGCGTACGCCTCGGCCTTCACCGCCGCCGCCGACCCTCCGTTCCCGGGCGCCGCCTCCGTCAGGCTGCTGAAGTGCTCCCGCTTGTGTTCCTGGGGCTCCGTGTTCAGCGACAGGTTGACCGGGACGGACTTGAGGACCTGGACGCGGTTGTCCACCGTCTCCGCCTCGCTCTGGCTGTCGGGGTTGCCCGGCAACGCGGACCTGGACGACAACAAGGGTGTATTTCTACGCGTTTTGGAATGGCTAAACTGTATTTTGCATTATAGAATCACTTTATGGCTTTGAAAACCGCTGAGCACCAACCGTGTGAACAACCGAGAAGATACAAAGTCATTAGTTGAGATAAATAAACATGTTTGTTATAAGCTTCAAGGATGCTCCCAATGAGTTGTGGTGAGTGACACCTAATGTAAACATAACTTTTGTTAATTTATAAGAACTCTCCTGGGGGAAGCTTTAATCATCTTAAGATGAACTCGTATGAAAATCTTAACGTGTTCTTATTTAAAGGTTAGTATTAAAATGTGTATGACTGCAAGAGGGAAAAGAAGCATCCTCACGTCTTCTATTTAAAAACAGACCTAAGGGAGACATAAGTTTCCCTTATTATGGCTTTATTATCTTTTTTGTGGATTCGATAGTTAAAAACAGGAGACATTTTGTCATGAAATATTTTGTGAATTATTTTTCTTCTGCAGGGATCGGATGCTTGTAGCCGGAGCCTCTTACGTTTAGTATCAGTGCTTCAAATGAAACGAGACTCACTTGTCTGCACACATCCGAAACAAAGTCTGCTTCCTATCACTATTAGGTTACGGAAATCCTTTATCTGACTAAAAGCTGATTTAATGAACTGCTTTGTATGTAACCTTATCAACCACGGCTGCAACATGTCAAATACTGCAATCACTGAGCTCCAGGATTTCATTTCACAACATATTTAGAATATTTGCCAGCAACTTCATGGTTAGAATTGTTGCATTTCTGTCTGTACTTGTGCAACCTTGAGCAAGTAAGCAGAAGAGCCAAAGTCACTGACCTCTTCTGCTGTTCCTCTGTAATTTCAAGAACTTTGGGAACCGGCAGTAACCTCTTTTCTTTAGGCACCTGGAAGGGAAGAAAATGGATGTGCTGTCGTGAAATCTCTTGTAGTTAACATTTACAATTCATTTGAAGGACGACCAGTGACCAATAATGCTGGGATCATATTAACTTTTCAACAGTCGGTGCCTCTGGACGGGTCCGCAACTCTAAATTAACATGCTAGTGAAGTATGAATTAAACAATATTGACGAATCAGCTGAAAGATTATGGTTGCAAAAACTTGATGCATTCCTCAAAAAGCCAAAAAGATGTAATACATCATGTAACACATGTAATACATCCAGATGTAGCGGCCACACTTTCTCATTCAAGTACACCTGATCTTCCTCAACGTAAAAAATGATATTTTTGATGAGAAATGTTGTTTTCCTTGAATACGCTCTCCCTGTTGTCTGACCGCACGCGGCCTACGGATATCCAGCTCATCATCACGTAAGACAGAGACCTTGTAGTAGTCGTAGAGCAGGCCCAGCGCGTTGGCGCTGTCCTCGTCCCCGTTGATGCTCATCATGGCCTTGGTGGCGGCGGTCAGCGGGTTCTCCAGGTACGACCTCCATGCCTCGTCCTCGCTGGTGTAGGCCCGTCGCACGGCAGGGTAGGAGCTCTCGTTGGGGACCACCACCACCAGACGCTTGCTGCGAGACGCGCACAAGCATTTTAATTCAAGCGGACGCAGCTTTTGACTTGACAGATGATAATGCAAACGTGTTATAGGTAATTTGTCATTACGTGGGGAGATTTTTTCAAGTCATTTATAAAAATGAAAAATGTACAGGTTGACTGATAATGAAAAGTTCACACTAGAGCCCTTTTCAAGCTTGTCTTGTGTGTCTACGTGGGTTTGTCCCTCCCCTGTGAAGCCCCACTTAAGTCAGGATCACAGACCAGTTGAACACACACTGTTGTCAAAACATCTATGAACTTTTGAGGGCTCTGAATGTGTCAACTTGCACTAGTTTACTATGAGTTGGATCAGCGTGTCACATCTCCCGGAAGAGCTTTGAAGGAGTCATTACTAATCCTCACACTCTGTTTCTGCCCATTCATTCAATTTGCTTGAATCAAGCACAGTTTCGGGAAATATTAAGCAGGAAGTAAAATCCTGCCTGGCTGTGAAATCCACCGTACGCCTTCCAAGCTCATTTCCTCGTTTGTATAATTATATGATTATAATTATAATAATTTCCGTTATTATTACTGATATTATCTAATTGAAATGAACTCCTGTTTTACATCTACCTGCCAAATAAAATAAACCCATTTGTCCTGCCTGGAATCTGTGATCTGTGTCACTCGGATTTTTACCTTTATAGAAAAAGGTTTAACGGTGGACAAAAGGCAGGTGGTTTTCATTTTTGACATCGGACAACTTCTCCACGGCAACTGACTTCTGCAGGTGTGGAGGACTAACAAAGACCAAAGGGGCTGTTTATGATTTGTACAACTCTACTCAGCTTGATCTGACTGAATATTACCACTGTGGATCATAACACAAAGAACAATAACCGATCCTGTGTTTTGGGCAAATGCCTTTTTAGTGAGAAGAATATTTATGAATGTGATTATTATTCATACATTACCATTTATGAAAAATAAATATAGTCTGCTGCTATTTCTGATATTTTAGAAGATATAAGAATGAGGCTGTATTGTACATATTTTCTGGTGTGGTAGAAAAGGCTTAAGCACAAATGTTTCAAATAAAGTTTGTGATGATACAAAACAGGACAGCAGGCCAGAACAGAGCCGCCATCGCGCACTGCACTCAATACGCGGACGCAGCGCTAAAACTCTTATTTTCAAAAAGATAAAAATCCGAGTGTTTAAAACTGTCGCCCTTTCTACTTTGCGGGTTTTTAGGTCCATCAGTCAAAAATGGCGAATTCCGCTGCAATGCAAATCCGCAGCGCCGAGTAGATTTGTTTCTCCCAAAGAAAAGAGTTCTATATATTTGACATAGACGTCCAACAGTAACACAAGCACTTCCACCCGGACACACAACCCGCATGTGCATTTAAACATGTGCGTTTGCTTTAATTAGCAGGTAAAGAAGAGACGTTTTCCCTTGAAGCCATCAGAGCTCCTCGCCGCCTCGATCACTTACTTGTCTGTCTCCTGTGACATATTTCGCTTCCTCTACGATCCTTCCTTGTGAAACTGGACTTTCAAGTCGGAGCAGGTAATAGAATGAGTGGGTTGCCAGAAGTTGGGCTACAGGTAAGTCGACTTTTCTCGCCCGCTTCTTTTCTCTCCCCCCCCTCTCTCTCTCTCTTTCTATCTTTCTCTCCCCCCCCCTCACTGTCTCTCCTCCGCTCCACCTGGCAGGTAAAGGCGCTTTTGTCCTCAAGGTTCCGATTGTCTCGCATAAATTAAGACTTACTCATACTTGTGACAAATCGACACATCGTGCCATGCATTATACAATTTGCCCTGGTTTGGTTTAATGTCAACGGGTCAATTTTAGCTGGAATTCTTTCGCAGTAGAAAGAATTGGAGGTAAAAGGGGCGAGTCGGGCGCTGATTGGCTGCTGCAGATTGAACTGTGCTGCGATTGGCCGGCGGGTCGGAGAGGCGGGCCTCACCTGCAAGCAGACAAAAAATACGACACTGAGACAATTAAGGATTATGTCAAGAAATGTTCATTTTATTCCAGAAAATAATTAGGTTTAGTTGTGTTGATTGTATGGCGGGAATTATTATCATAGTCATTAACCGATCCACAGGTTTTTGTAATAGTCCCACAGTCCCCGATTTGACCTTTTATAATGACTGTTTTCAGGTAATCTCAGAGCAGACAGAAGGCCGGGAGGAGCACTGTCATTAACTGACACAATGCTATTGTCTCTTAATGAAGCAATTGTATTTGGAGATCTTATATTTGGGATTAACCTGCCAGAGAAAACAATGTGTGTGTGTGTGTGTGTGTGTTTGGAGGTGAGGGGGTGGGGTGGGCAACTGACCCCTAATACTGTTGTTTTTATTATTGTTGTAGAAAGACGCACGGTTTAATTAATCTTAATGGAAATTGCATTGTTTCAGCAGTTAAGCGACGCATATTAAATACAGTACATCAAACAAAATAAGAAAAAATTAATGAGAGATTAGTAATGACACAATAAAAAACTCCAAAGTAAAAATACATATTCTCTAAAATCTGAATAAGAAATGGAACCTAAACTAAATACTTTATAATATTTATTTAAAGTTCTTTAAAGTTCTGTACATTGTCTCACATCTGGAGATGGTATGGGTAGTAGTGATTATGGATGTAATCAATGTTGACTTATATTCACATTCATTTAATACATATTTACTTTCAATGCAGGAAAAAAAGCACATTTTTAGTATATATTTGAAGTATTTGATCGCAGAACCTTTGTCACATAATACAGAAAAGATAAAACTCAAACAGTTGGGACGCAATTTGCAAACTGGTCTGATGTCTTTTGTGTTTGCATGACAAAATGCAGCATTTTGCTTATGACTCCCATCACTCCCCCTGATATGGAAATCCAAAAAATAGTTTTTCAGTTTCAGTTAAACCGTCAGTGGGGTTGTGTGAAGGGCGAACACATGTTTGCGTGCGCTGCGGATGATCATTGCGTTCCTCCCTTGTCTAATTTGTTTTACAGAGCACCTGTGCCTTTGCTCTCTGTGTGTGTTTGAATGGAACTGCTAGATAAATACAGGCTGAGTCATTTTCTTCAAACAACACACTGTAGACAGAATGACAACAGAGAGACCCAAAAAAAAAACAACCATGAAGTAGGAGAGAAACAGGATGAATAGCTCGTGTATTCCAAACATATTCCTACCGAACTTTATTAACACTTTTACATGGGTGGGTGAGTGAATAAACCACCCTGTGAGCCCTTGGGTCAATGCCCAGAGCCTCTGTTTGAAATGAATGTAAACGTCTCTAGTTGGAAAGTCATTCAAACGGATACACAAGTGCAACATAACTGCAAAACAGATGCAAAACCGCTATAAATACACGGGAAGTACGAAGGTACACCAAATTGCCACAAACAGACACGGAACAATTGCGTGAAATGAGTCTTGTTTTGTTTAATTTCTGTTGCAGGTTTTTCGTTCATCGTAAATGTCTGTTTTGTTACTTCAGGGCTAATTTTAGACTTGGTGTTCTAACTGTTACAAATGATATCAGGAAACAGAAGAAATACAGTTTCAATTTTCAGTTTTTAATAGGAATTCATTTTGAAATGTACACAGAACAAAAATGATCACAAATAGACACAGAATGACTAGAAAGAAGCACACGTTACTACGAAGACGACTACTACAAAATCAATACAAAACCATTAAAGAGACATGTCAAACTACCACAAAGAGTGGGAAATGTTTTGCCTGACTGACTGGGGTTAATGTGTGTGTATTGTTTCTCCTCTTCCCAGATGGAATGTCTGCCATTCATGACAGTTGGAATAGTGTGACGGCTACTGTACAAGCTGCCACAAGCAGGCATGAGCAAGACAGGAAAGTGATGGGCCACAGAATACCTTCCTGTGTGTGTGTGTGTGTGTGTGTGTGTGTGTGTGTGTGTGTGTGTGTGTGTCCCGCTGTGTGCGAGAGGTGAAAGGTGAATCCTACATACCTGGAGTTTTTTCGCTGGGAGAAGCAGCTTGTCTGAACTTGGCCGGGATTTGGTGTCGGCGTCTACCTGTTTGTGCACAGAAAGACACAGCCGAGACAGACGGAGAGTTGTGTGTGGGGGGTGGGGGGAGGGGAGGTGTTGTCCTTGGACAGTAGTGAGGGAAACATGGTGGGATGGAGGGAGAGGAGGATGACATGGGGAGGAAGGTGAGAGGACTTGGATTGAAGCGCATCCGTCTCTTTAAATAAATAAGACAAAAATATTTCAGGGCACTTGTCCACCAGAACCCGTCCCGAAGGAACCATGACAACAGATGACAGCTGGTTAAAGTGCTTATAAAGACATATATTCCTTTAACACAATTACTTCAACAGCGCTGTAAAGAATCTTCATCTGAAAAGATCTGACAAGAAGAAACATCTGGTTTTGGTAAAACATGTAAATATTCACTCTTTTTAAAGGTCAAGCAACAAAGAGTTACGCATTTTGTGCAGTGTTTGCACTTTCCTTAAAGAACAGTATGCATAAAATATGTGTGGTCAAAACATATTTGGCTCACTGCTCGCCTTGTGTTGTCTCAAACAACATGGATGCAATGTTTAAGTGTTTAAAGTGACACTTGATGCTCAATGCCGTTGACCCCGTTCATCAAATGCTGCTGAGCTTCAGAGCCGCTGCTGTTTGTGAGGTCGGTGAGTGCTGCCCCCACCTACACAATCATCAGTGTGCGTCTGCCCAACCCCAGACCTCGCCTCCCATTTAGCGCGGTTAACAAATTAACTTTTTTCGGCCTGTTAAACCAATGAACAAATACGTTCCCCTCAATGTGTCATCGGTTGTTTAATCTTGAATGTGATTTAATTTGCCAAAACACACTTCGTAGACACTGCCGTTAAAAGCCTTATCAAACCCATGTGGTCGCTCTGGACTGTATGCCATTCAAATCCCGTGGATCGCGGCCTCCAGAGGTCACAATAGAAAAGTCACCAGCGTGCGGAGGTGTCGTGACTTTCACAGCTTGTGTACAGCCGGACCGGTCCTCGTCGTGGCGGTGCGGCAAAACCTGTTTGTTTGGAAAAAAAAGGCTAAGAGGAAGTTGCCAATGAGGAAGAGGAAATCAAATTTCCTCTTCCCTCAACAGCCTCCACAGAAACAAGGAGGCCCCACTGAGTCGCTGCCTGCCCCTGTTTCTGCCTCTCGTGTGTGACGGTTTAACCTTGAAGTGCATCTTTGAAGCCTTTTTCTAGACCCTGGCTTACCTTTTGGAAACTAGCGGGTTATCTGCTTGTGCGTGTGGTTGTGCAGTGAGAAACCCGAAACCGGAGACTGTTAGAGAGCATTTGCGACAAAAGAGCCCTTAAATAAAGACTCGGCCAAAAGCCTGAGAGACCTGGAAACCCTTGTGGTGGGAGGAAAAAGCTGGACACGGTCTCAGGCTGTCTGCGGCAAACCCCCTGCTCATTCATACGCACAATGGACGGCCATATGAAATTCTTCTGCACTATTGAGAAGCCGACACCTGGAAGATTTGCTTTCACACACAGGCCCCGGGGCTGGACAGCCTCACCCCAAACCTAAGCTAGCAAGTCCCTGCACAACAGCATCCAGGGTGGGTGAGGGGAGGGGGTTGGGGGGGGCTGGGTCGTTTTTTTCCCCTCTCTTCTTTCTTTTTACTTTTTTACCTCCTTCTGAAAGCATAATCACATCCTCCTCTCGTGAGAGATATCCCCCCAGCTCTAATTCACAAAAGACTCAAAGGATTGTCGCTCTTCTCTCAGGATGAAGGGGGAGAAAAGCAGGAAGCTCGAGGGAGATGGGAGGGAGGAGGGGGGACAATGGCAGGATGCAGAATTTTCTCACAATGATAACATTTCGATAAGAAAGTCATTGACACCTAAAGGTCGGGAAGATTTCCATCTGGAACCAGTGATGATGGAAACACATCAATGTTACTACTTTTTGTTATTTTCTTTCCAGACCTGTTCACTCTTAACTGTTCACCTGAGGTTATTGGGGTTGTACGCAAGTCTTGGTTTTCATCATGTGAAAAGTGTTGCAGTCAGTTTACATATTAGCTGACAGTCAAATACGGAGCAGAGGTGAACAGCTCCACTGTTCCCACAACAGAAGTCACAGATAGAAAAGATAAACTGATGCAGTCCCATGAAACACATCAGGGTATGGACAAGTTGTGCCGCATCTGTTAATGAAAGCTATCAAATACATTGTCAAATGTCATGTCAATAGCCACTTTAGATATATATTTACTGAGAAAAGTGGTGAAGTGTTCAATACATATTTTATTTGCTGTAATCCAAACCAACTTTACCCTGCTGTAAATATAATATATTTGGTTTTGGGGATTTTTATGATCATAATTCAGCTCAGCTGTTTAAACATTACAATCATTGCCAGACTAGGTGTATGTGAGTATTATAGTGTGTACGTGTTGTGGATGCTTGTGCCACAGCAATTGATTTGTGTAACAGCCCCCTTGTGTTTCTCTGGGTTAACAGCCCTTTTTAATAACTAAGCTCTCAAAATTGATGCAGAGTTTTGGATTACATGTGTACTCATTAATACCATTAGATTAGAGGGAATTAGCTTAGTAAAACCAACATAGGGACAGAATGTGGTCCAAAAGGTTCAACAAATGCAAAAAGTGCAAAGATCAAACACTGAACAAATGGCACAGATCCGTACAACAGATAGACCTAACAAACAATCAAATATACGCATGTTTTATTTTTTTAACACAATCTCTTTCTGAAATGTTTGCTGAATTGCAATGTCTCAAATGTATGATATGCACATTATGGGACAAAATAATTATAGTTAAAGCTGTTTATAAATCTCAACTTCAAACATGGAATCCAGAAG